ACATAATATATTCAGGCTCTAACGAATGGAAGGTACAAGAGTTGTTTGCATCGGGCGGTGGTGAACAGAGAGACAGAAAGGAAGTCATTTGCATTCTTCCTGTGTCCGAAAGGAGACAAAATGGTGAAGCCACCAGAAGAACTTGTTGGAGGAGTGATGTCTGGTGAAAGAGAGTATCCTGATTTTACGTGGTCTACGTTTCTTGAGTTCACACAGAAGCATTATAGATCAGACATGAACACTCTTGAAGAGTTCTCAAATTGGCTTAAGGACAGAAGAAGTTTCTAAAATGAGGAGACAATGATATGGCCTAGAGGTTGACTTCTAGTTATGTGAAGAGCTTTCATATAGGTTTTCTTTAGGGACAAGGGAGATAAGATGTTCAAAGCCTAGCTAAGGAGCCTTTTGTTTTATGTTTTTTTTTCCTTTTATTAATTATCTTTATTTATGTTGTTTGGTGTAAAATAAAATTAGCAAAAAAATAAATTATGTAGGAGCGAAGGCAATTGTGTGTATAAAATCATAAAAGTCTTGTTAGATGAGTTGGGAAAAGTCAACCTATGCATCCTTAATGTCTCAAGTTTGATTTCCTTTTGTGCCTTTTTTTTATCAAAGAGGAGGATTCAACCACTAGACTTTTAAGATGTTGGCCAGTTTTATATTCTAAACAAGTCTCCAAGATAATAAATACGATGTCTACAATATAATAATATGGCTATATTAATAGAGACTGTTTATCTGTATTTCATTTTCATTATCTCATAGACGTGTGTTTTTTAAATTAAACTTGGTTTAATGTAAAATGACGATATATATATATATGTGTATATTTTTGTTTTTATATTGATCAGTAGATTCTATGATTTCATTGTTGATTGTAGACGTGTTATTATTTAATGGAAAACTTAATTCAAGACCAACGATTGACAATATTATCAAATTATGTAGAATTTGTACCTTCGGATCAACATGAAAGGGCTGTAGCCAAGTAAATAAAACCACACATAAAATGATTGTAAAAAATAAATCCAAAGTGTCAATATTAAGGTTGTCAATTGTCAACAAGACCAAGTGGATATCAGGTTTAACAATTGGACAAATAAACATATTTAAAAAATGTCCCCAAATATAAATATAAAAAGGGTATAAATTATTAATTTATTCCAAATGGCAATACTCTCTTTCTCAAACTTGATTTTATTAGCTGTGCTCTGAATTTTTGTGGACGTTTGCAGTCTTTGAAAAAACTCACTCGATCTTATGCATTAGATCCGTCTCTTAATTAGTAAAACATACTTCTTCTTCGTTTCGTTTTAAATTATACTTTGTAATAATGCAAAATTTTCGTAAAACTAACTTATCATTTGTGTAATCAAGGGAGATAACTATTGGAAAATATTAGTAAATCATTCTATTTGTATATATTTCTAAAGAAACTTGGTGTATTAATTATAACTGAGACAGACATATATAAAATTATAAAGCATCAATATATTGGAGGAAACGCTGAAGAAAAAAACAACAGAATATCTTTTTATAATATTAGACTCTGAGAGGCTGCGATCGATTTTTACCATGTTAGATCGAACATTATTGTATCAAAGCTAAAAACGAAATAACAATAGATCCAAAACCTGGTCCCACCTTTGTTTTTTTTATTTTTAATTCATAATTTCATATGAATAGTATTTGCTGATTTCCACTTTCCACTTTTTTACTCCATGCACAAATTTTAGATTCCACTACAGTGAGAGAATTGATATATATATATATAATAACATAAACTCACAAAGATAACAAATTTCATTCGACCGCAAGAAAAAAAGGAAGAAACACAATTCGATCCTACTGTGTGTATCTCTAAATCTATCTGGAGATTTGGGTGGATGTACTTGTGCCATGTAAGAAGACAATGTACTTGTTTTGTCGTCTTCTTTATTTTTCTTCGAAGTATAGAATCTAATATGATAAGAAATATAGATATCAGATATGTAAAAGATCAGATAGGTCCAGAAATTGTCCTATAATTAATATTTGTAAATTTATTCAAAATATGGATCTATAAGCATGCATTTTGTTAGGTTGATAAGCATTACTTGTAGCTTTCGAATATTTTAAATTGTAAACCCAAGTGAATGTATGTATTTGCGCAATTATTATTATAACTGTTTTTACTATTCCGATTTTTTTATAACTTTGTTACAATATTATTACCAACAATTAATCTGAAGTAAGAGAGGATACCAACCCATCACTGATGTAAGAAGCAAATTGTTTGACTAGAAGAAAAGACTAAGAAGCACATTTTTGACGACAAAAAAAAAAAAAAAAGGCACATTTTTAGAAGAAAAAATTGTTCGATTAGATTATACGTACACTCCCAAAAAGGAAACGACAAAACCACATTAACGTGAAATTTGTTTGATTACACGTCTCTCTATACAGAAATAGATAGATGAAAACTAGAACATCTGTAAAAGGCCCAATGGGCCACCCCTTACTTCTCACAAGGTAAAACAGGCCCTCTTCACGTGCTTCACGTGCCTCTCTTTCGTCGCTTTTCTGCCGTCTCAATTACACCACTTCACGACAGTGATCTTTATCCAGTCCAGCTCTACGACACCGTATTAAGTCTTTCTTATTTAGTGTTTTCCCATTTCTCTCTGTTTTCTTCTTTTGGATTGTATTATATAATTTATGATTGAACACACACACACACACAAAAATTATGATACAGGTACAAATACATTCGTAAGCTTGCAAATAAAAGAAATGGTCCAGCAAGTGAAGTAACATGCACCAATAAATAACTTGTTGCTCTCTCACTATCACAATGTTAGATTCTCGATATCTCCCACTTAAGTATCGTTTCAATCAGCTCTCTCGGTCCTACTAATATATATATATATGGATCTCAGCCTCTCTTTTTTCTTTAACTGAATTTTATTTTTGGTTCCAAACAACAAAATTTTGTGATGTTAATGTAATTTTGGGCTAGTTTTTTTTTAATGAGTAATTTTGTGGTATATTGTTATAACAAGTATTCTTGTGATATTTCTCTTATTAATTGTAAACAAAATCGATTCAAGTTATTATGTTCTTGTTTTTTTAACCGGGGCTTCTTTTGATTTCCTACACAAATACTTATGCTCCTCTTAAGCTAATTAATGCTATTACCAGTAGACTACACTGATTCCTAACTAAATTTTAATGACACTGAAAGAAAAGTTAATTAACAAAGAATAAAATGAAGTTGTTTTTATAAAGAAAAATGAAGTTTAGAGATAATAAGAAAATTGTTTTTTTTACAAGAAAAACAAATATCTCTTTGTAATATATTACATTTTAATGGTACATGTCAGAATGTATTACATCACATCATTTGAGATATTTTCATAAAAAAATGTCTTTTGTACGTATTCGAAGAAGATGGTACAAAAACCGGAAACTTAAAAAGCTACATTCCAAAACACATTTTCACGTATATTTCTATATACCAAAGCATACTAATACACTGTCGTACATTGATTATGCACACATATAAGTAGTAATTTTAGTAGTATCTACGTGCCCAGAAAAATTATTATAGGAATTATTTATATGATAAAATCAACCTTCTTATCCTCTACGAAGAACTCGATTAACTATGTCGAGATCTTTTCATAAGAGAAAACTTGTAAATGATGAAATAAAAAAACACTTAAATTAAGCTAGAGAATTCTAAACTAAATTTTAGCATAATTATTTAACAAACAAAAAAAAATAGTATAAATTTAGTTATTATTTATTAAATCTAGACAAAAATGTATTGGGGAAAACCTAAACTTTGATTAAAAGAGTTCATGTAAAATTCTTTATTTGACTACAGATTAAACAAACATTCAATTCCTTTCATTATAACAAAATCCAATCGTGTAGACAACGTTGAAAATTCTAAAAGCATCATCCCTTGAAATGAAACATTTGCGGTGAATTTATTTAATTAACGACATGGTCATTTGTTACAAAACTAATTAAGTAATTTGTTACAAAACCATCTAAGTGATTATTTAGTTACACATAATAATAGTAATATATATATATATATATTGTCTTGAAATATACGTATCTTTGTGGTCAAACAAATGACTTAATTAGTTGAGTATAAAATGGCATAAGCATGCAACAAAATCGTTACAATTATAATCCAATGTTTTTAATCTGCTGAGTTTGAAGGAGATAGGTCATAAAAATAATTAATATATTACAAATTTACACTGACAGTCAAAAGTGTCATAAATCTGGTATCTCGTTTGTCACCCAACAGAACCATCGTTGCATGTCTGACTTTATGAATTATGAGTAGCAAAGCCTAGTTTTTAGCCCCCCCAAAAAAACTAGGTAATATCAGAACATAAATTTCAAATATGTCGTCTCGATTCAAATGACAACTACCACTACCATATTAGAGATTAATGACAAAAAAAATTTCCTTCTCAGTTATCACCTTTGTGCGTACTTCTCTTTTTTTTTCTAATATAATTTGTGTTCTTTCATTTTTCTGAAATGACAATGTCTAAGATTGTATTTTTCCTTAATTTAACTTTTTGCTTACGTATGAGATGACATGTCATATTGTTTATACCTCGCGCGGGTCGTTTTGTCTTTTCCATCGTCTTTGTCGTCAACGAAAACCTAAATTGTAATGGCCAGAGATTACGTCGAGGAAAGGGTTCTTTTATATTTATTTAAAATGATATCTTGAATCTCGATCCATTGGATTTTATAGATACGTGCGATTTGGATTGTTGTGATTTTAATTTTTTAACATTCTTATCTTTTATTATCGTTGTAGCAAACTACTCCTCCAGATTTTATTCGGGTTTTTGTTGTTACTCCTCCAGATTTTATTCGGGTTTTTGTTGTTGTTGTTTTTGATGCAATCTTTGTTGTCTTTCCTATGAAGTAAAATTACATTTGAGGTTGATTTCGACATGATCTTACTTTTCTTCCTCACGGGTCTTACAATGTGAGCTTTTTATAAAACTGGATAAAAATAAGGCCCAGAGGCCTTTAAAATTGGGCTTAGCTTTAGAAAAAGTTGGAACCGTACGGGGGATCTTTATTGTTCAACCGGTGGGTAGGCTTAAGAGGTTTTTCACTCAGCAGCAAACGTACGAGAGAAGATAGCAAAGACGAAACAAATGTATACTACATATTACCAAAGCAATGTAGCAAGCGCTAAAAGTAGTAGGAACTTGCTGAGACCGAAAGATAGGGAGTTAGAAAGCGAGATGCTGTTGCAGTGGTTAAAACCATACCAAATGCTTTCAGGGACAAACGTGTTGAAGGAGAAAGTGACTGCCTTGGAGCTATGGCTGAATATCCTAACAGTCCCTGGAACCCAACCATCTGGACCAGACCTGTAGAGATAGATATAGCAGATCTGGTATGCACATGGTCCGCTTATCTCATATCTATCTGATGAACATTGCTCAAATGCTCTCGTCCCTGGGTCGTCAAGCCTCGGTGCGTATATCTGATTCAGAAAGCCCCAAATGCATATCAACTTTCATCTCTTGTCGTGAAAACATAAAAAATATGAAATGGCCCACTCTAATCAGTTTTGTTCTGCCGAAATATACAAACTGAGTCGAAACCTAACACATCGGATAATCTGACCTGATGTCCGTGGCCGTCGCCGAAAGCGAGGCTGATCTGGTCTCTCGTGTACCTCGGTGACGAACAGCTCGTCGTGATGATCACCGTGTAACTACAACTTCCGAAATTCTGCATCCACTCCTCGGTGAAAGAACATACAAACAATCAGAACGGGTCGACATTATAACAAAATAAAACTATTTTTATATTAAAAAAAAAAAAAACAGAACCTGAATGAGACTGGCATTGAAGGACTCCGCCGCATGAGGCGTGGAGACAATTATGGATCCAGAAGCAGAGAAGAGTATTGGGAAGACGAAGCAGAGGAGTTGCAAAAACGCCATTCTTGTGCTTCTTGACATTATTGATATGTGGAGACCAATTAAGAGAAATAGTAGCAAAGAGTCAGTTAAACCTTGCTGCTTCCTTCATTCACTGTAATTTAGTTAATATGTTGAGACTGAAGGTAGACACATGTCAGTCGCTTATGACGACGTGTCATTAGCGTTTTATACAAAACCAATCCTTAAATTGTTTCTCTTTTTTTGGGGTCTAAATTAGTTTACATTAGTCTAGTGATGAGAAAAATAGGTGTACCCTATTTTCTTTTGTTTTTCTCTATAAATGACACCTTTTAATGGTGGCCTGAGTTTTGTAGCTCAACTGTTTCAAGATGGGTGGATCGGGGGCATGGAGAAGGAAATTAGTTTCTATGATTTAACAAAAATATTAATCGACCGGTTTAACATATTACCTTTTTAATAACAAAAGTCAATAGATTACGCTAAAGTTTCGTACTTGCTTTTAGTTATGTGTTGCTAATAATTCATATACGATCAAGCGATCGTTAGTATTCAAGTTTTATAATTAGAGCATGCACCATTCTAGTATTAACTAACATAAGATTTTACAAAATGGGCTTTTTAGTTCGAACTGGTTGGTGGGTGGCGTTGTGCTATTAGCAAGTTCGTTCCTGAATTTTTCACTGAAAATTTGATATTTCTGTTAGCTCAAATTCAAATGTGTACAACTCATTCTAAACCTCAACTGTTAGCAAACAATTCATTCATGTATTTTTCCTCCTAACTAAAAGAACGTTACGACTTACGAGATTAAAATACAAATATCTTGATCCACATTAGTTACTAGAACAGACAAACAAAATTCGGGGGAAAAAAAAAGAAACCGTTTCGTATTTGGTCCCAATTTGAGTTCAAGGACACGTTCAAGCAGAGAGTCCAAAAGAAAAAGAAAATTGTCAAAAGGGAAGAGTAGACAAGTGAAAGCAGTGTAAAAGCAACATGAGTCGGTTACGTGGCGCCATCTCTCCAATGAACTAACTCCACCTATTCTACTACACGACAAATACCATGCACTCTAGTTCTCAACAACGTAACACTTCATCATCTTTATACAAACAAAGGTCAATTATAACGTTTTCTATGAAATAAGAATCAAACAAGCCCGTGAACAAAAAAAAAAAAAAAGAATCAAACAAGCCTTGAGGTTTGTTGTCCACATTATAAAAAATGATTTCTTCGTACCGTCTCAGTAAAATATATTGGTAATTCATTTATTTTTCAAACACTTTTCAGTCTATCAAAAAGTGTTCAGTTGATGATAAGCCTACAAATTATGATGAATACATATATACTAGGTAATGAGCTGAAAGTTTTTATACAGATTTTAGTGTTATTTAATTCTTTTGCTTCTTTTAGTTCTACAGTTTTTCCATAATTGATTAAATTATTTTTTTAACTAATTATTGAATAATATTTTTTTGACAAATTAGTTTTTTTTTGAAGTTTTATCTGAAACAATTACTTTATATTTTAATTTTTTCACCTAGAACACAAGTTCGAACTTCGGTTATGGGAAGATATGGATTAACCCTTAAAAACGTCCGTATTATTAAAATCTGGTCCCAATAATCAAAGACAAATAGAGAATACTCATGCATATTATTTAATACTTACTAAGTAATTAATTATGTTTTATACAACGCAGACGCCGAACAAAACAACAACAAAGAACAGAAGAAGTCGTAGGCTACTCAACATGCTCATTAGGTAACCTTAACGAACCATTGCGGCGATCGCAGCCGCAGTCACAATAGCAAACGCAAGAAAAACACTCTCGCGGCCAGAAGCAGCAGATGGCCGCGGTGGAGACGGCGGTGGGAACGCAGGTGTCTCAGGTGGAGGCAGCTCGGGAGAGGGTGGTCGGCCTGTGGTGTTGCAGTTGTTTTGGCCGTACCAAGTGTTTTGAGGGACGCTCTTGCTGAAATCGAATTTGACAGACTTGGAACCTTCTGCGTAGATCTCGACGGACTCCGGGACCCAACCGTCGGGTCCATCTCGGTAGATATAGAGAGAGCAGACAGGGTTAATTAAACATTGACCTTTAACTTGGAATGTGTCCGTTGAACACTTCCCTAAACTCCCTGTTCCTCTTACCGATCCGCCTAGTCTTGGTGCATGCACCTAAAACCGCAAAGTTTAGATAGTTCAAAGTGTAGCCATTCAACGAAATAAACATTTTACTTATTCAAACGAAAACATACAAATTAAACTATTTTAAAGCAGGAGAACTCGTGGGATTAATCTCTGATCTCATTTGTTTTTATTTCAAATTTTCAAGTGATTCATTTTTTTATGTTAACTATTTTGGAGCCATAAATTGAAGTTTAAACCGGATCAGTTTGTCTCTAATTAACCTGGTTACCCTCGGCGTCCCCAAAAACGACACTGATCTGATCCCTTGTCGACTTGGGAGAGAGGCAGCTCGTCATGACAACCACCGTGTACGGACATATTCCGGCTTCCATCTACAGGATTTTACCGGGAAAAAAAGAAAAAAAAAAGAATATTCAAGAAACCAGAGAATCGGTTTGCTAACCGGGAAAACTAAATAGATCAGAAAGAAAACCTGGATGAGGCTGAGGTCGAAGGCATGCGTGGCGAAGATGAAGGCGACGAAGACAAAGGAAAAGGAGAGAGAAGATAAAGTCATTTTAGGTCAGAGATTGTGTATAGTGATGTACGCTGAGAAAAGAGAGATAGAGAAAGAGGCTCTTTAGTTGGTTTATGTAATTGCTTGATGTCCGTCGTCATCAGCTGCGACTAAGTTTCTCATTGACACTTGGCACAAGGAATCAATTTATTGAAATGCATATATAAAGTTGTGTTCTCTATATATATTTTGCTTTTAATTGCGTTTAGTTTGTTTAATATTTTTTCTTCCTTTATATATATTTATTTTTAATATTGTATGAAAAATTATTTGCAGATTTTAAAACACAATAGCAAAACATAAATGAAAAATGAAAGACAGCCTTTTTCTGTGAAAAATAGTTCTTTCTCTCCTCGACAAAAACAAATGTCAAACCATGTATATACACGCCTGTTTTATTACGTTGGACTAAGACTATTGGGCCGAAAGTTGGGTCAGATGTAGGCTTGTGTATTCAAACTGACAGCCTTTTAACATTACCGGTTGCACAAATTGAAAATTAAGATATGACTTTAAATTTACTATTCGGAACTGCATAATTCCTTTGAATCTGGTTCTAAATTTAAAGCGATTTTACCATGCTAACATATCTAAAACATTTGACCCAGAAAAAAAAAAAATATCTAAAACTAAAAGTATGGAAATGTGCTGAACAGTTTTGTATATATAAAGAAAATTATAGTATTAGTTATTCATTTCCTTACCAATTTCAAAATTTGACTATTACTAGCTCTGCAAATGGCTAATCGCTAACCGACATTAACAACAATTGCCACACCACTAACCGGATCACTGAAACTAACAGTTTAACACCACACCTCATTATTGTTATTAACAAAATGTCAACAAAAACATTCAAGAGTAAAAATAAATAATACAGTATATAATAATTGAATTGGTATAGTTTGGGCTAGTCTAGAACACGTGCAGAGTGGTCTTGTAACCATGCACCATTCGAGTCTAAAAACGTAGAGTTGCTTATATAGCTGAACCTCCACACGACTTAGAGATCATGTTGGATATACGAGCCCAATCTCTTCTTTTTCTTTACGTTTATATGGATTTACATTTTTTCTTTGTTACCGCTGAAATAGTCACCTAAGTCTACTGATTTTTCCGCCGCTGTGGCGCAGTAAAATTTCGGTGGCGTGCATGTATAATATAAAGAAAATTATGTAATGGTATTGGGCAAATTAATCTAAAATTAGACATCCAACGTTAGTTTGATAATTATGACATTGCGCTGCTTTCCCATGTGCATGCTTTTATATTGTGGTCCGAAATCGCCGAAATTGAACTCCATTGGTGCTAGTGGTCGAGAAGCGAGATGTAAAATATAATCCACTTTAATAAATAAAAATAATTAATTTTCTTATACGGAATCTTTTAAATCTAAATCTGTCTTTTTGTGTGTGGAGAAGAATGTTAGTATCAAATTATTTACTACAATTATCTGAATGAAGCTAGATATATACTGTAATTACTAAATAGCGTTTTCTTTCTAACAATGTTGATCTGTGAAGTTTTCTAACCATTATTTGGAGATCATTTATTTTCCAACGCGATTTATGGGTAAATATTGTAAACAATGTAATTCTAATCACAAATAGATGCAATTTTCTAGTAATTGTTGCTTGAATATCAGCAGACAAAGAGTGGCAGATATGGGACGATAGTCCTTTAGCAACTATGTGTTCAAATTACATGTACGTATGTTATATAACCACAGGTATAATGGTTTGAGTTTTAACACAGGTTTTAAAAGGCATAACACGCCATCGTTTCAAGGCCCTCGGGTGAGTCGATTTTGACCGGAGTTATCTTATAACTAGACAAGCTAGGGTTAAAGTAAACATATATAATTAGGAGGTGCAGCGAACATGTCATTAGACCTTAACAAATTAAGCGCATGGTATAATACTATATAATCTACTAATATTTACACGGAGATGTAAAAGTTTGACCAATAGGTCGTACAAGTACAGCATAGATGAACCAAGATCAGAACCAGCGAGGAAGGGAAGATACGGTCGGTCCATATTAAGCTAAGAAGACCAAACGTAGTTCGATGTATCTTTCTAGGGTACCATATCAATTTCCAATATTCAAAATTGTAAAAGTTCAATTTTCTTATGATTTTGATGTCGGAACTTGGAAGCAGAGAGAGATATGAGATTTGGCTCAAAGGAAGCTGCCAAAACATTAGGGCAACCAAGAACCAACGAAATCAAATATCGGTTTAATCGGACGGTTGGGGTGTAACCAATCTTTCTCGGCAATCTTCTGGGCCCTACGGTCTGACTTGAAACTGATCCGTCAATTCAATAACTTTTCTTTTAATGTGATGATGAGAAATTTTACATGTTAGCTTTGCAAACAAAATAATAGTATTCGTTTGATGGATCGGAATAATACTCATCTAAAATCAGCTGACCGTTATCATTAGCGTTTGGTTGTTTCGCTTTGGCCGAACCAAGAAAATAAAATGAAATGAAAACCCTTAAGAAAAAAATGAAGATAGTTTCTCGATAGAGAAAAGAGTAACAGCTTTATACGAGATGATCCTATGATATATAGCTTTAGACACGATCTCTGCTATTTTCTTTTAACATTGATTCTACAGTGTAACCACTGTTCATATTTCATTGCAGTATTAAATCATTATTACTTTTTATTTATTGCAATCTACAGTTCCACCAAACTTATTCGACCTCGTAGTACCAAAGATTAATCAAAGTAATTACAAGACAATGATATGACCAAAAGGAGAAAAGTCTTATCGATATTTTTTTGAAAAAACCATGAAACACTGTAAAAATATAAAAAAGAAATAAAATCTCCAAATCCTTCAACGAGAGGTCGATAAAAAAAGATACAACTAAACCAAACCAGTCTCTTCTTTTAAGTTTTTACCCAATCACTGTCAAAGCATTAACTGATTGTCACAAGTATAAGCATGGTCTGGTTCTCTACATCGCAGTATATGGTACATTTCGATTGGACGACCTATCTACCGTTGAATCAAATATTTCAGATGCACGCGCGCGTAAACGGGATTTTTCCCACAAAGGAATGTCTTTTCACCGGAGGACTCTTAAAAGACGTTTTTTTTCTTTTCTTTTCCTTTCCTTGCATTGGAAAACGGCGTTTTTATGTACAACCGTCGCCGTCAAATCATACGGACTCATCCCCGATTTTAATATTGTTAACGCCGTTACTTCGCCCGTTTACAAGTAACTGAGTTATGTATCATCTCTTTCACTCTCTCACTGTGATTTATGTAGTAAAAAACAAATTTAATCATTTCGATCAGTGTGTCATTAACGATGATCGGAGATGTTTTAGCAGAGATAAGTACGATACACAGAAATTGCGGAAATGCATATCGGTGTATGTATATACCCTGACATTATTTGTCGTTGTCTAAATACTAAAGTTTCTCTCTCATGGCGTCGGAGCTCACCCTCTAGTTATGTAGACTGTACCTTCTCTCTTTCTCTCTCTCATCTTTAAACATCTCTGCTCTGCTTTCCTTCCAGTTCACGCTAATCGCCTGTGTCGGTCCCCTCTCACTTCTCTCCCAACAATGGCAGAACGATTCTGTACCCTTTTTGCTTGTTTGAATTTCGCTTCTTGCTAAAGACTTCAAAGGATCTGGCTTTCCCTAAATAGAAAAGGCTTTCTTTTTTTTCTTCTTCTTAAGAATCTGGGCTGTTTCTTATTTGCTGTTACTATCAAGGAAGAAGAAGAATAGACTAGGACGAGGAGGATAGAGAAAATGAAGGGCTTTGTTCTATGTTTGGGTATGGTGGTTTTCATGCTGATAGGTGTTGTTTCTCCCACGAACAATGAAGGTTCTTATCCTCTCGGAACGTCTTTTGTTTATCTATTCTCGTGATTTTCCCCTTAAAGTTTCGATTTTTGACTATCATCAGTTTCAAATAGTTAAATAATCCTGTTGGATTTGTTTATTAATTTTTAAATGATTTCGATTTTGCACAGGAAAAGCCTTGATGGCGATCAAAGCCTCACTCAGCAACGTGGCGAATATGCTTCTGGACTGGGACGATGTTCACAACAGCGACTTCTGTTCTTGGCGAGGTGTCCTCTGCGACAACGTTAGCCTCTCCGTTGTCTCTCTGTAAGAGTCCTTGTTCTCATTCCTTAAACCCTTTTGCCTCGTTTGATTCATTTTTTTTCTGATTTGACCCTTTTTTTTTTCTTTCTCTGTTGGAAGTAATCTGTCAAATCTAAATCTTGGAGGAGAGATATCACCGGCCCTTGGAGTTCTAAGCAATTTGCAATCGATGTTTGTCATATCTACTCCCTTTAAATTGGAAGATGTTTGTAATCTGTGTGACTAAACAACGGTGTTGGTTTCTTATGAAGCTGTTGTCTTTTTTGCAAATAACAGAGACCTGCAAGGAAATTTACTGGGTGGTCAAATTCCAGACGAGATTGGAAACTGTGCTTCTCTTGCTTATGTGTAAGTTCTTGTTGGATGTTTGTGTTATTGAGTTAATGAAATCTGTTGATCTCCATTTTTTATAGTATCAAATGTTTCTTGTTCAGGGACTTCTCCTCTAATAGCTTATTTGGAGACATACCGTTTTCAATCTCTAAACTCAAACAGCTCGAGTTTCTGTAAGTTTTTTTTCCTTCGCCAATCGTTGTTCCCCTTTCCCTATTCCTGTGGATTTTGTTGTTGTTGTTGTAATCTGTATCTTCCACTGGCTTTTGCAGTAACCTAAAGAATAATCAGCTCACAGGCCCAATACCAGCAACCTTAACCCAGATTCCAAATCTTAAGACCCTGTGAGTTTCATTATGATACCATGTGTTTATGTATCAAGATGTTGAAAACCAAAGTGTTGGTTTCACTGATAATAGTTTCTTCGAATTTGTTTCTGCAGTGACCTTGCAAGAAACCAGCTAACTGGCGAGATACCGAGGCTACTTTACTGGAATGAGGTTTTACAGTATCTGTAAGTTCATCTACTTATCTCAAGTTCTTAAGCCATGAGGAGATTTATCCTCTGATTGTGACAATTTTTTTCTTTTTCTTTGCAGCGGTTTACGTGGGAATATGTTGACTGGGACATTGTCTCCTGATATGTGTCAGCTCACGGGTTTGTGGTACTTGTAAGTGAATCTAGCTCAGCCCTCTTTCATGTTTTACGTTGCTCTTTCCTAATCTCGTGACTTCGAGCAAGTTGTAATTGAATCCGGTTTGTTGTTGGTAGTGATGTGAGAGGCAACAACCTAACTGGAACTATCCCAGATAGCATTGGAAATTGCACGAGCTTCGAGATCCTGTATGTGTTTTCACCTTAAGGAAACATTCCGAGTTTTCAGCACAGAACTCGCATGGCCTTATTCGTCTTTTGCATTTGCAGGGATGTATCTTATAATCAGATTACTGGAGTAATACCCTACAATATCGGTTTCCTCCAAGTTGCTACTCTGTAAGTATGGTTGTTAAGTCTCTAAAACCTCGTGTGTGGTTGTTAAATCTGTTCATCTAATAAAGTGGTTCTCTTTCAGGTCACTTCAAGGAAACCGGTTGACTGGAAAAATTCCGGAAGTGATTGGTTTGATGCAAGCCCTTGCTGTTTTGTAAGTTCTTGTATTAACGAAACATTTACTTTTTGGGTTTCGTTCTGCGCTCTTCTGAGTCGGTGAAAATAACTTATCCAATTGCACAGGGATTTGAGTGACAATGAACTGATTGGGCCTATCCCACCAGTACTTGGCAATCTCTCATATACAGGAAAACTGTGAGTCCTTTGCTTTCTACTCACTGTGTCGTGCTTAAGCTCAGATTTTTGCATAGACATGTGAAAGTTGTTCTTGAAAAATAGGTATCTCCATGGCAACAAGCTCACAGGACCAATCCCACCTGAGCTGGGCAATATGTCACGACTCAGCTATTTGTAAGATTGAAATTTTTTAACTTCAGTATTGTTCAACTCAAATCTTAAGCTTATCTCTTGAGGGTTTTACCATTAAACAGGCAACTAAATGACAATGAACTAGTGGGAACCATTCCACCTGACCTTGGGAAGCTGGAACAGTTGTTCGAACTGTGAGTTCATATCCTCCATTGTTTCACTTAACGTATCATTTTTTTCTCTCCTATTCGTTAAGATGATTAATGTATCTTTTCACCATTTAGGAATCTCGCGAACAACCATCTTGTAGGGCCGATTCCACCTAACATTAGCTCTTGTGCTGCTTTGAATCAATTGTAAGTCAATTATAAGATATGAGATTGACACTTTCACAAATTAATATTCCTTTTAATCTTGTTCTCTATATAGAAAGCTTATTCTGCCTTCTTCTTTTCAGCAATGTCCATGGGAACTTCCTGACTGGCTCGATACCTCTGGGATTCCGGAATCTTGGAAGCTTGACGTACTTGTAAGCTTCAAAATTTGCGTAAACAGCATGGTTCTCTGTAATTATCAGTCTGTGTTGATCTTGATTCAATGCTGTAAATTGCAGAAATCTTTCCTCAAACAGTTTCAAAGGGAAAATACCTGCTGAGCTTGGCCATATTATCAATCTTGATACCTTGTATGTTTTTTTTTTCTGGTGCATTACATCCTATCTGCCCTTTATACCTCTTTATATGCGGATCAACTCATACAAGCTTTTGGTTTCAGAGATCTATCCGGCAACAATTTCTCAGGGTCAATACCATTAACCCTTGGTGATCTTGAGCATCTTCTCATCTTGTATGTCTTCATCAATCAATCCCTGAAGCTGCATTGCTCTCACATTTTTTGTTTTGGTTGCTTATTTGAGATATGCTTTAATTTTCAGGAACTTGAGCAGAAATCATCTTAATGGACCGTTGCCTGTAGAGTTTGGGAATCTCCGAAGCATTCAGATCATGTAAAAAGTTTTTCTTTATGCTTAAAGTTTCTTCCTCTATGATAAAAAATATCTTTTGACCAACTTTTCTCCTTTCTCAGCGATGTATCATTCAATATTCTCGCTGGTGTTATTCCAAGTGAACTTGGCCTTTTGCAGAACATCAACTCTCTGTAAGTAAAACCATCACTTCTCCTCCTTTACTTATTACCGTCTAGTACAGAGAAACCAATTTCATTATTGTTTTTTTTTTGTACAGAATACTGAACAACAACAAGATTCATGGGAAAATTCCAGATCAGCTAACGAATTGCTTCAGTCTTGTCAATTTGTAAGTGATCTATTTTTATACAGATGTTTTCTCTAAGATAAATGGTATGATGGTGTTTTTACTCAAATTTATTTCCGTCTCACTATACGCTTCTCAGGAACGTCTCCTTCAACAATCTATCTGGAGTAATCCCACCGATGAAGAACTTCTCACATTTTGCCCCGGCCAGGTATAAGCTTTGCAATATTTCGAATTCTCTTAACCTGTCGTATGACCATTATACCAAATCTATCATTTCGTTTATAGCTTCTTTGGAAATCCATTTCTCTGCGGGAATTGGGTTGGATCGATATGTGGCCCTTCTTTGACCAAGTCACGAGGTATCTAAACTTGCATTTATCCTATTGCATTGTCTTTAACTGTCAGTTTTCTTAAATATTTATAAGGCTTTTCTTTCCCTTGACAGTATTCACAAGAACTTCCGTGATTTGTATGGTTCTCGGTTTGATCACTCTTATATGCATGATAGTCATTGCGGTTTACAAGTCAAAGCAGCAGAAACAAGTCTTAAAAGGTTCTCAGAAACAGTCCGAAGGTATTTTGTCTCACAGTTACTCTCTTTTTCTCTTATTCATTAGAGTTGACAGTAGCATCATGATAAGACTTCTACGAAACCTTCAGGGTCGACGAAGCTGGTGATTCTTCACATGGACATGGCTATTCACACGTTTGATGATATCATGAGAGTGACGGAGAATCTCAGCGAGAAGTACATCATTGGATACGGCGCTTCTAGCACGGTTTACAAGTGCACCTCCAAAAGTTCCCGACCTATTGCCATTAAGCGAATCTACAATCAGCATGCCCACAACTTGCGCGAGTTTGAGACAGAGCTCGAGACCATCGGGAGCATAAGACACCGAAACATTGTGAGCTTGCACGGATATGCCTTGTCTCCATTTGGCAACCTCCTCTTCTACGACTACATGGAAAATGGCTCTCTCTGGGACCTTCTCCACGGTTTGCTATTCTTCTTCTCTTGGGAGCAATTACATACTTTCCAAATTTTGTTTTCCAAGTTTTAGAGGGCTTAAAAGTAGTGAATTCTATGAAGCAGGGGCTGGGAAGAAAGTGAAGCTTGACTGGGAAACAAGGCTGAAGATAGCCGTTGGAGCTGCGCAAGGACTTGCATATCTTCACCATGACTGCACTCCTAGGATCATCCACCGGGATATCAAGTCCTCAAACATACTCCTTGATGGGAACTTCGAAGCACGTCTGTCGGATTTTGGGATTGCCAAGAGCATACCAGCCACCAGAACGTATGCTTCAACATATGTTCTAGGAACCATCGGCTATATCGATCCTGAGTATGCTCGTACTTCTCGTCTGAATGAAAAGTCTGATATCTACAGCTTCGGTATCGTCCTTCTTGAGCTTCTGACCGGGAAGAAGGCTGTGGATAACGAGGCCAACTTGCACCAAATGGTATGAATTCTCATGGAAGTGATAAAGGTGTTGCAGAAGCTTGTTCTTGGAAACAATGAGATATCATTTGTTTTCTGTTGCAGATACTGTCGAAGGCGGATGATAACACGGTGATGGAAGCGGTTGATGCAGACGTGTCAGTGACTTGCGTGGACTCAGGGCACATCAAGAAGACATTTCAGCTGGCTCTTTTGTGTACCAAGCGAAACCCTTTAGAGAGACCCACGATGCAAGAGGTCGCTAGGGTTTTGCTCTCTCTTCTCCCGTCTCCTCCTCCAAAGAAGTTGCCTTCTCCTGCGAAACTACTGGGAGGTGATGAACGGCGTGAGAGCCACTCTTCAGACACAACGGCCTCACCACAGTGGTTTGTTCAGTTCCGCGACGTTATCTCCAAGAGTAGCTTATAAGTTACTAACCTTTAGGGCTTCCTCTGTTTACTCTCTTCTTTTTGGGGTTTCTTATGTGGCAAGGAAGATGGAAGCGGTAGATTTTTTAATGCGAATTAGGGCTAGTATGAAGGGGTATTTTGGGAAAGGGAGATAATATTGAAGGCATTAAAGGCAAAACGTGGTATAGGTGAAAAGGTAGGTAAAGTTAATTGTTGTGGTTTCCAGAAGACATCTTCACGAGTTCGTTAAAAGTCTTTCAATCTCCTCTTTAATGCGCACACACATCCTTTAATGGTTCTTTCACACTGTATATATATTATGTACATTATTACTCGATGACCCAAAACAAGAATTGCACATATATAAAAACTTCTCTATTCTAATATACATGTGCTTTCTGACAAATGTGTATCTTTAGAAGCAATTGGGTACTTCCTGTTGAATGTCCTGCAACACAAACCCAAGCTTAAGTTAGAATGAGATTGATGGAGATGTGTTGTTTGGACAGCTCAAAGCAGTAGGTTTCAATACCTGTTAACATGGAGGATATTTTTCCCATTGAAGGTTTCAGAGTTCTTCTTCATAGTCCTGTCTAAGTTGTACAAGCACGATATATGTCTAGAAAAATCTCTATGCAGATAAGATTACACGGAAGTAAGAGAAGCATCTAATCTAAAAATGGACCGGGATTGAATCAGAATCTGAAGTGAGACATAGCTGTAAGAAATGGTAACTTTGTTAATATCCATAAGAAAAACACAAATTTAAATACAATTTGAAGATGATGAAACACTCGCTTACTTTGCTGAGAGATTCAATAAAAGGTTCATCTTGGGAGTTTGTGTCCTTTGGAGCTTCAGATTCCTTCGATGAACTAAAAACACGGTACAGTAAGGGGAATGAATTGTTTCTGCATCTAGAGTTATCACATGATCCATGAAGACAATTTTTAAATGTTTCCAAGAACCAACCTGCAATATGAGCGACTTATCCTCGGAAAAACGTTTTCATATTTGATGTCGATTGCTTCACCACATTCGCTTGAAGTCTATCAAGAAAGAGGAGACCTTTTTTTGTTAAAGACCTTTCATGGATTCTAGTTCTAATGGAGGGATGAAAGTCACTGCATCACCTTTGAGTATAGAGGGCAAATCTTAGGTTCATAAACTTGACAGCTTGTCCTTGAGCTGCGAGATTCCTTGACTTTCCTACCTTTTGTGGAACTAACGGACTTTGATCTGCACAATCTGGCGAGTCTTGATTCTTGTTTGAGTCAATGCAAGAGAAGAAGGACTAAAGGAATGGAATTTATAAAAGATTCATGGACTAACGTTAAAGAGAGTGTAGGATCATCAGTGGGTGCAGTTCTAGCCTGCAATATGAGAAGCATCACTGTATGTAGCTGGAGAGATGAGAGATCAACAGACGGTTTTGTGTAACGAGTTTTTAGACTTACACTGAAAGAGCGTTCCCTCGCTCTAGGAGATGTCCTCAGATGAAATGCCTAGACAACAATCACAAAAATGATAACAGAATGCTGTTAACATTGTGGTTTGACACAGAGTTTCAAAAATGTTCTTTAGAAGATTTAGACCTGAAAATCTTGAGAGCGATGCGTAATCCTTCTAGGCAAAGGTGTTGAAGAACTTTCTTGAATCTTTTTATTCATCGTAGAGCTGAATTTCGCTATCTGCTCGGGTGCTGAATTAGCCTTAAACCTGAAAGAGATTCATTGCAGAGAGGTAATAAACATGCCAATAAAGCAAAACTTGTCAGAGAGTCCTTACCGGTGTCCTGCAGCCCTTTGGGCAGTCTTGAGGTTAGGTTCCTTTGGAACAGTGACTTTGGATCCCTGTGAACACAACAAATACATAAATATACAAGAAGATGATACCATGAATGTCTAAAATCTCAAGTGCCTTACCTTTCTTGGAATCTTATGTACAAAAGGAGTTTGGTCCAGCCGCGACACCTAATTAACAAAAGCTTAATAGCATTAATCCCCCAAAACAAAATGGGTTTGAAGATGATAGAGCAGTAAGTAAAGACCTTGCGCAAGAAGCCGGATTCAAGTTTTTGTCTCTTGGTATCTTGAATGTGAGGCATAGAGAATAAGAGCTTATCATCGAACTTCCCTAATGATCTCTGACATCTACACAACATTCAAATCAGTTGAAGCTAATAACAAAAGACTGATCAAGAGGAAACATGCTATATACCTTGTGAGAAGTTGAACAGAGTAGATGTCAAGAGGTTTGTTCTGTCTTGCTAACAAAGAAGCAGTGGGTTTCGTCAAAGTTGAGTTTTTTCTTAAAAAGGGTTTGGCTTTAGACTTTTGTGTGGCCTTGGGAATATCTTTAGCAGATTGGTCGTAATATGCGAACCCTGATCACCATCAAACAAGACCTTGAGTTGCAAGAAAACAGAGCAAATACAGGAATTGCATATAATACCGTTGTATTTTTCTGAGATGGGTTTGGTGATCTTGAGATGTTTGTCCTCGAATCTACAGCTCAAATCAAGGCTAAATGCTGAGAGAAAAAGGCATAATCATTAATCAGGAGACAAAAAAAATTCCCCAAATATGAAGATTAAAAAAAAGAGATGCAGAACTTACGCGAAGGAGGATAATTTCCAGCTAATTCAAACCAGAGCTCTGTTTCCTCTGTTTCTGAATCGAGCTCTGGTTTTGAGAAATCATAGAACCGAGGGGCGTCGAATTCAAAATCGATGTCGAATTCCTCAACGGAGGTATCTTCTTCTGCAAATATATCCATTGATTCCGGATCCATTACTGTGTCAGGAATCCGCAGGAAAAAATCAATCAGAACGAAACAAATTCGCGATCATTTTGCTTTTCTCTTTTGTTTCTGGAAATTTAGATGGCGCAAATTTAGATAGCGCAGTTACAAAACGACGGTGTTTAAACAACAAGGCCGTTGGCTAAATACAGGTAAAAACTAACTACTAATGTTCGTTTCTTCACTACATTTATACGGAAATCTTAGGAGTAATGTATTTTTGAGCCAAATACAAACAATTTCACCTTGAAAAAATTATGTTACAAAGTTAATAGGTAAAAAAAAGTGTTAAATCCATACAAACGGTTAAAAGTTTTTTTTCTTTTCTTTGCATTTGCATGATGTGTTTGTTGAAAAAGTTTTAACCTGGAACAATTAAAAAACATCAAATTCCATGTTGAGTTAGATTCAAATTTTATTTAGTGTTGCAATTATTATTATGATTATTATTATTTTTTATTATTTAACAAAAAAACTGACTGATTTACATTAGGTGTAAAAACAAATGGAATATAGATAATCTCTAACAATTAAATAAATTTAACTGGCTGGATACTATGTCAGGTTAGTTCCACAACTAATATAAATATAATCAATTTTAAACTAATTTTAACGTGGATGAATACAAATATAAATTTAAAGAATAGAATACTTATCTTTTTTTCAAGTTTCCTTATCTTGGTATCCCTTAGCTTTCTGAAATTCATTTTGTAAGAAATGCTTTAACCTAAAATAATACAAAACAACAATGGATTAGATTAAAATTTCATTAAGTGTGGCAATTATTATTCTTAGCATTTTCATTCCTAATAAAAAAACCGATTGATCTGCATTAGTCGTGGATACAAATTAGAAATAAGTAATCTCTAACGATCAAATGAATTCAAATGGATGGATACCATGTCCGGTTAGTTTCACAGAACTAATGTAAATCTAATCGATTTTAAATTAATTTAGATTTTAATGAATATAAATAAAAAAGAAAATTAAAAAAAAATACTTATCTTTTTTTTTAAGTTTCATTCGCTCGATATTTCTTGCTTCTTGAATTTCATTTTGTAAAAAAAACTTGAACCTAAAATAATACAAAAACGACAACGGATTAGATTCAAATATCATTTAGAGGGGCAATTATTATTACTAACATCTTTTTTCCTAAAATAAACCGATTAATCTACGTTAGTTGTGGATACAAATTGGACATAAGCAATCTCTAACGACCAAATGAATTTAAATGGCTGGATGTCATGTCCGATTAGTTTCACATAACTATTGAAACTAATGTAAATCTAATCAATTTAAAACTAAATTTAAAATTTAATGCATATGAACAAAAGAAAGAAGGAATAGAAAACATATCTTTTTTTTAGAGTTTGGCATCTCTTGCTTAGTGAGTAGAAGCTAACTTCACCTGCCATTTCAAATTTCCTCTTTTATCAGTCCGGTTTCTATAGCTAACAAAATCAAGATGAAAAAGAAGCGAAAGTAAAATCATCGAGAGATGGCTCTGATTTTCTTACATCTTCTCGTGTATTGAAGCACAAATGTATGATTCCCATTCCCATCAGATTGCTTCGGTGAATTCGCTCAAAGCACTTTGAAACAGCAAATTTATGTAAATGATTGTGTTTTTCAAATACGAGACCAAAGCATTTAAAGCAGAAAATGTACCAGAAAAGCATTGGACCCTTAGCAGCCCAATCACGAGAACTTGCACTTCCATATTCAGCACCAGCCAAAATGATTGTGTCGCCTCCCTTGTTCCTGTATTTCTGGTAAAACGCAACAAAGAGAATAATTTGATAAGAGCAAAGCTACGAAACTGTTATTCTATTTCCGATCGACCAAACCAGAGAGACTCGACTTAAAGGTTTTAGAAAAGATGAAGAAAGAGTGTGGGATTTATACCATGGAAGCATCGAAAACAGAAAGCTCCTCTCCACTGGGAATGTGAACTGTTTTGGGACCAACTTCTCCTTTCAATTGTTTGTTGACAATACGAAAGTTCCTCTCGCCATAATCTCATCATAACCACGGCGACTCCCGTAAGAGTTGAAGTCTCTTCTGTCCACACCAAGCTCCATCAAGTACTTAGCCGCGTGACTGTCCTGGTGAGATGTGATCAGTCGTGATACTGTCTCCGAAATTGAGCAAACAGTAAGCATCTTTCACACCGGGTGGAGACATGGTCATGCCCTTTGGTGATTGCTTGATACATGTCAGGAAGAACAGTAGCTTGCACAACCTGAAAACACGAAACAGAGAATTTGACATCCCTCCCAATGACAACATCTCTTATCTTTTTATGTATTGCAGCATCTATGTACCTCGGCAACTTCTTTGTTAGAGAGCCAGATGTCCCTGAAAAAGATCTGTCTGTCATCTTTTCCAGTTCCAATGGGCTCCGTCTCAAAATCAATGTCAACCCTATGAGAACATGATGAATGCTTGATTGAACTCTGCAGCCTTACTCTGTGCTTCTTTTGGAGCAGCAAAACCCTGGAATATCACGACAAAGAATCACTAAGACTAAATTATAAACAAGAGAGAAAAAGTATAATCTCGTAATAATCCATCGGCCTAATTTGGTAACAATCGTCAATCGAAACCAACATTCTCTCTTCTCGCATAGCACAACCTAGTACTAAACCCAGAGATTTCCGATTCCAGCAATACAGAATTTACAATATTTATAAAAATCGAAGTAAAAATCAAACCTTGATGAGAATGAAGAGAGACGAGAGAGATGTCATCGTTAATGGCTTTGTCGACAATAAGTCGGTTTGGAGACTTGTTCCTCTCGAGAACAGCAGTACTGAAATCCTTCTTCGGATTTACTGAAACATTCGATTTTCCGTAAAAACAAGAGAGAATAATCAAAACTCAGCAGCTTTTAAACCCTGATCAAAAACCTCCAGTAAAAGATCGAAACTTTATGATTGGAAAACGAAAATCTGAGATCTTGGTACTTACGAGTCCGAAGATTCAGGATGGTTTGACATGGTGATTGCTGAAATTGATCAGAGACTTTTTCTCAGATAAAGTTGCTGCGAATTTTATTTCTTGAAAGATCGATTGATGAATCTCTGTGAGCATGGGATCTGAAGGGAGAGCAGATTTTGAAATTTTGTATCTCTTCTTCTTCTTGGTAAACAGAAAAAGAAGCGGTTGCTTTTGCTAATCAGTAGAAAAAAAAGACTGTTGTGTCTGATTTCTCCAACGTACTATTTGTGATCTACTCGATATTACACGCTGTGCCGTTTGTCTTTTCTAGACTTCCCGTTTATAACTACCTGCCGTTTTTAAACTCTGAGTGATCGTCTTCTATTCTTCTACTTGGAGAAAAGAGAAATCACCGCCATTTTCTTTTCCGGCTGATGGGGTATTCTTCATGTGGCCGTTATTCGATTGACGAGCTTACTCGAGGACTGTTTGGATCCAAGGCTATCTTCGTTACTAACCAAGTTAAAAATGATAGTAAGGCTTCTTAAAGCCTGGCTCATTAACGTTACAGAAACCGTTGCGTTTCGGCTGAAGTTGAAAAGTACGGCCACGTGGCAAATACAGGCGCGTATACGGTATGACTAGTTGACTCCAACGCCCGTAACTGATTTTGCTGACGTGGAATATTCGCGTGTGTACACACTTTCGCATTTCATTCAATTTCATCTCTTTACTCTACAGCCCTTCTTTGATCTTCGCTCCTCCGTTGTTTTAGTTCCGTTTGGTTTCCCAGAAAACGAGAGAAAGTTACACATAGGTAAAAAAAAAAGTGTTGTGTCAAAATCCATACAAACGGTTAAAACTTTAAACGATACATTCATTCGTTTGATAAAATCAATAAACTAAATTCAAAGCCCTGAGTTTGTCGTGCCTCCATTCATTGTTAATTTTTGCTATAAAATCTTCTGCCCTCCTTCTCAAGTCATCGTCTCCTTTCTCATCTTCCACATCAGCCGCATTGCTCTCATCATCCTCATCATCATCATCCTTATCCTCATGATCATCACAATACTGGCTGTCTTCTTTGTCCTCGTCTTCGTCAGAAATACTGCTTGAGGCATCGATCAACGACTCATCTTCTGCAGATGAAGCATCAACTACAATCATCTCTTTATCACCATCATCATCACCAAAATCATGATCGTCAGAAGCAAGGTTGCACATAGTGAAGCTCACGGGGGTAGTAAATGTGGAAGCTTGTGAATCCATGGAACCGGGTTTCGATGATCCAGTGAGGATTATGACTATAATGAGGTTGCAGAAACAGAACATGAGAAGCGAGTTCGAAGTGGCTTCTCCGATCAATTCAAACGCGATGTCCAACATCTTTGCAGCCTAAGAAAAAAAAGATAAATAATGAGAATTGGGGAAGACGGATTTGGTAGTTAATTCAGCTTTTGTGATAGAACAGAGGCTTGGCGCGCTTTATAAAGGGACAAAAGTGTGTAAGAGAAGCTCTTTGTGAGATAGAAGTTTCGTGGCACTGAGGTGTAGATAGGAAGCTTTGTCGATATAAGTGAAATGAATTATAAGATTCTTGAGATTTGGGCTTGTTTATATCTTATATATATATTTTTAAAGACCCAAAGTACAAATGACTCTTGGGTCTATGGATTTTATTATATGTAATCTTTTAATGTGAAGCTTCAATGCAATGGTCCAAACTTGTTAAATAATAATGATTGTATAGTGAAGTTACTTGGCAACTATTCTCATTAAAACAAATAAAATAAGCAGAAAAGCGTTATTGCTTTGGTACCTCAGCACTAAAGTGTCACATGGAGCTCATCATGTCCATGTCATCCATTACGTTCCATCATCATCATATACGTTCTAATAAGTCGAAAGTTCTCTGAAATTAGATAAATTCATCGATCCGTCTAGGAAACATTGTGCTCTTTTTTAACTGCGTGTACAATCAATGAAAGTTCGGTGAAACTACTTAACGATCTTTCTATGTACATAACTACATTGTCTATTCCTTGTAGAATTATAGTATTCTTTAATTTATAGACTTCATACTATTTCTTTTGTTAAAGTAGACTTTTAGTAGTTTACAAAAAAATACGCTTTTGTAGCACACGTCACATGAACTTACTTTAATTAGGAATAACATGTACCGTAGGGACATTATTATTCTGCCATACACGAAACTTAGCTATACATTACTTTTGTGGAGGACATTCGTTTCACCGATCATTTTATGTAATATGTTTATAGATTTGAACGTTACTTTAATTTTTCCTTTCTCTGGAAAACACCACACCAACATTCATGATATTAGCCATAATTAACAATATACACATGGGTAATGGATTGATTAATTTACATTTAATTGATTTTATTTTACTGACCAATATGTTTCTCTTCACTTGGTTTTTTTTTTTTTTGACAAAAACTCTTCACTTGTTTCTTGCTAGATACATTGCATTGCACTCGATTTACGATCCACATAAGCATTTTTTGAAAAAAAAAAATATATATATATATATATATATACTATTTTAAATTTTCAAAATAAATCATTTTGAACCCTTTCTAAAGAAATTTAAAGCAAATTGTGTTGTCTTTTTTGGAATTTTAAGATTTTGAAATATAAAACATTGAAATTGGTACGTACGTAGTTTAGAAAAAATGCTGCTACGTACACCTTCGCTTTGACCGATGCATTATTACTAGTCGTTATGGTAATAATCAGTTAGTACCATTCACAATTTGTTCATTTGTGTGTATTATGGATAATAATGAAAGTTTTAAATTTGACAAGTGACGATAATGCATTGGTCAAATATGTTCTCGTAATTACTGTCGTAAGTAATAGAAAGTCCTAATTTGGAAGGGCAAAGAGGTAATTAACATGTGTTTAACTCACTATAAAAATAAAACTCGACAGTACACTGATCACATTATAGAAGGTTTGCACACTTTCTTGTCTTCATTTAGTATAATTGCAACAACAATAACTCCATGTCCGAGCCGAGCTTCCCCGTGCCGACGTTGTTTCAAGTGCCCAATAGTGGTAGCCAAGAGGAAGAGAAGAAAGCAGCTGGTTACGTCAACTATGAAGTAGAGCCTGGCTTCACCATTCGTCTGCGTCAGAATATTGACCCTGGCATCGACCCTAAGAAGCTCAAACGGTTCGTTACATAATTTTATTATTTTAAATTATGATCTTGCGATTATATATATACATATGTGTCAACCCTAGCTAAGTTAATTTTGGTGTCCATACATATGCAATTATATGTGTAGCATCGTTTCAAACCGTGTTGCGGCTCAGAAGTCAAGGTTGAAGAAGCTTCAATATGTTGATGATTTAGTGAAGAAATCCAAGGAGCTCCAAGTATATATAGATTCTCTTACTTCATTCTTCTTAAATTGATCTGTATATACACACATTATTCCATCATAAACATATTATATATACAGAGGCAGGTGAGTGTGTTGCGTTCCCAAGTAGAGATAGCGAGTGAGCAGAAGCGATGTCTAGAGAGTGAGCAAAGGGAGATTAAGGAGTGTATGTCTGCTTGGCTCGAACGTTTTATCTCCAAACAAGGTATATGACATTTAACTAGATATATATTTGGAATTGACATAATAATCATTACAATGCTATTTAATTAATAGGTGAGATTGAGGTGTACAAAGCGGAGATAGAGAGGCTGAAGAAGAAAATGGATCGTCTGATTTGACTACCCTCATGCACCCAAATTTCATGTGTTTCTTTTGATACAGAATTTTTTTTTTTAATCAAAGCAGTATACAGTAATGTGTATGTGGTTTATGCTTCTAGTTGAATTGTGCTAAGTGTGTTATCTTTCTTTTGAAGAATGAAAAAAAAAATTAAATGATTTCGAGTTTTGGAAAAAAAGTTATTACCTGAACGAATTAATGTTCAACAACACATAATTACATTAGTGCGTGTTTTATTAGAGTTTCTTTCCCTTTCTCAACGTTTATTGGTTGTTTTTTGTTAATATAGAAAGTGCCAATACTGAATTTAATAATTGTTGAAAACGGTTGTATATATAGAGAGTTAAAAAAACGGCTATATAAATAATGATTGGCATGCATACGCAACTACGTATTCTAACTATTCTTGTTTTTGTCCGATTTGTTTTCTCTTTTCTCGAACACGAATATAACTAAGGACGCACATAGCCACATACAAAACATCACAAGAAAATAAATAGTATTAGTTTTTTTAAAAAATTCTTATTCAGATTAAATTGTTCGAGTTTTTGGACTTTTGAGCGTTTAACCTTCACTTATCTATTAGTGGGGCTAGGGTTAAAAAAAAATCATCCTATGTTTTCAAGTTATTCAGCATTATATTTAGTTCGTAAGCATTATATAAGCGCTTATTGTTTCTTCGTTGAGAATGAAATGAAAGTTATAATTTTATTTGAACCCATTAATGAAACATCCACATTAATCATTTGACATATGGGCCTAAAAACGAGTAGGCCCATCTCAGAGTGGGTGAGGTACTACATGTTTGTCGTTTGTAGAAATCATAGCTGAACTTCATGTCGTTTAAGGGTGAATCCCTGAGATTATAGGGAAACACAATTTTAGACATCACAACACAGCAGTTTCTCCTAAAAGTCTCTCAATCAAACGACTCATTTTAACTTGTACATATCCCGCTTATCTTTTGAGAGATGAATGACTTGAGATTCTTATTAGTTTAATTTGAAACACAATGTGGAATCTTCAGTTTTGCAGAGTGAACAAAAATAAGATGGTCTCCGTCTATATACACACTTTAGGTTCCTTCAGTGGATATGATCTCCAGCTCCGCCCACCACGCCGGAGATAGCCTTGGCAACGCTGCTTCCGCCGTTATTCCGGTGATCTCTCTCAGCTTAGCCACCACTTCCTTCATCTCCGGCCTCTGATTCAAACACTCCGAAACCACTCCCCACACCTTCTCCAGGACACTCTCGTCGAAGCTCTCCAGGGTCGGATCCACAACTTCTCTCGCGGGCTTGGTTTCGCGGGGCGGAGAATCCGGATCCGGGATCTTTCCGGTGATGATCTCGTGCAGAATAGCGCCAAAGCTGAAGACGTAGTCGGTCTTTGGATCAATTGGTGTGGAGCTGAGGAAAGTAAAGTCAGCGACTTTGGCTGCGTAATCCGTTGTCAAGTAGACGCAAGAGGAGTTGAGGTTAGTAGGGGAGATGGGTTTAGGGTTGAGGTTTTGCATGTGTTCCACACAGTAAGCTATTCCCATTGCGATTCTCAGTCTCTTTGGCCAGTCCAAGTGCTGCTCTGCGTCTTGCTCTGCAACAACATACAGATGCTCAAGGATGGGACTGAGTGAGTCTGTGGAATAAGTTTCTCAAGGAGATGAGATCACTGACCGTGCAGATGCTCGAAGAGGCATCCGTAAGGAGCGTACTCGAAAACCAGCATCCGGTTAAAGGGCTCGTCTTCATGGCAATATCCGATTACCTTCAGGAAGTTCTTGTGGTCCACTTGAGATAACCTCTGTACCTGCGTTGCAGGGTTATATATCTGTGAAAAGCTGTGGTTTTTATTGAAGAGGAGAAAGATGATACCTTTTCGTTGAAATGTGTTTCGAGATCCGATGACCAGTCGTGGAGGGATCCAGATGCGACTGATAGAACAGCAATCTCAGAGCCGGTGGAGAGAGTTCCTTTGTAAATGATGGCGTCTGAGGATCTGGAGCCTATGATGTTACTGAAATCTTCGCAGGCAGTTTCAAGTTCTGATAGCTTCAGCTTAGGAACACCTTCATGAGATCCCAATAAGTAGAGTAAGCCCGCTCAGCAATAAAGCTATGTTATTGAATACTGAATATAGAGTAAAGATAACACAGTGAGCGAAGAAAACGTGGTACCTGTGATAACAACAGATTGAAGCTGGCCACTGCTCCTAGCAGCTGTCCATGGCTTTATCATTTTGACCTTTTTCTTCCGGAGAAGGAAGAAGGCCATCAATGCGGCCATGAGGCCTAATACACCTACGAGCACTCCAACTATTATAAAAAGGCTAACTTTCTTTTTCTTGGTAGCAGGACGCAGAGCTCGAGTGGTAGTAACCGGTGGAGGCTGCGATGGAGGCTGATCTGGAGGTGGAACTGGTGGAGACAGAGGTGGAGGTGGAACTGGTAGAGACAGAGCTGGAGGCGGGTTTGTGATTCTGGCTGGATCCCCAGCGGGAGGGCTTGCACCTCTAATCTGCGGAGGAGGAGGAGGGAAAAAGAAATCTACGGAGGATTGTTCTGTAGGCGACGGAGGAGGAGGAGAAGGTAATGGAGGAGGAGGAGGAGCTTCATCGATGCCTGGAGTCTGGCCAGAGGGAGCTATCTGAAGCAGCCTGCGACCGGATAGGAATGGTTGGCCAAAGTTGTTGTCACACAAATCCAAGATCTCAAGCTCCTGCAGTTTTGTTACCTCTTCAGGTACGTTCCCGGAAAATGAATTGTTTCTCAGGATACTGCAAAACCCCACACAAGAACAAAGCAGTTGTAGATGTATATGTATAGTTTTGAGGGAGTGTTGGAAAAAAAAGAAGAAACGTTTTACTTACAGAGATTTCAAGTGAGTTAGGTTTCCGAGTTCAGGAGCTAGTGTTCCTTGCAGGGAGAGATCTCTTAGATTTCTACGTGTTATCCGATTACACAAGAAGACATCAAATAAATAAAGCTGAGAAAGAGGAATCACATCTTTATCAAGGATTTGGATGAACTTACAAGATGACAACTCTTCCATGTGAACAGACAACACCAGACCAAGAACAATGAGGAAGCTCTCCCCAATTCAACAGAGCTCCAAACGGGTCTCTCTCTATTCTCTCTTTGAATTTCATCAGCGCCAATGCTGCAAAACACCACCCGATTCTCCATCCATCAACAGTTGAATAGACTCAGAGAAGGATGAGACAAAAGAAAAAAAGTACCTTCGGTGCTGAAACAGAGACCAACCGTGAGATTGTGAGGAAGAAGGAAGAGGATGGTGATTGCTGTTCGGAGCAATCTCCACCGTTGATCAGAACTCATCATTTGTTTTTGTTGGAGCAGTTCAAGTCGTCGTTCAGAGACGAAGACAAATCAATGTCTGCTCCTTTTTATATCCCACCTTCTTCATTTTTCTTTTGTTTTTCTGACGTTATTTGAGTTACAATCACAAGTTGCTCAAAATAAACTTCAGGAAAATGTTTTCGCTTTAGGACGTTTCGCCTTTTCTTATATAATTAAGTTAAAACCATAGAAAGTTGGAAAATGTAAATTGCAATTTTAATTAAAATATTGACACCATTTGCAATGCACGATACATTACTGTCTTTCCCTCTATAAATTGACCCAGCAAACTTTGACTTAGTTTCTTTTTCTTGGTCGTTAGCAACTATAAAATTGAAACGAACATACTTATACTTGTGAGAACATAGACAATTGTTATTTTATGCCATTTTGAACAGTTCTAATTTGAAGTTATACCTGTATATTTTTTTTCCCCGTTTAACAGATCACTCATTTTGGTCAAGGTATACGATGTACGGAAGAAATTGAGCCCATTGACAAAGTAAAAGTAAAGTGTAAAGCCGAAAGTGGGCTTACAAAGAGGCCCAAATGGGTCACCAATGTTAGCTGAAACCCTCTAACCAAAATATACACCAAACCCTTCTTTCTCTTGTCAGCTTTCTAGATGCAGTGGAGCCCATCTTTATTTAGGTTAAATGATCCGAGATTGAATCAAGCAGTTTACTTGTTGAAAACGTTATTCAAAAGGATGGATATCGAGTCAAGGAATTGACATTAATTAGTAAACTCGATTTATTAATTTTATTTGAAAAGAAAAAAAACAGCAATCTCATCTAGGTCGCAAGCGACTTCAATAGAGATAATAAGAATGAAACGAAATCTCGCAAGAACTTAAAACAAGGAAGAAAGAAACAAAAAAGCCAGCAAGAACTTAAAAGGCTCGAGAGTGCCCGTTGAGTTGCCTCCACAAGTGCTGCATCACCAATCTCGCATGCAGTTAAGGAAAGATGCGAAAATGCCAGACCCTAGAATTGGTAACACTGCCACATTAGGACTCGGACGATACAAGAGAAGAGAGAGCGCAGCGTAGGATGTCATTCTGTAGAACAAATCGAAGTCGATTCTAACGTCACCAACGCAGAACCGGACGAATGCTAGAGTTTTTGTGTCTGCCAGAGAGATTTCGACTCCAAGACTTGACAGAGCTTTGTGTGCTTGAGTAACACTCAAGTATCCAGCTTTGTCAGAATTGAAGGTGTCAAAGGCTTTCAACACACCTTCTTTGCCGCACTTAGGACGGAGGCAACTCAGGAACTCAAGCTCGCTGATTAACCCATCACGATCGGCATCCAAATTCTCCATTAGAAGCTTGATCTCGTCACCGGTAAACAACATGTTCAATGAGAAGAAAGCGGCCCTCAAATCCGCAAGGTTGATTAGAGAGTTATGGCCGCCACTAACAATATTGAAACACCTAATATTGTTGTTCTCTATCTTTTCGATTTCCATCGGCCTCATGTCCATGATAATAGAGTCCTGTGTTGTTGATAAGAAAAACAAAGAGCAATAGTAGCTAAGTTGCCCTACTTATTGATCTGTGTATATGAGCCACGTATTAAATAGATTGATTCCTAATAGTAAGATTTGCATGAAAACGTAAACGCATACGTAGGTCAAACGTTTCATACCCCTTTGAAAGCTTCGTATACACTCGCTCATAACATAATTTGTTTTTTATCCGTTTGTAAGTATATGGCTTTCATGAGCAGTAAAACGTAAACGTTTGTTCAAAAGAAATAATGTTACCCGAAGCATAAGACAAAACGAAAGGAGTGACAAATTAATGGTTACTATTTTACTAAAAATTTAACTGTATACAAATATTGAAGAAAACGTATTTGAATAATTTCATCACATTTTTCGGAAATGCGGTGTAGTATAGTTTTGTTTCATAATCTCAGGCTCGAACGCGTGACATTGTGGCAGCTACAGATTTCTTCACAAAAAAAAAAAAAAAGAAAGCCACAGTTCCAATTCGTGGAAACAGTGGAGATGGGAGGAGTGAGTTGGTCTTAATTACCGTGAGATGTCACGGAGCAAGACGCAGTGGATATGAGAGAAGTTAGGGCGTGTGGAGGGGCAACTGTTCCAGCATTTGGTCATAAGATATCTGAGGACCTGAGGGCAATCCTTTGGGATCTCCGGTCTCAGCCCGCACGCTGCAATCCCAACCGCCGCCTGCACTGGCGAGCAAGACCCATACGCCTCCTCCCCTGTCACCATCTCCCAGAGTACTATCCCAAAGCTATATGCGTTGCTCATCCAGCTCTCTCTCGTCTTCTCCGGGTCTCCCGCGATTATCTGTTGCCAACCATTTCACAAACTGCAGTCAAGAAACTGCTTTGCCAATAAACTCTACAACTTGTTTTCATAATTGGACAAGGAGAACATTAGGCATCATGCTCAGTAAATGTAAGGATGAATCATGTCTGTATCATTGGCTTACAGATCATATACGATGAGGTAATAATGGCAAAGCATAATCCTGAAGCAAACCACTGAACTAGGACTATGTAAGAAAAAGCGTCAGAGAAATACAGACCTCGGGTGCAAGCCATCGATAGCCATCTGTTTCGTACTCCATGGCCTCGTTGACACTCTTGCATGCGGTGACTATTCCCATATCACCCAAACAGGCGTTTCCCTGCTTATCTAAAAGTATTCTCTGTGTGTTGAGGTCTCTAAATGCGACACCATGATCGTTCATGAGCTTCACCCCTTCCGCTACGTCAACAGCAATTCGAAATATATCCTTGGTCTGAATCTTCTTTTTCTTCAACACCAGTTCACGGAGTGATCCACCTTGCATCAGTTTTGTTACCACGCATAGTCCATGATTTTCGTCGATGCAGACACCATAAAACTGCAGAATGCTCTTGTGTCCACATGTCATCAGCTCCAAGAAATCTTTTCGGATCTCAAACTCATACGAGTTCCCCTTATCGCAGCCTTTTAGCTTCTCAATGGCCACCTTTTTGCCTCTGTAAACTCCTTTGAAGAAATTTGGTCCTAACTGATCACCAAACTCGAGATTATCTGAACTCAGTAGCCATTTCCCGATATCATCGCCGCCTGATTGGATGGTCTGCCATTCATCTACCGATACAGAAAACGACGAGCTTGGTGGTGGCATTTGAAGCTGGATCCTAGTATTCGGATTTTCAAACTCTTGTCTATAGCATTGATCAATGGACTCTTCATCAACATCCCCGAATTCCCCTAAACCCGCGCTCTGTTCTTGACAGCCGCAGAGACCAAAAGGGAGCTTCACAGAGGTCGTCGACTTGGGCTTCTTTACCGCGGATTTAAGGGCATTCTCTACTTTGATCTTGAACAATTTTTCTTGTCCGGGCTCAACCAAAACAAGAACAACTCCTAGATTCAACCCTTTCTTCTCAAAGATCTGCACCTTCTTACAACAAATCGAGGCACTTTCAAGAGATCCTGAAACGGTTGACCATGAAAGAGAAGAAGTGCAAGCGAATGTGAGCCTGAACACTGAACCCAGAGCTTCCTCCTCATCACACACCTCTTGAATCACAAACACAGGATTGTCATCTCCAGAAGTTTGCTCAATGAGTTTTATGTGTACAAATACCTCTTTCATATCAAAACCACTCTGACTGTAACTGTTCAGAACAAAAGCAGAATTATCCAGATTACTCCATGCTCTACCAAATATAGCAACAATAACTAGATCTAAGCTGTATTATCTTACTAAAATGCTATTGAATCAAGGGGAATTCATAATATTAGGAAACCTAGAAGACGAAGAAACATTGCTTAATTAGCTTAACCAATGAGTAGAAATGACGCAATATCTTAAGCGTTAATTGAATCGCCGAACGGAAGCGTTTGGGAGAATCTGGTTTACCTGAGAGGCAAAGAATCGTAATGCTTCCTGAGACTAGAGACGAGCTTCTCCGGCAACTGGCTACCAGGATACATTTTAGCAAGGTTTCTCACAACAGTGGCCCACACGAGCTTCCTGCCGCCGGCTGCTGCATTCTGGTTGTCCCGCACGGAATCGAGGCTTAGAGAGTTCTTGAGTGACGCGATCGCGTCGGAGACGTTGCGGCCGAGACGCTGAAACCGCTTCTGCATAGCGGAGGAGGTCTGATCGAAACGCGGAGCAGCGGTGAGGCACTCAGACCTGTCCTGGGAGCACATGAGAACTTGGTCCACAAATTCGTCGTCGGTGCAGCCGCCGGCAGCACGATTGGTCCAGCACTCGAGCGCGGAGGCCATGGCGGCGACGTTAACGAAGTTTGGGTCTGTCGACTTGAAAGTTGAAAATGCAGAGAGTGAGTACTAATATTTATTGTTTCTGGTGAGGTTTTATGATTATGTAAAAAATGTTTATTCTTACAGTCATACAGGCACCAGTGGTCTAGTGGTAGAATAGTACCCTGCCACGGTACAGACCCGGGTTCGATTCCCGGCTGGTGCATCATTTATTTTTTGTGCAAAATTGAGAAAGTCCTGAAAATGTTTGATTCAACTTTTTTCATCCGAGAAGAGTGGCATGCGTTGTGAAACAAAAAAATCCCATAAGGAGAAACATTTTCCAAAAATGATAGACAACTGTGTACATAGATTATTAACATTGAGGCAAGTCCAAAGGTGGAGACTGTACAGACTGCAAATGCCCCTCACCGTTCTCCACTAAGAAGACCATAGCCAGACCCCAGAATATATGCGAGTCGATGTGACAGTGCATCAGCCACACTCCTGGATTGTCCGCCACGAATCTGATCGCTACCCATCCGCCTGGAGGGGTTCCAATTGTGTTTCTCCGTGGTGGGTCGAGGAGGTTGAAGGAGGCTGTGTCTTTGCTCGGGTTGAAGTTACCAACACCTGTCCCAACTACATAGAACTCGTACCCGTGGAGATGCATTGGGTGATTCTCAGTGGTCACGATGCTCGTGTCTTGCAGTATGATCTGCACCTTGGACTTGTACTTCAGCTTGTAGGCCTTTGTTCCACGGCTAGGCTGCCATAGCCCTCTGCTTACGTTTCCTGTATAGTCAAATGCGAGAGGAGGAACAGGAGGGAAGTCCGTGGTGAAAACCCCGGCAGGAGTGCCTTGGTAATAGGCTTGCATGATGGAGTTTCGTCTGGGGAAGACGAAAGAGACGTTGTTGATGCTCGCGGTGAAGCGTGTTCCGTTAGGGCCTTGACACCTCTGCGTGTTTGGGGTGGAGCAGTTGAACAGTCCCAATCCCACCGTGAAAAACAAGTCCTCGTCAATCTCGAAGGGAACTTCCACTTTCGATGGACTCTTTATCTGCGCTGTGAACGCTGCTGCTGTTGCTGTGTCGTTGAATCCTGGAAGCTGCGCCGGTATTGCCCGTTGTGCGGCCGGTGATTTACCTTGAAGAGTAACACAGGGGGCACCTTTGTACTGGAGGATTGCAGTGGTGGTGGTATTGTCAAAGGGGGCGTTGGCGCTGTTGTATGCGTGTGCCGCCATGTAGTAGTGCGCTGGTAGTTGGTCTGCGGTTAGAAGCACATCGGTCGTCTGACCCGGACCCAACATTATGAAATTGGTCGAGAAAGGTTTTGTGTAGGAGGCATCCGCAGCAACCACTGTCAGTTTGTGATTCGCAACAGCAAAGAAGAGCTCTTGGTTCATGCCAGAGTTGATGACTCTGAGGAGGACGGTCTCTCCTGATCCCACCAGGAATCGCAAAGTCTCTGCATTGTGACAACACAACATTAAGTAAACTAACAAGTAACACCTTTTTTGAGGTATGCGAAGCATAAACCAGATGTACCTTGGCTGGAGCATCTGTAGAAATCACCAGGCTGACCGTTAATGGTGTAGGCGTCTGAGACGTTTGGTGCAGCTCCCGTGAACTGGGCCAAGTTCAGAACATCCATGGGGTTTCTGTCCCACCACTCCCCTAAGAGGAGGGTAATCTCTCTCTTGGGAAGAACCGGAAAAGGGTAATGAGGAGAAGAGAGCGGAGGGCGGATGATTAAAGCTCCATACACGGTGGCTCGCAGCCATCTGCTGTGAGCATGCCACCACAAGGTACCCTCTTGTTCTTCGATGTTGAACCTGTAGGTGTAACTCCCGCCAGGTTTGATTGGGCATTGGGTTATGTATTCTGGTCCATCCGCCCATGGATTCCTTACCTGCCGTATCCCATGCCTGTAGCAGACTTTATTTTATAGATAGTGTGTTTTTGATTATCAAACATTGAGTTGATGGTACAAGAAGGGAGTGAGTGAGTAACCAGTGGAGGCTGATGTTGTACTCAGCTTTGTTTATGGCAGTGATGACAAGGGAATCACCGTTTCTCACCTCCAAGGTTGGCCCTGGAAACTGACCGTTGACAGTGATCGAGTTATGAACTCTGCACAGCCTCTTCACAGGCGTCTCTTGGATCTAACCAACACACGAAAGAATAAAACCACGTTGAGCATCATTGCGGGTAACAATGGAAGGAACAACAAAAGGAGGGACGTAGTCAACACACAATGAACTCATGAAAGTGAACTTCTGAATTGACAAGTGAAGCTACAAAAACCAACAACACAAAGAACGACCACAGTTGCTCCATTTTGCGATTCTGACTTGTGAGAGGGAAAGAGAAAGTTGATACCTTTTTATAGGCAGTTGAGCTGAATTGGTCATAGACAGAGTCACAGAGAGCTTTTAGTCTAACCCGCACACACGATTTGGTGTAACCACTAAACAACAAACAGTTTTTGCTTTTAAAATTTGAATCTTGTTCCAAAAGATGTAGGTGAACTCCTGCCGGCCCACTTTAGTACCCTTTCTTTGGTTTTTTCTCATCCTCGGACACCAAATCTCCTCAAGCTTTAGGATTCTCAGAATCTTTACTATTTTCCAATTAAAATATCCCTAAAGCGGCTGGAAAAATTATCAACTCAAAACCAAATCTTTGCTGCTCTATCATCATCATCATCACCATCAGTTGAATTTTATTTTATCCGCGCTTCACTTGGGCATCACAGAAGCATGAAAGCAGGAACCTTTCTTAGATCAAACATGAGACATCTGCTGCCTCAGCTTCTTCAGTAGCTATATCTTAGATACCCAGTTCTGCAGAATCTCCCCCAGAAATTTCAATGATTTCTTTACTTCAAGGATGCGATTTTCCAACCCCTGATTACTGGATGCGATATCATAAAACTCTCTACAACCTACAGAACCGCTCACTTTTCTCTCAAGAGACAAAGAAATGTCTTCACATCATCATAATACTGATAAAAATAAATACTTCAAATGCACCTGATGAACTCGAAAATCAGACTACTCAAAAGCCTAATCCGCTTTCCCCCATTTCTATAAAAATTAAAGCTTTAAGCATCTCGCCATTGGAAACTCCTTTACACTACGTTCTTGAGAGAGAGAAATCTAGTGACTAGAGTCTAGAATCGATGGAATCCTAAACGGGTCGGACCCGGCAACCCCAATTTCGGATCCCTGAGTTGACCTCTAGTCAGGTCGTTTGGACGCAAATATTTGCCTATCACGTTGAAGAAAAAAACTCAGTTAGATATTGGGCCTATTAGGTCCGGGCCGGGTCAAAACCCAACTACAATAGTCTTTAACATGTGCGACCCGATAGAATAAAACTCTTTTTGTCATTGACCAGACTTCACTTATCCAACCGATCCAGTCACTTACCTGAGCCCCGCCGCCGTGTTTTAGCCACTCTGGCTTATGATTGCGGTTCACGACCACCGTACCAGCTTTACCTTCACATTCTTGGAATTTTCATTTCGCTCTCCAATTTCGAAAAAGCCCACTTTTCTGTGAATTTCTTACTAAAATTAGCTTGAGTACATAGATTTCTATTGTGTGTTTATTTTTCGGAGATGATGGGCTCAGAGAATGACGATGGATTCGAAGAAGCTCATCTCCACGCTTCCAGGGAGGAGATGGAGAATCTCTTCCTCCGCGAAGATGGCGATCCATTGACGAGGAGCGATGTCAACGGCGACAAATCCAACTCCGGATATCGCAGCGCCATGTCAACTCTCTCCGACTCCCACCATCCGCTCTCTCCGCCGCCAATTATCGTCACTCCGGCTGATTCCGATCCACTCTTTGCGCCGCCCTCCTACAGCGATTTTCGGAGCCCTCGTTCCAAACCAAACGGCGGCGACAACAGCTCTTACATCGAGCCTCCGTCTTACGCGGATGTTATCTTCAGTCCTTTCGATGAGAACTCCGCCAGCGAGATCAACGGCTCAGATGATGGCAGCCGTCATAGTCAGTCACCAGATTCACTCTCTAGATCTCCGTCGTCTTCGAGCTCCGATCACATCAAGATCACTGTTTCCAGCCCCCAGAAGGAGCAGGATACCGCAAGTTCAATGATTTCTGGAGGAAGCACTTACATCACCTACCAGATAACGACGAGAACGAATCTCCCCGCGTACGGCGGATCAGAGTTCAGTGTGCGAAGAAGATTCAGAGATGTTGTCACGTTGGCAGATAGATTGGCCGAGTCGTATAGAGGGTTCTGCATCCCACCGAGACCAGACAAGAGCGTGGTGGAGAGCCAAGTGATGCAGAAGCAAGAGTTCGTGGAGCAGAGAAGAGTTGCGTTGGAGAAATACTTGCGCAGGCTCGCTGCACATCCTGTGATCAGGAACAGCGATGAGTTGAAAGTTTTTCTTCGGGTGGAAGGGAAGTTGCCGCTGCAGACGAGCACAGATGTGGCATCTAGGATGTTGGATGGTGCTGTGAAGCTGCCGAAACAGTTGTTTGGCGAAGGCGGAGGAGCCTCTGCGGTTGAGGTGGCTCAGCCGGCTAGAGGAGGTAGAGATCTGCTGAGATTGTTCAAGGAGCTTAGACAGTCAGTCTCTCAAGATTGGGGTGGATCAAAACCAGCCGTTGTGGAAGAAGATAAAGAATTTTTGGAGAAGAAGGAGAAAATGCACGATCTTGAGCTGCAGATCATCAATGCTTCACAGCAGGTTGAATCCCATACTTGTTAACTTCATTGTAAGCATCACTTAGCAGTCAGTATTTGTCATGGTTTATTTTTATTTTTGCAGGCTGAAACACTCGTGAAGGCACAGCAAGACATGGGGGAGACTATGGGGGAAATGGGATTAGCGTTTATTAAGCTGACGAAATTCGAGAACGAGGAAGCTGTATTCAATTCTCAAAGAGCTCGTGCCAATGATATGAAGAATTTAGCCACTGCAGCTGTAAAAGCAAGCAGATTATACCGAGAGCTGAATTCTCAGACGGTCAAGCATTTGGTAAGCTTCGATCTGATGCAGATATTAGTAGTAGTCTCATTCGAGCTGATTTAGTTTCATTAAGGAGCCTACTACTCTTATTTGATGTCAGGACACACTCCATGATTACCTTGGCCTGATGATGGCGGTTCAGGGCGCATTTGCAGATAGATCTAGTGCTTTACTGACAGTGCAGACGCTTCTATCTGAGCTTTCTTCATTGGAAGGAAGAGCAGAGAAGCTAGAAGCTGCATCGTCTAAGGTATTTGGCGGTGACAAGTCAAGGATTAGGAAGATTGAAGAGATAAAAGAAACCATCAAGGGCACTGAAGATGCCAAAAATGTTGCCATCAGGGAGTACGAGCGCATCAAGGTATTCATTTAGTCACGCCCCTATACAAAACAAAACAAAACAAAATTATCATGCTGATTCGAAGTCTTATGTAAATATGTTATTATCATGACAGGAGAATAACTGGTCCGAGGTTGAAAGGCTGGACAGAGAAAGGCGTGCAGACTTCTTGAATATGATGAAAGGGTTTGTTGTTAACCAGGTACGTTGTTATTAGAGGATTAAAGTTTTCTTCTTCATTAAATAGAAATATGTTCTTCATAAAATTAGCGAGAGGGTGTTAAGTAAAGATGGTTTAGCTACGGAATCAAGTTGTAAAATCACAAGAATGGGACGGAAAAAAGTTAATGAAGTGATATGGATGCTATGATTAGAGGTATCGAGTGACTGTTTGAAAAATGGCAGTATGCAGCAGAGTGGAGAAATCTGAGTGGGATTTGTGAAATAAAAGAGATGAAATGTGTAGGAAGGAAGTTGTGAAAACAGAGTTTGACGGTATTTGGAATTGCAGGTTGGATATGCAGAGAAGATCGCCAATGTGTGGGCAAAGGTTGCAGAAGAGACCAGTCAATACGACAGAGAGATCTCTTAACAAAAGAGCAGCCTGTGTAATTCTTATTCTTCATTCATGGTTTTGGGTTTAAACCAATTATACTTTGGTGTCAAAAGAAAAACAAAAACAAAAATAGTTAATCCTTTGCTCTCATAGGAGTTGCTACGTTTCTCGTTTTGATGGTGTATATATTAATCTTAATTTTGTGTTTTACATATTGTCAAGCAACAAACAAGACAAAACGAGTGACAAAAAAAGGAAATTAATACTATGACAAAACGATAGGAGTGAAACAATTCAATTGTATACAGATGTGAAGAAAAACGTATATGAATAATTTTATCACGTATTTTTCGGGAATGAAGTGGGGTATTATGGTATGTTTGATAATTTCAGGCTCGAACGCGTGACATTGTGGAGGTGGCGATGGCAGCGACAGCTGCGTTTGAGGCGGTTTGGTTGAAGAAGGCAAAAAGACCAGATCCAATGGCTTCTTGTTCCTCAAGAAACAAATCTTCCGGAGCACGAAACGCGCCGTGGATGGCCACCGCCATCATCCCAAGGGCCAGAGTCGACATCAACAGCGATCCGACGCTTGTCATGAACATCACCACCACAGTACAAAGACAGAGCATCCCTAGCGTCTCCAGATCAGAGAAGGTTCGACCACCGATCACCAACGGCTGATCCGAAGGACGGAAAACGTATAGGAAAAGCCATGAAGCGGCCAGCGATGCGAGGAGGAAGAGAGCGAAAGGGTGCGAGAGGAGAGACGCGGCGAGCAAGATCGCCACTAAGGTTATGTAATTGGCTCTGAAGTAGGAAAAGTTCTTCCTTACTCGCGACGCCGCCTCCGTGAGAGATGGCGGCCGGGAAAACGCTGACCGGTCAACGAGCTCCGTCCAGGGCCTTGCGTCGGCGGAAGCGTGACGAACGGAGGCTAGAACGCGAGACACGAGGACGCGTAGAGAGGTCAGCAACGGCGGATCGCCGCTGGGGAGATGATGATCAGGAGCTGTAGAAGTCGGGAGAAGCGGAGAAGCCATTGCATCAGATCTACTTTGCAGGCAAAGTCAGAGTGACGCAAAATGCAGAGACAGAGAGATCTGAAAAAGTGAATGGCTTTCACGTTCGCTGGCTTTGCTTCATTGTGTCGGCTAATAGCATGTGCTTTTTTACTTCTCTCTTTTTTAATAACAAACTGAATTATTGCTCTCTTCGCAAGTATGCCTTTGTGTGTTTTTTACATCATTTACCACAAACGTCTGAATTCTGGAAAGTGCTTTTGCAGATTGTGAATAGTAAACCCTGTTTAATCTTATCATTAACTAAATAAGTTAAAGTTCGTGTAATAAGCGGAAATTATATATGAAACCCCTTTCTATGTCTCTGTTTACACTTAAAAATTGACAAAAAAACTCTCATATTGAGGTGTGGCATCTTCTTTGGATTGGGATTTGGTGGTTGTGCTTTCCCTCGTAAGTGGTGATCACTGACTTTGCGTCTTGAAATGCTCTCTCCACTTGCTTCCTCACACAACATCCTGTAAATGTGCACTTGTAATAGCTCCTGCATCATCACAGATTCAAACTTATAAGCCTAGGTCAAGCCTCCTTAACACTCAAGACAATTGAGAAGAAAGAAGAAGCAGACCTTGGATTAGGATTTCCCTTGACAACTTTCTGACCATACTTTCTCCATCTGTACCCATCGTCGAGAATGTCGATATCACTTGTTGTCTGAACCACCACTCTCGGCTCCTTCACAGTCTCTTCTCTTTTCCTGCATAAACCCATTCACAACAATCCGAATCACACATCGTTATTTCACCCTTTTTTTCAATTTCAGTTAGTTAATTATGGCTCTGTCTTTACCATCTCTTGGCATCTGCTTCATCTTCACCAAATTCTTGACCGTCTCCAAAACTGCTACTCTGATGGGGCTTGCCGTCATTAGTCGCTGCAGTGGAAGCTGATCTCGTTGCGAATTGGGGTTTGGGATGGTTGTGGCTTCCTTTATAGACAATCTCAATGATATGACCCTTCACAAGAGAGGTCTCCACTTTCTTCTTGGTGAGGCAGTTTGGGTAAGTGCATTTGAAGTAACTCCTCGGGTTTTCGCTTCCTTTGACTTGTTTCTGCCCGTATTTGCGCCAGTTGTAGCCATCATCAGAGGTTTTGTTACCGGTATGCGATGACCGGGACTCAGATTTGGGTACATCCGGTTGAGCTACCATCTGAAAATGCAGAGTGGGTCAGGACCAGGATGGTCTTAAAGATAAACCAGAAGTTAATAATGCAGAGTGGGTCATACAGATGGTAGGAGCAAGTGAGGAGATGCGTGGTTGTTAGTGGGGGAAAAATCGAACCGGTCCTTCCCATCTTCAGCTTTGATTTTGTTCCGGTCGATGAGCAACAAACCGTTGTCCTTCCAGTTCAGAGATTGCGCCGGGAACGTGCCTGTCGTTGGAGATGGCAAAGTCTGCGATTTCAGGGGGAAAAAGAACAAGAAGAAAAGATTTAGATGCTTGTGAGGGATTTCGACAGAACAATGTTTAGGATTATTTGTCAAAGAACGATGAACAGATATGAACAAGTCAGGAGTCGGTAGAAAATGTAAAGAATCATAGTTTAAAGAGAAAAGAGAGAAGGAGATACGTTAGAGGAAGTGAAGAGAAGGGGAGAGTCTAGAAGGTCTGCTTGAGTAAGGCCAGGAGGCATATAGAAGTAAGGCGAGGAGGAAGAGAGAGGGACCGGCGACGGAGTTGCTGATTTGAATTTCGGGACACATCTTTGACCGTCGAAAGATCCCATCAATCGTTACCTTAGGGATACTCCTTTCTTCTTCTTCTTCTTCTTCTTATTAACTGTGGATTGAAAGTTTCCAAGAAAGTAAGAGAATGATGTTGATGACCTACATAATAAGAGAGGAAAAAGCAAGGCAATTATAAAGGATAAAACCAGTGACCAAGTGTGAAGCGTGTGTAGTTAAAACACCCAAATGTTTGACTTGTATAAGGCGGCTGATATATCTGTCCTGTAGCTCCACATAACATCCTCCCTTAATCCATTTGGTCACTTAATAATGTCAAATCAAGTAATCCATATCTGGACAAACACAAGAATGCAAACCAAAGGAGTGGTTCATACCATAGCTAAGAGGTGTTTTGTCTTCTTATGTATAGACCTTGACTTTGCCGAGTCCATGAGAAGCCAGTCAAGCCACTAATCACGTCCGGCTAATTAGCCTGTTTATAACTACAACTAACAAATCAAACTCACTTTCCGTGTTGAATGTCTAAATTAGTTTTAAAAAACAGTTTTATTGTCTGAAACGTCTAGTACCTCGAATCACAAACAAGGCTGTCAGAATACTGATTCGTTGACTTTGTACATCGTTTTTGATTTTAATTTATTTAAAGTCAACTGATATAAAGAGTAAACAAATTACTTAAAATTCTCCCATACAAAACATTACAAACCGCTCTACTGGAATTTTTTAGCTGTTTCTTAACTGGGGTTTTGCAAGCCAACGACATGAAAAAGGAAAAAAAAAAGCTCAAAACTGAGGCAAGAAGCGAGTCTATAACACAAGAGTAAAACGGAAAAGCCTTGATGAAATTTAAGCAGCTTGTTGTGCAGAAAGCCTCTTCCTGGCTTCCTCAATGATGGTCAGCTTAATACCTTTGCCCTTTGGAAGAGACACCCACGGCTTGGTTCCTTTGCCGATGGTGAAGACGTTGCCCAACCTTGTGGCGAACTCATGTCCTGTCGAGTCCTGGATGTGGATCGTCTCAAAGCTTCCCTTATGCTTTTCACGGTTCTTAATCACACCAACACGCCCTCTGTTTCTGCCTCCAGTCACCATCACAACGTTGCCCACGTCGAACTTGATGAACTCCACAATCTTGTTCTCCTCAAGGTCCAGCTTGATGGTGTCGTTTGGTTTGATGAATGGGTCTGGGTAACGGATGGTGCGACCATCGTAAGTGTTGAGGTAAGGAATTCCTTTCTGCCCAAACTGGATAGTCCTAACCTTGCAAAGCTTGAACTGCAACATGCAACAAAGCATACATTATCCTTCTGAATCCAGTCATTACTCTATATAGTGTTTTGTCTCTACATAATCAAGATCTAAGAGCAAACCTTTGCTTCCTCATCCCTGATTGAGTGGAGACGGAAACGTCCCTTGGTGTCATACAAAAGACGGAAGTTCTCGTTCGTCTTGGGGATCGATACAACATCTATTCAAATCAAAACATACCTTAGGCCAGTGAACAATACACGAAACGAAAGGGCACAAACAGAAAAAAAAGAAAGAAAAGAAACGTACCCATGAAGCCAGCAGGGTAAGTCTTGTCAGTCCTCACTTTGCCATCAACTTGGATATGCCTCTGCATCAGGATGGAGATCACTTCACGGTATGTCAGAGCGTACTTCAACCTGTTCCTGATGATCAGGACAAGAGGAAGACACTCCCTCGACTTGTGAGGTCCAGAAGACGGCTTGGGGGCCTGCGAGAAACAAACGAACCCATATGTTAAAGGGAAATGTAATAATGAATAGTCTTCAAAGTTGAAACACACATGTTTGAGATTAAAGAAAACGTACGAAGGCACCGCCAAGTTTGTCAAGCATCCAATGTTTCGGGGCATTGAGCCTCTTTAGATGCTTCTTCAATCCTCTTGCCTGCAGATATACAATAAAGCATAAAAATGTCAATATGGAACACACGCCAAAGAGCCATACGAGTCAATCAATACAAAAAATTTCACATTTGATAGAGCCTCGTCAAAAGGACATTCCCCACAACAGCTCAATTTTCAAAGACAACAGAACATTGCAGCCAAATTTCGATCCTGAAACGTTATAGTGCCCATGACTCTGAAATCGAAACTAGAACATAGGGGCAAACTAGTGTGATCATTTATCCTAGGACACAATCCATGTCTATGTAGAACTGAGCAATCACTGAACTCACGGGAAACAGAATAAAAACACAGACAGAGAGCAAAAGGAAGAGAAATTTGGACAAACCATGTTTGCAGGTGTTCCGGAGCTGACGACTTCTGATTCTTCTTCTGCGGCGGCACTTCACGGTTCTCTCTACGCTTATATATCTCAAAAGGAAAAATTAAAAACCCTAGAGTTGATCACGTCTTCTGAGTATGGGGCTCATTATTGTAGACCCATTTAGATTATGAAAAAATGAAGGGCCCATTTAGATTATGGAAAATGAAGGGCCCATTTAGATTATGAAAAAAAATGAAGGGCCCATTTAGTACGTTGACATAACGATGAGAGAGATTGATGAGTACACAAGAAAACTTGAAACCCTAGAGTTGATCACGTCTTATGAGTATTGGGCTCATTATTGTAGACCCATTTAGATTATGAAAAAATGATGGGCCCAATTAGATTATGAAGAAATGAAGGGCCCATTTAGATTATGAAAAAAATGAAGGGCCCATTTAGATTATGAAAAAAATGAAGGGCCCATTTAGATTATGAAAAAAATGAAGGGCCCATTTAGTTCTTTGACATTGTTGAGAGAGATTGATGGTACACAAGAAAACTTGTCCTCACTTCCGGTTTGGATCTTTGTGAGATGGCTCTCAAAACTGATCAAAAGACCCCCACTCATCAAAGGAGGCATCTACATATTCTACACCAAGAAATATGGTGGTCGCTAACTTGGAACACACGTTTCACCAACTGTACTTTCCCAATGATCCTGCCGCCAATTTCCCACTCAACGCATACACAAAATCCCCAAAAGCAACCTTCTCTTTTTTTTTAAAAACGCTATAAGTTCATATTTGTTGTTGCTGAGGTGGTGCCACATCATTGGTTATTAAAAATGTTACTTTTACTAATCACAAGCAGCAAACAAGAGGGACCAATCATGCTTTGTATTTCCCAACTCCCAGTTCATAATTAAATAAATATTTTGAATTACACTCGATTTATAATTCCATAAATTAAAAGTTTAGGGGATTCATGTGTTCCTTCAAGTTGTCCATTGCAGGTTTGGGTAACGTGACTAGTACCCTAACGCCACCATGCTTCCTCGGCAAGAAAATACAAAGATCCGGCAGATATTTGGGCACTAATGGTATGATATTCACTGATCCTCCATACCCAAAATCAACTTCGTCTAGCAGTCCAAGCTGCCTCCAATCAGTCAGCAGCATGAACGCTCCGTTCCCTCCTAAACACGTTGCCTTCATCTTCAGGCTTTTCTCTGTTTCCTTTAGCTGCTCCCACACGTACCTCTTCTCCAATGCCGCTCTCTTAGCCTCTTTGATGAGCTTCACCACACTAGACAACGGTGAGCTGCTCAGTTCTCCTGCCTTCATCACTGCGTTGGCTTTGACGAACGCGTTTCCGTAGTAGCCTTCTCGTAACGGTGGCTCCACAATGCGGCGTATACCCACGGCCATTCCAAAAAGAGTTGTCCCGTCTGGACTCAGCTTCAGGGCCCTGCACCTTGCTCTCCAAACATGGGCCGCAAGAATCTCCAGAGTCGTCGCCTCCTCCGCAATCTTCTTCTTGAGCAGAGTGATGTCTTGGGATGTGACGTTGAGGATCTCACAGACCATGTCCTGCGTTGGTGTGTATGGAGAAGTAGCCATAGAAGAGCAAGCCTCCCCGAAATCAACAAGCTTGTGAGCTTGTTCCTTCTCCACTTCCCCTACATATATACACAAAATGATCTTTTAATGCTGTAAATCTATAAGCAAAGATATAATTTAGTTGATATACATACAATTAAATTTAAAGTTGTTAGAGGTGAGGCAGTGTCGGTCCCAAACGGGGATGGTGCTGGGCTGTGTCTTTCCCGCGGCGAACTCAGTTAAGGCTTTGAAAAACTGAGACGCCCCAAAACCATCACAGAGGGAATGAGAGAGAGCCGTTCCAATAGTGATCCCTCCACATGCAAACATAGTTATTTGCACAGCCAGAGCGCTGTAACCACCAGAGGTCACAGCTTCGTCACAAGGAACGAGTTGGTTTAAGGCTGCGTCAATGTCCTCCAAGTAGTTGAGGGAAGAGAGAGTGCAGTCTGTGTTCGCCTTTACAAATGGGACTCCCTCTGTCGGAGCGCACCTCAACTCTAGCATATGGTCGAGGGATCGCCGGTGAAGTTTTCCGGCGAGAGGGTAGTAATAAACAAGAGCATGAGAGAGAGCTTGCTGAAGAAGGGAGGCTGGGTCGTCATGGACGTCTTTGGTGGATGGTGGTGGGGCGTAGACGTAGATGGTTTTGGCGAGGGTCTCGATGTATGGATCGTTGTCGAGTGTCGAGAGAGAAAGAGAGACTTCAGGTGTTGCCTTGAAGGGTTTCACTACAACCACTTGTGATTTCTTCACCACCAAGGGACTCGATGAACTCATGCCTTGGCTTCCCATATCTATATATATATGCTCGATTTTTTTACTATATTCCATGCGTGTTTGTGTCTGTGTTTATATATATACAACTTGAAGACGAATATAGTTGACGTTTTATATGAAAAAGTGGAGTTGAGATGTGAGTTGGTAAGATATGACTTTGAAGATTGGAAAACGAAAACTGCAAAGTCAAGTCTTATCTTATCTTTATTATATATACATAAAAAAAAATGCGTGGTTTATCCTATAGTACCTTTCAACACTTTAGTAATCAAATGTATTGGAACTAAAGGATTAATCCTTGGATTATTGGAGCTATTTTTTTTTAAAAAAAAAAAGAGGAACGTGGTGGAAGTCAAATGCATTGATGGATGATGCATTGAAGAAGTGTTGTAAATGTCGCAAGAAGATTTGTGAGGCACATGAGAATGAGCAAAACGCGTTTTTGTTTTTGGTGGTGGTGGTGGTGGTGGTAACAGCCTAGTCCTCGCATATATTCATCACTCTCATCATTCTCTCCTTTACACATTTCCTAATGGATTTAAATTAATTTACATTATCTTATAGAACACGTGTTTCTGTTTTGGAGAACATCGACGTCAAAAAAATTGAAAACTGTAAACTCCAGACGCGATAAGTGGCTTGTTTGGAGCAATGATGAGGAGCCACGTACGTACGATCATCACTGATCAGTCAGTGGTTCGGACACGGATATTCAATGATGTAAAGTAGCGTAATCATGCCCACTTTACACAACTTCACTCTTCTCTGTGTCATGTGAAACAGCTCTTCTTCTCCATATCTATACAATTAAGTGTTTAACCTATTTTTTTTTTGTTTTTTTGTGAACATTAACCTAATTGTTGGGATTATCTTTCTTTGTGAAGTTCGACTTAGCACTAATTACCGCAAAGCACATATATCCACATTTATCATCTATAATGTATGTGACATTAATAACTGTAAAGATAAACTAGAAGATTTTTCGTGGCATATGTGATAATAATATTTTCGCATATGATTTATGTTTTGTTGCAAAGGTTCCAAACAATTAATCAAAAGCATGTAGATATATACGATTTAGAGCTTCTACTAAGAAAACGAGGTTTCCTATGTAATTTTGGGATTGTTTCTTGAAGAAATACAATTAGCATCTGTGAGCATTAGTTATGTATTTTTTTGTCAAAAAAAAAACATTAATGATGCATTTGCTGGCCAAAACGTGCATTTTGTAAACGCATTGAAGAAATTAGGGATTAAATTATTTAGTAAAAAATTGCGTTTATTTCTTATGAGTTGACAAAATTTAAACAAGGAGAGGCTTTTATCTTTTAAAAAAAAAATGAGTAGAATTTAAAACAATTGATCATATATAATTATCTATGAGGAAATAAAAAAAAAAGGAGAAAATCAACGCTCAAAGGCGCATAATGGCGCGTTAGGTGGACGAGACCACAGGGAAACGCATGCCCTCTGTCTATTCACTTCCACGCATTCATTAATTTAAAAACAATTATTTAAAAATCTATGTTAGATTTTTTCTTTATTTTTCTTTTGTTTAAATAAACAAAACCCCAAATTAGCAAAAAATATATAAACTAAAAAATCAAAGACAGAGGAGCAGGCTGATGCGCTAGTCAAAGCAAAGATCTTTACTTTATAGACCGAATCGGCTCCATCAAAGGTCATTTGCTCTTCTTCTTCCCCCTTTTTCGAATCGGATTTTCTGGGTTTTGCGTCTCTTGTATTCTGGAAGCAGAGATCGAGTACATTGAGTCCTGATCTAACTGTTTCATAGCTCTTCGGATATAAGCCATTGAAGTTCCTTGTAGATTAAGATGGAGAACAAACCAACTGTGTTAACTGATAGATACGAGGTTGGGAGGTTACTGGGTCAAGGTACTTTCGCCAAGGTTTATTACGGAAGAAGTGTTCATACGAACGAGAGCGTAGCTATCAAGATGATCGATAAGGACAAGGTCATGAGGGTTGGTCTTAGCGATCAGATCAAGAGAGAGATCTCTGTTATGAGGATTGCGAAACACCCTAATGTCGTTGAGCTACACGAGGTCATGGCGACAAAGTCGAGGATTTACTTTGTAATCGAGTATTGTAAAGGTGGAGAGCTTTTCAACAAGGTCGCTAAAGGGAAGCTGAGAGAGGATGTTGCTTGGAAGTACTTTTATCAGCTTATCAATGCCGTTGATTTCTGCCATAGCCGTGGAGTGTACCACCGCGACATCAAGCCGGAGAATCTGTTGCTTGACGACAATGAGAATCTCAAGATTTCTGATTTCGGGCTAAGCGCTCTTGCGGACTGCAAGCGCCAAGACGGTCTCTTGCACACTACTTGTGGTACGCCTGCTTATGTTGCCCCTGAGGTTATCAATCGAAAAGGATACGATGGGACCAAAGCTGACATTTGGTCTTGTGGGGTTGTCTTGTTTGTGCTTTTGGCTGGTTATCTTCCCTTTCATGACTCCAATCTTATGGAGATGTACAGGAAGATAGGCAAAGCGGATTTCAAGTGCCCGACCTGGTTTGCCCCTGAAGCGAAGAGACTGTTGTGTAAGATGCTGGACCCTAACCACGAGACTAGAATCACCATCTCGAGAATCAAGGAGAGTTCTTGGTTCAGGAAAGGTTTACACTTGAAGCAGAAGAAGATGGAGAAAGAAATCAGAGAGGCTACTAATCCCATGGAAGCTGGAGGTGGTTCAGGTCCAAGTGAAAACGGAGTGCACCACGAGCTGCCTCCCCAGCTTGCAAACCTGAACGCTTTTGACATCATCGCCTTGTCTTCAGGGTTTGATCTGGCAGGACTTTTTGGGGTTGCCTACGACAAGCGTGAGTCTAGATTCGCATCTCGAAAGCCTGCTTCGGAGATCATTTCTAAGCTGGAGGAGGTCGCGAAAGAGCTGAAGCTGAAGATAAGAAAGCAAGACGCGGGCTTGTTCAAGCTGGAAGGGTCGAAGGAAGGAAGGAAAGGGGTTGTGTCGATGGATGCAGAGATATTCCAAGTGACGCAGACGTTTCACCTGGTTGAAGTGAAGAAATGTAATGGGGATACGGTGGAGTATCAGAAGTTAGTGGAGGAGGATCTTAGGCCTGCTCTGGCAGATATTGTCTGGGTTTGGCAAGGCGAGAAGGAGAAGGACGAGCAGCTTCCACTTGGTTTGCAGGATGAACGAGAACTAGATCGACATCGTGAACCACCATCGTAGCGAGTTTTCAACTGCAGTTATAACGGGTACATGGAGAGGAGAAACTCTCTTGGCGGCTTCAGCTGAAACAGAAGCATCAAGAACAATCCATCCCTCTAGAGAAGGTAGCTGCTGTGACAAGACACAAGCAGAGGAAAGCAAAAGAGAAAAGCAGCACAATTCATAACTTGATTCTTTACATAGCCTGCAAAAATAGAAGATAGTTTGATTGTTGTTGTAAAACTTCGAGACCTTTTACCTTTTTTGTTGTTTCGTGAGCATCCTTTGTGAATTTATTTGGTCGATACAATAGCAGGATGCAGAGAATGTGGTGTGAATACTGGTAAAGTGTAAAACTTTCCCAAAGTCTTTTTTGTTTCATAAAACGCCTCTCTCTTATGTTTGATGGGTATTTTCGTCTTTCTATAAATTCGGGGGGGAAATGGCAACAAATGGTTTTGATTTGTTGACGCATTCTTATATATTTTTATTATTTATTTGTTTTTTATTTTAATCGTGAGGATATATATCGTACGGACGAACAATTCGGAGTACAGAGAAGGAAATCGCCGTTGGATCTGGTTTTGTGGGCATCCACGAACTATAGCCGAAAAATTTTCCCTTGAATAAAAAAGGATATTTGTACATATGATTCGCCTTGAATTTCGATCTCAAGGAGTGGGTATCGTTTTCGCGTGATTTGCCAAACAAAATTTCCTCCGCCGCTATTGTTCATCTTCGTTCCAAAGGTTTCTGGGTTTCGTCTGATCACGATCCCAAATCATGAGGAAGAAGCTCGACACTCGTTTCCCTGCTGTAAGTTTTCTTTTTTCGTTGCCGGTTTCATCTCTCCCGGTTCGATTGATTGATTGATTGATTGATTTGATTGATTGTTCCAAATTTTAATAATTTATTTTCATGGATATTGAAATCAAAAGTTCCGCTGAATAAAAATCGTATTTTGATGGCGAATTGTAGACTTGTATTTCGATTTCCTGTTACAAAAGCAAATTTCCATTTGTTTATGTTATTGTTTCATGGTTGTATCGAATTGATTGAGTTTCTCTTTGGTGTCTGTTGCGTTTTACCATTTGCGCAGTGTTTCTTTTGATTAATAGGAATGAGATTTTTGAACTTCAAATTTGGGTATTGTTATTTCCTGTGTGAATAATTGATCGTATTATGTTATCCAAATTTCAGGCGCGCATTAAAAAAATAATGCAAGCTGACGAAGATGTGGGCAAGATAGCCTTGGCGGTGCCTGTCCTAGTTTGTGAGTCACATACCTCATGTTACCTGCAATTTGAAATTTGGAGTTTTTTTTTAATCTTTCTTTTTCACTAAGTTTCATGTACTAATTACAGCAAAAGCTTTGGAATTATTCTTACAAGACCTTTGTGATCATACATATGAGATTACCCTTCAAAGAGGAGCCAAGACTGTGAGCTCCGTGCACTTGTAAGTCGTTTGCTTAGCCATCTTGATAGCTTTCTCACTGCACGCTGCTCATCGTCACTGCCCAATCAAATGCAAACTGTTCTTTTAACGCATCTAAATTACTTCAACTCTCAGATCAATATTCTGTGTTATGATCTAACCCATTAGTACTTATGTCACAGAACTTTCCAGCCTGTAGGCTTTTTTTTTTTTGTGTGCTGTGTGCGACTATAGGATATGAGTATTGCTTATGTCACAGAACTTTATACCATAACATCGTTTCTTCAGCCTTCCTTAGGTCTAGGACTTGCTTTTGATAATACTGCATCCAAATTCACCGATTTCTCAATCTTGTACAGAAAAAACTGTGTCGAAAGATACAACGTGTTTGATTTTCTGAGGGAAGTTGTCAGCAAAGTGCCTGACTATGGCCATGGGCATGGTCACGGTCACGGCCAGGCTGATGTAACCATGGAAGATCGCACTATCTCCAAGAGAAGGTTGGATCTACGTGTAGATCCCCGATTTGTGTTGTAGGTTTGTATTTCTGGACTCCCTGTGAAAAGCTGATTTGCTTTTTGATTTGCCAGGAAGCCTACGGGTGATGAAGTTAATGACAGCGATGAGGAAGTGAAGAAAACCAAAGTGGTGAGCGTTATGTATTGCACTCTGTTGTCTCTCTTTTAGGACACTGTCAGGTTTATGAATGTGTCTTGATGTGGAGCTTTCATATTGTGTGATCACTGCAGCAGGAGATGGGGCAAGCGGGAACCAGTGGAAGAGGTAGAGGCAGAGGGCGTGGAAGGGGACGAGGACGAAGTGCTAGAACAGCGGAAAAAGAGCTTCTTAACCGCGAGATGGAAATAGAGCCAACCATAATGTTAGCACAACCACGTACTCAAGACGGTATCACGATGCCTGCTCCACCACAGCAACCGCCACTGCAAGACGTGGAGAAGAAGGATGTAGTAGATGACAGGTCTAACCACACAAAGCAAGAGCTGCAAAGTCCAAAAGAAGGCAGCGAAACAAACTCAGGGTTTGGTCGGGGTTTTGATCTGAACACACAGTCGCTCGACGTGGAGATAAAGCCGCCGGTAGGCACAGCGTCGAGAGAGACGAAACCAGACGAATATCCTGGTTGGTCCATCTCGGAAATGGGCAATATCGATCCAATGCAGCTTGCTAGTATGGGTAAGAGGTTAGACGAAGACGAGGAAGATTATGACGAGGAGGAAGGTTGATGCTGAGACTGCGCAGGCTCGTTGTTTGGTATCGAGGTTTGGGTTAGGAGGAAACATGATGTAGGATTAAATAGAGTAGCAAACTTTAACAGTTTGTTTATGTAGAAAATGTATCATTTGGCTCTTGGTCTTATTTTCCTTCATTTGTTGTATGGGGAAATATTTTAGGTCCTCTTAAAGTCTAATTATTATTTTAGAAAATGAAATCTTGATTACTTTTCCTAACAACACTCATTTTAATTACAGCGGTAGAATCGTGTATTTGCGGTTAAGATTATGAAATTTTGCATTCGACCTTCTCTTAGTTATCTGTCGAGTGTTTGATTGAAATTCCTATGCAAAAGTTAAAAGTGTTAATTAAAAAGTTACGTCAATGGTTACTAGTTTGGTTGTGAGTATTTAAGAGGCTGATGTTAAGGTGAACTAATCCAATTAAAAGTCGTAAACATAGTTCTATAACAAGCGTGTTTAAAGTAGTGAAGATTTATTTGGCGTAAAGTGACAGAGAAGAAAGATCCAACCACTCTCTAGGCCCTTGGCTTTACATACTTCAAGAGAGCATACATTATTTCTCTTATATTTACTCATTGATGTTGAATTTCTAACATATCTCAACTTTTTAAGATCCATATGAACCCAATTTCGTAATTGGATTACAAATATTCATATTTGATTATCTATACTACGAGACTCGAAATTAATATATTATGAATATACTAAGTAACATTTGGAGGACTCAAGAACTCATAATAAATAGACGCATAACATTTGAAGGACTCGAATTTCACTTGGATAGTGATTCATATTGTGTATCCCATGTATATTAAAAATCTCTTATACTTATCCATGTGAAATTTCTAATATAGTTAGACTCGACTTCCTCAAAATTACAAGTTTCGAGCCCATCACACTCCTCCAAATTTCTTGAATGAACTCATGACATCACTCCAAATTTGCGACGACAAGAAACCGATTCTACTTTCCTCCTGACTCACCTCAAAAAAAATGACACATCGTATCTCGATTCTATTGATGATTTAATTATAGCCGTTTGATTAGAAAGAGTTTTTTACTTTTGTGAAGGGGTAACTTAGCTTTTGAAGTATTTTATAATATCAAATGGTCCCAAGTTCGAAGATTTAACTTTCATGTCACACCTTAATGCCTTCTATGTCATTTGTTTGCTTACCTCAGAGTCACTACAATGCCTTAGATACTCCTCGTAAACCCTCCCATTACCTGCCGCGTGTCCCCTGTCCCACCATTTCTTTTCCCCCATTTTCCAATATCAACTTCTGTTTCTTCTCGAATCATGCAAAATTCTATTATTATAGAGGTTTTTTTTTGTTGGTAAGGCATCTTTTTGTAGTTACGAAAATCAAAAGTGCGTTTCTGATTTTTTTGAACATTTGCTAGTTGCTGATTATTGTATTTTTGGTTAAACTAGTAACCAAAATTAAAAAAATAGAAGAGTTAAACAAAACAAGATTTTGCTGTATTTCTCTCTCTGCGTAGTAAATTTACTTGTACAGAATAGAAAAATTTACAAGAGAAGGGAGGGTCGCAAAAAAAAAAAAAAAACCTTTAGGGTTTATTCGAGATTGACAGAACTTATTTCACAATGTCACAATATGTGTACTGCAAGTGTCATAGTAGCACATTTGGTTATTTATGATATTTAAAAGGAATCGAAAATAAAAAAAAAGGGGATTCGAGTTCGACCTGTGTATTTGAGCTCCAGTACGTGAGATAGTGATGTCAACCAAGAAACATTAAACAAATGGGAATACTATTTCATAGGCTACATTGCTTCTTACTATAAATACATAGCACCACTTCAGCATTTATTTACTCACAAGTCGATCACAACAAACAGATTAAAAACATAATGTCCATGGAGAGCTTTCTCAAAAGCTCTAAACCCTACTTCGCCATGATATCTCTCCAGTTTGGCTACGCCGGCATGAACATAATTACCAAAATATCCCTCAACACCGGTATGAGCCACTACGTCCTCGTAGTCTACCGCCATGCAATCGCCACCGCCGTTATTGCCCCCTTCGCTTTCTTTTTCGAAAGGTTTATATATATATCCGTTTCCTTTCACTACATGCATTTTGTGGAAAAAAACAGAATCATCAATATTGCTAATGGTTTTATTTTATTTTCACAGGAAAGCTCAGCCGAAAATAACATTCACCATTTTCATGCAGCTATTCGTTCTCGGCCTTCTCGGGTAGTTATTTAATTTAAATCACTGTCTCAACATAGTTATCGTTCAATTCGATGTTTTTCTTTGTTTGCAATTTTTTCTGAGAATTATAACATATATTTTGTTTTTTTCTCTTAAATATAAATTTACAGGCCAGTGATTGATCAAAACTTCTACTACGTGGGGCTAAAATACACGTCGCCGACGTTCTCGTGCGCCATGAGCAACATGCTTCCAGCCATGACTTTTATCTTGGCCGTAATATTTCGGTACGTTAATAAATGCACACACATAGATATATTAAGTCATTTTTGATGGTAAGTTATACGTACATCATTTCTAAGAATATAATTGATTTTGATTATAGGATGGAGATGTTGGACGTGAAGAAACTGTGGTGCCAGGCGAAAATAGCAGGAACGGTGGTGACGGTGGCCGGAGCCATGTTAATGACAATTTACAAGGGACCTATCGTTGAGCTGTTTTGGACCAAATATATGCATCTACAACATGCTAACGAGACGACGTCGTCTAACAATTCAAGTGATCGTAAAGATTTTCTCAAAGGCTCCATCCTCCTCATCTTAGCTACACTCGCATGGGCCTCCCTCTTCGTTCTACAGGTATTCATTGAAATTCTTATATATAAATTTTTTTTCTTTTTCTGTTTGTGTTTAAATCAAAAGCGAATGATTCACTTTTGCATTTAAAAAAAAAATGGTGTACTTTTACAATTATTGGCTTAATATTGTTTCTTGGTTTGATCATGATTTGTTTTTTTTTTTGTTTGGATCATGAAAATAAATTTATGTGATTAGGCAAAAATACTAAAGACGTACTCGAAGCATCAGCTTTCTCTAACAACACTAGTTTGCTTCATCGGAACACTACAAGCGGTTGCTGTGACGTTTGTCATGGAGCACAAACCCTCTGCTTGGAGAATTGGCTGGGACATGAACCTCCTTGCTGCTGCCTACTCTGTAATTTAAACCTCGAACCCTCATCTTTCATATACAATATACATGTACATAATGAAAAAAAATAAGGTTACTAATGGGTCGTTTAATTGGGAAAAAAATAATAGGGGATTGTGGCATCAAGTATCTCATACTATGTGCAAGGGATAGTGATGAAGAAAAGAGGACCTGTGTTTGCTACTGCCTTTAGTCCTTTGATGATGGTTATTGTTGCAATCATGGGTTCTTTTGTCTTGGCAGAAAAGATCTTCCTTGGAGGGTATATTTCCACTTTTGCCCTTTCTTGTTCATAATTAATGTTTAATAACTCGAATGAAAACCTTATTCTATAATTTTTTTTTTTGAAACAGGGTGATTGGTGCGGTGCTGATTGTGATTGGACTCTATGCGGTTTTATGGGGAAAGCAAAAGGAGAATCAAGTGACTAATTGTGAGATTTTAGAACCAACCAAGAATATTTTTGACTCGTGTAGTAAAGTTAGTGAGGATGTGGAGGCTAATAATGGCATGAAAATGAAAAATTCGGAAGGTGATAACTCTGTGCTGTCGACGATTATAATCAGCTTCCCAACGTCGGAAACACATTTGAAGAAAACTATCCAAGAGTCATGAAGATTGCATCTGCACAAGAATAAAAGATGGCTAGTTTTGGTTGGATGGATTTTTTTTTTTTGTGCGTCTCTATCACTTTTAATAAATTTTGACCTATATATGATAGTAAAGGACGTCCAAGATGTAAAACCTCCAACATGTGCCTTTTAATTTAAACCTTATTCAGCATTTCACGGAAAATTAATATATAGCTTTATTGCTCTCTCTTTTTTTCCAACTAGAATATTGTATGTCATAATATTATTGCAATAATGATCAAAAGTACTATTTAGACCGTTTTGTTCCTTCGAAGACATCCGACAAAAAACGAAAAAAATCGACCGTTTGATTAGTATTATGGAACGTTTCGTGCCTGTTCCTTCAAGATGTGTCACTTATGAATGCTTCAAAAATAAAAATAAACGAAAACTATATTCACTAAAATAAAGTTGAGATCCCAAAACCAAAGCACAGAAATCTGTACAAAAAAAGTCTAGCAAAGACGTGATTTGGTAATACCCAATATATCTCTTCAATAAAGATCGCTGAACCTAAACCACGTGATCGTGCTATCAAGAGTCAACTAGCTAGCACGTTAGAGATCGCAAAAGAGGAGTGTTTCAAGGAGTTTCGGAGATAGCAAAGAAACAAAAAAAAAAAACAAAGAATTTAATCGATACCAAATTTGCATTCGTAAACTCGATTTTTTATTTTTTTATATATGATTAGGGAAGAATTACGAATTATTGAGCTTTTAATTTCAATCCTAAAATGTAAAAAAAATTGAGCCATAACAATAAATAATCACTTATTTCAAACTCAAAGCATGAGAGAGTACTTAACCCTCACCTGATCCGAAAGGTGAGTGGAACAAAATCGGACAAAGGTGTGGCTAGCCTAGACGGAGCCGGTGAGTTTCTACAGAGAGGACACGTGGCACTTGTCCGGAGCCACTCATCTACACAATCAGCGTGGAAGCAGTGATTACATTCCGGTATACACCGAACCGGATCCTGAGCTTCGTAATCACTTAAGCATATCGAACATGGGCCATTATTGGGCCTCGGTAATCTCCGGCTATCTCCTAGCACTATCCTTGGGTATGACTCTATCACAGGCAGGTCTAGTCCTAGCTTTACCTCAGCCGCCGGCGAGTCAAGGACTCCGGCACTCCTCGCGTCGTCTCTTCCAACTGATTTTGACCTAATGCAGATGTATGAGGCGAGCATTATAGCGGAGATGAGAACCAGTATGCTCACGGCGATGGCGATGCCGTAGCCGAGCCCAACCCCAGCGGCGGGGGGATTTGTCGGAGGCATTTTTATACGGAGAGAGAGAGAGAGAAAGAGAAACTAAAAATGTGGAAGAAGAAGAAGAGTTAGTATGAGAAGGAGACAAGTTTGGCGTAGCCCGCGGGTAAACAATTAAATGTTGATGCAGAACATTTTCTCACATATATATTTAAATTTGGGTTATGAAGTTGTGTAAATATTTCATCTTCTTATACTATGGTTATTAGATTTAATGATTCTATAATAATAGGTTTTTATATTCAAGCTCGGAAATCGAAAAGAAACAAAAAAAATCCTTGAAGTTATGCAAAGTCTCAATTTTGCCGGTACGTACCTTGAATATTGGGCGAGTCTGTTGACTGGTTTAAAAGTGAACAAAATCACTGACTGATTTTGATTTTCTTCCCAAGTTTTTGTATGGACATTTGTGTATGTGATGAATATTCAGTAGTATCCATTTGAGTTTTGATTCACTTGTTTGACCAATGTACATCATTTGTCTAATTGCCTTTCGTTTTTCCAACTAATTAATCAGTATTGGGCCACATGTGATAAACCCATTGGGCTGTATAAACCCATTTTTAGAAGTACAAATTATTCACCATGTTCTGTTTTGTTAAAATTGTGATTTATCCTTACCAAAAAGGTTACATTTTTGTTTTGTTTTATCAATTGCAAGACAAGAATGTGTTCATTATTATACTACTATGCCCATCAACAACAAATACCCCACAAAAGTAGTGGAAATCTCAGGAAAGTAACTTTTGCAGTACTGGAAGAGTAAAGAAACAGATGAATAAATACATTATTGGCCGACATAAATTTTACAGAGAAAAGTGAAATAATGGAATGCTTAAAAAATTCAGTAATGCGTAATACAACCAGCCAAACCAGCACCCAAGTTTTCACCGGTCCGCATCAATGGAGCTGCCCGCAAACTTAACTACCTCTTTCTTTGAGCGCCATATCGGAATCATTGAAGCCAATAACTCTAGTCTCTATGCAAAGGCATTGTTGGATTATCCTAAAGCATTTAGCAATTAGCATAACCCAATTCTTGGATTTATCAATTGTTTATTTCAGTGGAGATAATAATATCTCGGGTCTGACTCTCCAAGGGTTGGCCGTACGGTTGAAATTGGTTATTTCAAACCGTCGACTCTAATATAAAACAAAAATCTCATTATAAAAAAAAGAAAACTACTTTCGTTCAAACCTAGGTCTTTTTTTCTTATTGCAAAGATATAGCAAAACATCAACGAAACAGTATTTTACTGTGTTTAGGGACAAAAGAGCTCGTGTTATGGGGAAACATTATTAACAAAAAACTCCAAAAGTTAAAATAAATAATCTCTTTCAACTAGAAACGAGAGCAGTTTCAGTTAATTCCTTTTATACCGCAGAGTTCGAACTCATATATTTGTATCATATAGTTTTATTATATAGTTTCATTTTATGTACTTTGGGTCATCTTGTAGCTCAGACCACTATATATATACCCTCTCATGCCAGCAACAATTAATACATACACCATTCCACCACAAAACATATAATACAATGACCACTCTTGTATTGTTCTTCCAACTTCTTTTCATCATCCCATTAGCACTTGGGTTAAACCACCCAAACTGTGACCTCACCAGCACTCAAGACCAAGGCTCTACCCTAAGAATCTTCCACATAGACAGCCCTTGCTCACCCTTCAAATCATCATCCCCACTCTCATGGGAAGCCCGCGTACTGAAGACGCTGGCACAAGACCAGGCCCGTCTCCAATACTTGACCAGCCTCGTCGCCGGGAGATCTGTCGTCCCTATCGCCTCAGGTCGTCAAATGTTGCAGAGCACAACGTACATTGTCAAGGCTCAGATCGGGACTCCGGCTCAGTCTCTGCTCCTAGCCATGGACACAAGCAGTGACGTGGCTTGGTTACCTTGCTCCGGCTGCGTTGGCTGTCCTTCAACCACCGCCTTTTCTCCGGCTAAGTCCACCACTTTCAAGAACGTCAGCTGCAGCGCTCCTCAGTGTAAGCAGGTATAATTCTGTACCTTGCTCAGGCTACATGCTTAATAAATGTGTTCCATGGAATGTTTTTGATTAGTTATAAATCTTCACACTTTTTTATTACACTTGCGAACTATATATATGCTTTGATAGCTTCATTAATGAACCAAACATATATGTTTAGCTGATGTGTATAGGTCACATACAGTTTAGCTTCATTGTAGTCGTATTTTAATATTAGTATCCTGCTGTTTATTTTCATCTTAAAGATCTGAGCATGAGAATATTTTGTTGCCCCCAAAGAAAATATATTCAAAACTGAATGTCTCCAAGTACTAGATCTAGAATTTGTTATTTGATACTATAGTATAAGGAGTATATTTTTGTGAAAAAAGTTTTTCACAGAGAGAGTAGGTCCCACGTGGTTATAATTGATAATTCCACCCACATTCCAAAAAAATATCATTCACGGGATTAAGAACTCGACCGACACACTGCATTAACTCACGTGAACACTTGCAGGTGCCCAACCCCACGTGCGGATCACGCGCGTGCTCTTTCAACCTCACCTATGGAAGCTCCTCCATCGCCGCTAACCTCTCTCAGGACACGATCCGCCTCGCCGCCGATCCGATCAAGGCCTTCACCTTCGGGTGCGTCAACAAGGTCGCCGGTGGAGGAACCATACCACCTCCACAAGGCTTGTTGGGCCTGGGTCGAGGCCCATTATCACTCATGTCACAGGCTCAGTCCCTTTACAAATCCACCTTCTCTTACTGCTTGCCGAGTTTCAGGTCTCTCGCCTTCTCTGGATCGCTGAGACTCGGCCCCACCTCACAGCCCGTGCGCGTGAAGTACACGCCACTCCTGAGAAATCCGAGGAGGTCCTCTCTGTATTACGTCAACCTCGTTGCGATCCGCGTCGCTAAGAAAGTCGTCGATTTACCGCCGGCAGCTATTGCTTTTGATCCCACCACCGGCGCTGGAACAATCTTTGACTCCGGTACGCCATTATTATTTACTACTTTCAAATGTGATCATTCCGGTTTGATTTCGGTTAGGTTGTTAGTTTTCCGTTTTTTTCTCGGTATGGGTTTTGCATTGGTTTAGACTTAGATTATAAATAATTAACTAGTTAATTCATATTATATTTATGTGTATGATTACGTACATTTTTCTAAACACATATATTTGCAAGTAAAATGTAATATTAATTTTCGGTTAATTTGGTTTGAATTATGTTGGTTAACTTATCGGTTTCCCTACAATAAAAAACCAATATAAACACTTTTGAGTTCCATTTTCAGTTAAAACATTTCGGTTGGATTTAGTTTATTTCGTTATAGTATACCACATCTATAGTTTACTCCTACGTAATTAGGATGTTTGTTAACAAACTATTGTATCTGCAGGGACTGTGTACACGCGGCTGGCTAAGCCGGTATACGAGGCGGTGAGGAACGAGTTCAGGAAGCGCGTGAAGCCACGTACCGCTGTGGTGACATCACTTGGGGGTTTCGACACGTGCTACTCAGGTCAAATCACGGTGCCATCTATAACATTCATGTTCAAGGGAGTGAACATGACGATGCCGGCGGATAACCTGATGTTACACAGCACCGCCGGGAGCATGTCGTGCCTTGCCATCGCCGCAGCGCCGGAAAACGTAAACTCTGTGGTCAATGTGATCGCGAGCATGCAGCAGCAGAACCATCGTGTCTTGATCGACGTTCCCAATGGACGGCTCGGTTTGGCACGTGAACGATGCTCTTAGAAAGATGAATGAGACAATAATTAATTAAGAGCGTACTAGTATTTGGGCAGACTTGTTTGTTTGTGTTCTTTTGTGTTTTCATTTTTGTCCTTCTCGTTTTGTTTGCTTCGCCACTCTTTCATCTGTTTATTAGAGGGCGGTGGTCTCTAGCATTTGTCCTGTCAAGTCAAGTCAAGTCGTCATTTTTATGGTTTTAACTTTTGTTGAATTCTCTTGAGATTCGGGTCAAAACTAATCGAATAAATATATTATTACTAAGGATACTTTATGCTTCGTCCTCCTTACTATTATTACATTCAAACTATCATACAGTTTGAAATACATGCAACTGAGTATAGACACTAATATTAGCGTATAGGTTTAAATTTAGAAGACATTATCATGATTGTTATTTAAAACTATTATTTACCAAAGCTAAAATATTATTTTGTGTGATCAAAATGCATCATATGCAAATCTATGCATATACTGTTTGAATCCATCTGGTTTATTAGAGTTTTCACATAATTTTTTTGTAGAAATAATGATATATGCTGATTATATATGATAAATCCGCAGTACACATGTTCCGACTTTATGTTTATAATGTTGTCTTTATTCTATAGCTATTTGAATATTTTTAGTTGTTTGTTAATATTTGTTATTTGTTCGATGAATCCATTGGATATAGCCAGTGGCTGTTCATGCTCGTATTTTTCAAAGTATCCGACTTCAAAGCTTAGAGTTATGGTATGCATCAGTTACTAAGAATAAACTTAGAGAAAAATTAATGGCTTGCTAAAATCTTGAAGCTCTCATCTTAATCACCGAGGAGCTAATTTTTTGTCACAACACAGTAACTACACATAAACTTGGTTAGAAACTTGAGATGTCATATCGAGTTATCGATCATGTGATGTAACCAAACTAAAGCTCAAGTATTGGTTTCAGTAGGTACAGCATTATGAATTATGATGATGTTTTTTTAGTATACATTTATTTTATTCCACAACGGGAAAGTGTGGTTGTGCACAATGCACATGCTTAACATAAAAGGCATAGTGGCTAAGCCACTAGCCCACAGGGTTTTTGGCCGTTGTGATGATTAAGCAAATGGCACACTGAAATAATTCGTCATAGACTTATAGTCTTATAAAGGAAACAATGACACGAATAAAAAGTGAAAGTGAAGAAAAAGAGGGACGACAAGATGCGGTAAAACAAGAAAGTAAAAGCAATTACATAATCTTCTCCTAATCCAAATTAATCTAAATTTGTTTGGTAATTGAATGAACAATTTGTGGGTTCTCTCATTTTTGGGGTGGGCAATTACACGCGTGGCCTAATTGAAAAGCCCACCACACAACACACTATCCGTCGTCTCTTTCTATCATATTATCTTCTTCTCATTCTCACCGAAGATCAAATCAAACCCCCAGAATCTTCCCAATCTCCTCGAATCTTCTGATCAACCATGTCGTGCACTTCCAACGTCTTGCTATCCCCGAACGGCTGCGTGTTGACATCGCCCAAGCCTCTTGTCAGATTCTTCAGCGCAAAGCCCAGCGGACGGAAACTTCTCGTCTCCGTCGTTAGAGCTTCTTCCGACGATGCTGATTGTAATGCCGAAGAATGCGCTCCCGAGAAGGAGGTACTGTTTACGATCTGTTGTACAAGTTCCTGGGAAAAGTAATGCATACCTGAATTAATTCGTTCTTCGCTCAATTTTGCTTCTCGTTCCCGTTTTTTTAAGTTTTATCCGATTTCTGATGAGAGAAATCCCAAATCTATCTATAGAGTCGCATTCTTATCAGTACTATTCCAAAATTGGCTACTTATCGAAACCTCAGTACCACTAGAATTGATCTTTACGAATCGAAGCGATTACAAACTAGGAATCATGCAATTGAAAATGATAGTTATTGATTTGGGGTTGGTGTCTGAAAACACACAGGTCGGGACGGTGAGTATGGAATGGTTGGCTGGAGAGAAGACGAAAGTGGTGGGAACATTCCCTCCTCGGAAGCAGCGTGGCTGGACTGGCTATGTTGAAAAGGATACTGCCGGTCAGACAAATGTTTACTCTATTGAGGTCTGTAATCGACTCATCTCCTAATTTTATGATTCTAAGACATAGAGAGAGAGCTTTGGAGAGAGAGTGAGGGAAAAAAGCTTCAAGCTTTGGAGAGAGATTGAGGGGAAAAAGCCTCAAGCTTTGTTAAGCCTAGGGAACGATTGTTATGTTTGTGAATTAGAATGTAGTGGATGCATAGGATGAAGTATAAATAGACTGGAGGAAGAAGAGATTAGGGGTCTTTGACCAGTTGCTTGTTTGGGAAATTTTTGGATTTGTGAGAGTTAGCAGATCTACATCTGCTTCTTTTTTTAGAGTTTGATCATTCGGTTCTTCAACTGCAACCGTTGAATCAAGGATCATAGAGAAAATTAAGCTTCTTGATCTTATCAGTTTTGTGTTACATTTGGTTTGGTCTCATTCAGTCACTTGATATAATATTCAACCTCCACGGAATATGCATTAGCTTGCGACAAAATATGTCAGGCAAATCCTGTATGCATCCTCTTGGGATGGGGTTCTTGATCTAATTTTATTGGGATGTTTTTGCTGAAGAATAGCTTCTCTTGTTACTTTTGCAGCCAGCAGTATATGTTGCAGAGAGCGCGATAAGCTCAGGTACTGCAGGATCTTCCTCTGATGGGGCTGAGAACACAGCAGCAATTGTAGCAGGCATTGCCCTTATCGCAGTCGCTTCGGCTTCCTCTATACTCCTCCAAGTCGGGAAAGATGCCCCACCTCAACCAAAACCAGTGGATTACAGTGGACCGTCTCTTAGCTACTACATCAACAAGTTCAAGCCTTCAGAAATTGTTCAAGCTTCGGCCCCCGACCTCACGGAAGCTCCGCCGGTGGCTCAGCAAGAAACCTCACTGCCGGAAACTATGGCCAGTGAGGCTCAGCCAGAAGCCTCAGTGTCGGAAACTACGGCCAGTGATGCTCAGCCAGAGGCGTCTATTGTTCCAACAATTAGTAGCACCTCTTAGGAGATTAGCCTAGGATTCAATGTATGTTGTGTAAAGATGAAATGAAGCTTATACCAATATTATGCATTTTGTTAATATTCGGATATAAGTACCATATATATATATACTCTACTCTATGAGTTGGTGACTTGATCAAAAATCAAATCCTATTCTTTTTGCCATGGCTCCGGCTTTGCTTTGGATCACCTCTTGCTGATCTCCTTTACTTCTTCAACATTACTTTTTTTAACTAATTTGAAAAGTAAAAAGTAACTACAATATGTCTTGACTATCTCCCTTTTGTGCTACAGAAGTTACTTTTCTACTCATTAAAATTGTTTAAAGAGTTGTCATTTTAAATAGGAAAAATATATATTGGTATGAAAAAATGATACTAATGTGATAATACAATTTATTTGAAAAAAAACTAACATTGATTAAGTGTTTTACATAAATAGACATGTCATCATATACATAAACATAACATCATATCATATAGGTTCGAATTCGAATTAAAAAACCAGATAATCAGATTTTTTAATTTTTGATTCATCAGTAATTTGTTTTCTCTTTTTTTTTTCCCATAGAAAAGATATAAAATTGGGCTTACCTTTTGGAAATTGATATTAAATTTATCCAAATATTGCACAAGTTCGATCTGGCCAAGTACAGAGTCTTATGAGCTCAATCTGGCATCATCATAAATTTAACACAAATTACTTTGAAATTCAAACTTCAAAACCCCCGAGTTTACACAACTAAGTTTGAAATCGAACTCTAACACCACCGTCGATCTCGATTCTCCCACTAAATAGCATTGATTGTGTTCAGCCAAATCAGAACAATGATGTCTAGGAGAAGTGATTCGAACATAGAACTAGATGCATGAACTGACACATTAAAATCTAATCAATTATGTTTTGTTTTTTCAATATAACGGCTGATTTTCATGAATGATTAGATATTTATTTATTCAGTAAAGTTCAATAATCACTATCCGACAAAAGCATTTTCATTTAATTAAGCATCTAGCAATCACATATCGTTGATGGACAACATACCAAATCCAGTTGAGTTTCTTGTTAATTTAGGTTATGGTTCTGATTACCAAGATCAGAATAAATTTCCCTGTTTGTTTATAATAGTGATCTTCTCGGATCATTGGATCTTTAGTTCGGGGTCAAAAATAAACTAAAGGCCCAACCGTTATGTTCTGAAAATGACCATTATAGGCTTAGTAGTTCGGGCCCAAAAATAAACTCAAGCTCCATCGTGTGTTCTGAAAATGACCATAAGGCCCTAGACCAGAAGATTGATAAACAAGAAAGGTAGAATAGAAAACAACTATAATGACCTTTTCTTCAGTTTTAAATCCTTAATTAATTTAAAACTGTAAAATATCGTTAAGGAAAACCTAGGAAGCCACTCTAGTCAACTTGTCAATGGACGAATCCACCAACAAAGTAATATTTTTCTTAATCCTTATGGCTTTTCTTCTTATTATTAATGGTTTCTCAGTTAATGGTTTCTTCACAAGTACGTAACTGAAGTTAGTAGAATTTCTGATTAGATCTTTTTGTACCTTAGGGCCTGAAATTGAACGGTAGTGATGCAGCCATTCCAAAAAGACGGTAAATTTCTTGTTTTTTTTATTGAGGTTTGTATGTGTAAGATGTGTTGTTCTTGACATCTTGTCACGTTGATGGTATTACCTCGTGCAATTAAAATTTAAATTGAATTTGCAGTCACATTGGGAGGATTGGCGTAACGGGATATGACACTGGGCTTCCTCGCGGTGACGTGGAGAGCGCGTTGAGAAAACATTTCGCTTCATGTGGCCAAATCACAGATGTTTATATTCCCGTACGGTGTCGAAGAGATAATATTATTACTCTCGAGAGGTTTGTGGCTTCTTCCTCCGATCCAGTTTTCCCAGCGCAGCTCGAGTTAACACATGCTTTTGAACTTTAAAAAACTTGTTTTTGCAGATACAGTTTTATTTATTTTGTGGGAGAAGGCGCAGTAGACAATGCGTTGCAACTTGATGGAAGTGACGTGGCAGGAGGGAATGTCTCTGCAGAGGATATTCCGTTTCTGGAAGATGCACATAATGTGCCGGAACTTAGTGGGAGCGTTATGGGAGGACGCAAAGTAGTCGTTGAGCTTATTGGTACACCGGAAAAAACCACTGTCTACGACCACCCCCCTCATCGTGGTCGTCGTGACGGTTGCTGCTACGTCCATAATTGCCAAGGTACATAAATTTGTTCTTGGTTCTCGATTCTCGATTCTTGATTCTTTTTAACAAAGTAAAACTGTCGTGGTTTACTCTAGGTGAGAAGGCTAAGGCGACTGTGGAGTAGAAAGAAGCTCCACGAAGCTGGTAAAAATCCAGACATACAACGCTACCTTCATTTCTATAACATGTTATGCTTTATGTCTGGATTTTTACCTCTTAAAGTCTTAAAGGGGATTGTTCCGACAATTAGTAGCACCTCTTAGGGGGTTAGCCTAGGATTTAAATCATCTCCGGTGACTATTTTACAAGACTTTGATATTAGCTTTATCTAAATTCATATTGATCCACAAGATGACTTTAATGCATACATATCCTCTAACGCGACTCATTTCCGAATCTTTTACAAGTCGTGCGTCTATGAGCCTCTTTGAGGTCGATTTTTGTTCGGAGATGTATTGGTTATTATGACTTGTGAAATATTGCCTCGTGTGTTTTTAAAATATTCGACTAACAAACCAAAAAAAATGTAGTCAAAGAAGAATATTAGTTTGGCTTTTGACCCGTAAATCCTAACTCGATAAACACGAGGGGAAAAAAATCATCTCACGCATCTGTGACGACAAGACAGAGATGGGAGAATTATGTCACGGATTTGGTTTAGAGTCGTAATCAAAGATACGTAGTCTTCTCCGTCAAAAGTAGGCCGTAAGTCACTCAGTTACTTTGTCGACTGAAAATACAAAATAAAAAGGAGAAAGAAAGCAACGTACGTACGTAGGCTCCACTCACCTAATGCATCAACGCATCCAATACCGAGGTTGTGCGTTTAACGGCATGTCGATATATGTTTCATTAACTTTACTTTTTGTTTTCTTTAATAAGGATATCATAGAAATCCCATATACATCAAAGGTTAGATCTTATATTATTTTAAAGCATTATCTACAAATCAATGGAGTACCAAATACGTAAAAACCATCACATCATGTATGTTTTAAAAATATATCAAAATCTTGTTTCAAGATAACGATTGAATTGTTTATAAGTTATAACAAATAATCTTGAACTAATACCTGAAAAAGCAAGAAAGAGAAATTAACCCGCGAGTTTTGGATGTAGTAGCATGTGAGGATAGTCTGGACTATGGAAGAACTAATGTAATCAGATGTGGTCCCTAGTTAAATAGATTAGGACCAACAATATCATAATTTGTTGGTAATCCAAAAACATGAGAGAACTATATTTTTAAAACGATTCTTAATCAAATTAATTTCGATTATTCAAACATAAATACTAAAATACGAAACGAAAATAATGAATAGCTTAGCAATAAAACCAACAAAATTATATAATATGAATACATAAGAATTGAAAATTACCTTTTCCAATATACAATTAGTTAATTTGTACTCATTTCGAAGAAAATGTTATAAAAGAAGTATTTTTCTACATAATATATTTGACCAAAACTATATATTGTAGTTATCTTAAATGATTATCTTATATATAAAAATGGTTGTATATATATTAAAATTGTCCAATACGAGGTGTGTGTACTCTCCTCACTCACCTAAGTTTGCTTGTACATAATAATTGTGTATAGTACAGAGATATGTATTGACGTATTGTATTGTGTATATATATATATGTATTTTTGTTTTTTGGCCTTACAGCCATACCCAACTAAGAAGGTTAGTCCATGCGTGATGTTTTGAAGTGAACGTGGTACCACGTGGGTATGGCGTAGTTATTTCATCAATACGGCCATACGGCACTGGAACTGTGTGCTTCGACTGAATATGATTCGTCTTAAGAATCTTCAACTTCCAAATATAGACACACAAATAACAAATCTTGCAAAGATAAATATTAAGAAAAAACAGGAGAAACAAAGACAGATCAGTAGTAGTCGTACTATACGAGTCGTATCCAATTAAACTTCTTTACAAGTGAAATCAGAATCCATCAAAGACAGATCAATTTCTTGTCTTCTTCTGGTGCGCCGTGCATTAATTTCTTGGTTTTTGTTTTAATTTCGTTCTTATCCTAAAATAAGAAAATCCCATTTAAAGCTGAGGAAAACATATAAAGCAGTAATTTATAGTGCCAGATTTTAATTAAATTACCCTAATCGAAAAGAACTTTCTTATATAATAACCCACAAATTAAACATATGCAAATCTCAAGTTGAAAGGAGAAATATACAAAACTAAATCAAGTGCCCACGTCATTATATAAAGCATAGATTATATTCATCGTTATAGACAAATCTTGAAAATCATACAATTAACGTATTTAATCCATGATTTCGTTTGTCGACAGATATTTTTTTTTTTGTAGTGTAGCTATAATTGTAATCCGTCTGCTATAGGTGTGTTGTTTTTTTCCCTCCAAATTTGGAAAACTCTATCGACATCTAAGAGTGCTGTATATAGGTTGATAATTATAATAATGCAAATAATAATATTATTGTAGTGCAAATGTACAACTCGTTAGAATACGTATTGTGTGGTTCTGAATGACCAATATTTATTCAAAATTCAATTTTCAGACCAAGAAAAATAGTGATTTTCACTAATTTTGTTATTACGTCATCTTTAAAATTAAAACTAGATTAAATGCCTGTTGTTACTTCAAAAAGAAAAAAAGGAAAATAACTATTCCTTCATTGAAATTGAATAAGTAAAAAATTGAATATCGTTGATAAAAAGTTTGTCCGATTTTCAATTATAGCATCATCGAAATTTATTCAGTTTCATTAACGTTGGAATTCCATGTTGTTGATATAAAATGAAAACTTATTTATAGAAATTGATTTTAACATGTTTATATAATAGTTCGGCCGTTTATCTCAAAAAAAAAAAAAAAAAAAAAAGCCCAAAGTTGTGTCTGCCGACAATTTTGGGACCAACACAAGCGAGTAATAAATGAGAAAGGAGCAAACCAAACCTTACACTAACTCCAAGGAGATTACAGTACTATTATTAGAAAGTGTAAGTAAATATGGAGTGGGCCAAACTATATAAATATTCGCATACGCCGTTTCCGTTTATCTCCCACGTGCGCGATAACAACTCAGGCTGCTCTCCTCTCTTCACAGCGCATCTTCATGCATTTGCGTCATTATATAAACAGCCAACTTACTCACGAAAACATATCAAACAACAAAACCCAAAGATTCAAACAAAACAAAACACATTTTTTTTCTATATATATATATATATATGACAAAGACAATGGCGACCTCAAGCATGAAGAGTACCATTCCAATTATGGCGATCCCAAATTTCTCCATTTGCCACAAGCTCCTCAAGGAAGAAGGCAAAAGCCGAGACCCGAAACGCCAAGAAGAAAGAGGAGGAGAAGAAGAAGGGCTAAGCTACGAGTTCCGAGAGATGTTGGATTCTCTTCCTAAGGAGAGAGGTTGGAGAACTCGTTACCTTTACCTTTTCCAAGGGTTTTGGTGCCAGTCCAAGGAGATTCAAGCTATCGTCTCCTTCCAGAAACATTTTCTGCCCCTCCAAAACGACGTCGTCATCGCCACCATACCCAAGTCCGGTACAACGTGGTTAAAAGCTCTAACTTTCACCCTCATCAACCGACACCGGTTTGATCCGCTTTCCTCAACCACCGACCACCCTCTCCTCACATCCAACCCTCATGACCTCGTACCTTTCTTCGAGTACAAGCTTTACGCGAACGGTGATGTTCCTGACCTCTCTGGTCTGGCCAGTCCCAGAACGTTCGCAACCCACGTCCCTTTCGGTTCCCTGAAGGACTCGATCGAGAAACCAGGCGTGAAGGTCGTGTACTTGTGCCGGAACCCGTTCGACACATTCATCTCGTCGTGGCATTACACCAACAGCATAAAATCGGAGTCAGTGAGCCCGGTCTCGTTAGAAGAAGGGTTTGATCTGTATTGCCGAGGAGTGATCGGGTTTGGACCGTTTTGGGAACACATGCTGGGATACTGGAGAGAGAGCTTGAAGAGTCCAGATAAAGTCTTGTTCTTACGGTACGAAGATCTGAAAGAAGACATCGAGTCTAACTTGAAGAAGCTTGCATGTTTCTTGGGCGTTCCATTCACGGAAGAAGAGGAAAGAAAGGGTGTTGTGAAGGCAATCTCGGATCTTTGCAGCTTCGAGACTCTGAAGAAGTTGGAGGTGAACAAGTCAAGAAAGTCGATCAAGAACTTTGAGAATAGGCACTTGTTTAGGAAAGGAGAAGTGAGTGATTGGGTTAACTATCTGTCGCCTTCACAAGCGGGGAGATTGTTAGCCTTAGTGGATGACAAGTTAGGTGGAACTGGTCTCACTTTCCAGTACAGCTAAAATAAGGCCACGTGTTAACATTTCTACTCTTGTGTTTGAATGGGGCCATTAATTAAGTTGAAGGCAGTTCTAAAAACAACAAAAGTTAAAGGTAGACGTTTGTTTTGTTGTTACAAATAGAAGAAGAAAACAATGAAGCAACGTCCACAATTGAGTTTGTCTATTTTTATTTCAATAAATATCTTTGTGTGTTGCCATTATGTTTTTCATTTGTATTTAAGTATTATCTAGTTTATGTGTGTAACTGAATGTATTGATAAACATTCTATGTGCGCGGTTAATTGTAAGCTAAATAAATAAATTTTACCAAAAAAATAAGCGAAAAGAACAATGTTGACAAATATCATATTGATAACAATGGATTTAATAACGGGAATTCATATGATTTGTTTGCCCTTGTAAGTTGTAAGTTTAAGATAACATTTGGATGCTACTTGCTTTTCATTCAATTTATATATATCATTATAAAAAATAAATTGAAAAACTATAATTAAACCAAAACCGAATGGGAAACTAGATTAGACACACCTCACTATAATGGTACCCAAAATCACACGATCTACTCGATTTTGCGTTCTCCAACATGTAGTAGAATATATTCATGTTTTACCCACCAATTAATCATTTCGAGTAATTACCAAAATAAAAAAATGAAAATCAAAAATAAAATGAAGAGAAAGCATATGAAAATGATTAATGAGACGTACGTATATGCACGTGTATGATTTTTTTGTTTCCCCTAAAACGAAGTCGTTTTGTTAAACCCGAACGAAAAAGATACTGAGCTCAGGCCCACTGTTCCCGTCGGGGTTCATCATGTAATACGTCTCCGAATCTCTCGACCCAATCACTCTCTCGAAATGAGCCCTCATGTAAGTCAAATCTCCTTCTTGTTGCTGTTGCCCTCCTCCTTCTCCTCCTTGCTCCGCCGCTCCTCCTCCGCCGCTGCTCACCGGTAACACACCTGCTCCCATCGACACCGCGTGAAGCATCTGCATCACCACCAGATCCTCTTCCGTTGGCTGTCTCTTCACACCGTAACCCGATTTCTTCCCGTTACAATACAAAGCCCAGATCGGTTCGTCTATGATTTTGGTTTTCTCGCTCGGTTTCTTCTCGCATTCCAGCGCGATTCGCACCAGGCCGACGCCGAGATCCTGGAGGAGTTTCCCCGTCGGGATCGCCAACTCCAGCAGGAGAATCGGGAGAGAACGCGGATTCTCCTGAACCGCTAGATTAACCCGCGTTTTGCGGTACCCAAACAGCGTTCCCGTGACACGTGTCCCTCCGTGGACGTGGTTCTCGTGGAGCCGTGTCCCTCCCACTGGGAATTTACACATCGGAGACATGATCGGGAGCGATCGGAAAACAGAGCGGACGCGGCGGAATAGCTTCGTCGATTTGGAGCCGGCTGATTTGTTCTTACCGGACGGCTGCTCCAGCGTGATCTCCGGCCGTACCGTCGCCGTCGATTTCTTGGACCGTGGACTACCAAGAGGCGACAATGTCGTCGGTGTCAGCATCCTCGGCGTTAACGGTGGTGTTGCCATTTTGAAGGAGAAACAGTAAAAATACAGAAGGAAAGTTTTTTCTCGAATTGAAATGTTTGTAGGTCAGAGTAAAGACCAAATTTTTATACAATCTATAGAAACTAATGGAACGCACGTTGAGTTAAATCTTTATATCTTTGTTTAATTTGCAAACGTGAGTCTGCGACTTTCTGATGTATATATTTACAAATTATATTCAAGTTCGCCGGTTCTAGTTTATGGTCGGGGGATATATGGATTAATCTAAGATTGATTAGTGTTGTTTTGGTTAAAACCATTTGATGTTTATGTTTGGAGGCAAGACTAATTCTCTGCGCTGCTGTTTCAAAGGTTGTTTCCCACTTAACATGTGTCTCTGTGTCTCCTTTTCATAACTAATATAAAAGCTCTTAAAAGAATCTCCTTTTGACCAATTTTAACCAATTTCATCACAGATTGTACAACATGATGTCGTACTTTCACAGATTCACACGGTAAATATCAATACCATGAAATACAGGAACAGAGTCAACGAAGCTGATCGGAGTGTATTGAAACAGATCAAAACTGAAGCTTGGAAAGTCAATCCAAAGCACATACACGCGCACATATATATATATACACATGGTATTTTTCAGAGAAGACAGATGATGAGGCTTGTTTTGTAATTTTTACAATTATCCTTGAAGAGAAGACATTCGCTTTGGTGCAGGCAAATTTCTCATGTTGGATTCCATCTTGTTGAATGTGAGGTTGGCGACTGCTCTGTCGATTGAGTTTGTTTCCAACTCAATCTTCTGACTTCTGTCACCACTGAAAATCAAAGATGGTGATGAGACTATATATACATGAAGGTGAGTCCAAGGTTTGATAAATGAAGGAAGATCTCTCTACCTGGTTATATCCTCAAGGAACTCCTCCAAGTTGGTGTTGCCTGGTTCCGACTTCTGTTGCGAGTTCTTCGCAAGCCGGTAAAAGGTATCTCGGAAGCATTTGCGGGCATCGTCAGTCAACTGTATTAAAGATGATTTAAGTCTGTTACAAGACTGATCATGTACATCAGAAATCTTAAGACTAAGACTGTAAGGCAAGATCAAGATCATCCACACACACACACACATACCTTTTGAGTAGCCCTTTGTAGATCCTGCAACACAACTTCTTCTGTAGATGGCTCTTCCGTGTTCTCCTCACACAGATCCGAGATCTTCATCGGTTTCTCTTCCTCCTCCTTGAACCAAAACAATGTTCCAAGATCAACATCTCTACTATTTATACCACGTTAATTTCCTTGGAACATCAATGGTCTGAGGAAACCGTCACACTCACACATCACTTGGTACCCGGGAGATCTAAAACCGAAATCCAAACCCACACTATAATCCCCAGAGTGTACCAAGACTAATCCCCAAAGTCTGCGGCTGCTATGTGAATTCCACAGGAAGCGTCTTAGCATAAAATGATTAGTCTGGACCAACAAAACGATGACCACTAGACTACCAACACTTAGTTGTCTCTTTTTGTTGTTTTTGTTGCTATTTTTGACATTACTAAATATATCAAAAAGAGTACAGTTTCTTACCACAAGAGGCATGTCATGACAAGTTTCCCAGTTGTAATGGAACATAGGGACTTCACGGCCATCGAGAAACGCAGCAGAGGAGGAACCGGGGCTGATACTATTATCCGACTCCTTGAAAGAATGAAGATTCCCATTCCCTGGAACATCCTCCAAAATGGAACTTCTTCAGTAAGAACCGGAAACAAACCAAAGAGAGAGAAAGACAAAAGACGAATAACAATTATATCGGAGCCTCTTTCTGTGTTATATATATATTTTTAAAGAATTTCTCTGAGAGAGTGTTGAGGTGTATACAAGAAAATGTCATCCATCTGTTGGATTCCATCGAAATCATGAAGCGACGAAGTTGGGCGGTAGAAACAATCACCAGCCGCATTTAACCTCTTTGATTCGTCTTCTACTTCTCCACTCGTCCCCATCTCCATCTCCATCTCCATCTGACTGTATAATCCTCCGCTGAAGCCATTGTTAATCACATCGAAATCGAAGCACTTCTCTGCAGCTTTCTGGGAGTTCATGTTCCATCCACCCCACATATCAGGAGATGAGTATGAATCTGACGTCTCCTGATAGTTAGGCACAACGAGATCCTCTAAATTCCTTCTCGAATAACGATCCATGATTAGTTTCACCTGCTGAAAAACAAAAAAAAACAAAAAATCAAAGTCAATATTTTTAGAAAACATCTCAATTGTAAGACTTCGAAAAAAACAGCAAGAACTCACCTTTGTTCAGATCTGAATCAGAAGTATCCTTTTCTTGTCGAAAACCAAAAGATTATGAGTTTGTGTTTATCTTGCAGATTTGCGACACTTGTGACTTGTGAGTGAAGGAGAAAAGACAAGAGCGAGCAAGCAAGTTGCAGGAAGTGGAGGGCGCGCTTGGGTTTTAACTTATTTTCGTGGCTCAGGATTCACAGATGAGATTTGTGGCTCAGATCTCTCCTCCATCTAAAGCAACACTTTCATTGGTCCACGTGTTAATCATATCTTTTTCTGTGTGAGGTCGGCAACTGGAAAAAAAAGGAACTAAATCATTTTCCTACTACTGGCCAACTTGCACATTTTTGTAGTTGATATGTTTACGAACATACCCTCCAGATTTAGGCAGTGGTTAGAGCACTGATTCACTGACATCTGTCATGTTCATTCGACTTGGTCTCTACACGTGGCCTGTAGGTATAGGAGCTGAAGACACATCACAGACTGTCAAGCGGTGGAGTGGGACCGGTGGTTTATGGGTATGAAGGGCATAACTGGATAATGTTCCTCACTGTCTTGCTTTTGTAGTCTCATCAATGTTAGAGTATTTTCCCAAAAGTTAACTTTATAAATTTTAAAAATCGTTTTTTTTTAAAAATTGATTCAGATTTTTAGAATATTATGCACCATTCGAGTTAACCACCTTCTAATACATTTTGTTGTTGTAACAATTCATTTAGTAAACCTATTGTCATTTAAATCTAAAGCCAACATAAGTTTCAATATTCAAATAATAGTGTGGTTTTAAAGTTACCGTATGAACAAAATAGTTTGAAATATTAAACGGAGTTAAGCGAGTAATTGAATCTTGACATACTAAATCCATAAAAACATAGCCCATACGTACAAACTTAGCTCTAAAGCCCCGAATTGTTTGGGTTCAAGCATTTATATTTTTCTTTGTTTTTCTATCAACAAATTATTAACGGTCAACTAGACCAGACCAGCACATATAAACGCTTACCGTTATGTTCAATCAACAAATTTATTGCAGAGATTTTTTTTCCCTTTTTAACATAACAAGCGAATAATGACCTTTTTAGCGTTTTTTACGCAACAAACTTTTGGCAGTAAATGGGGTTACACGTGTCACTGTATCCAATGCTTGTTTGCCTGAGCGCTTTGTTCTCCCGCCCGACGTAATATCAATTTTTTTTTATAGGTCAATGAGTCCACGATTTTAAGGCCTGAGGAGAGATATCAGATACCTCTAGTCACAGTATCGTCGATTCGACTAGAGAGGCGTTGTTTAGAGTGGGAGTACTTGTAACCATCGATCTTAAGTTCACTAAGAAAATTGATTTGGGATTTGTGATAAGACCCTTCTCCGTTTTTCTTTCTCCCTTGATTTGTGTTGTACTATTATTCTCTTGTTAGTTAAAAACTAATTAGGAATTTGTGTTTTTGAGGCAGAGTGAGAATGAGTGGAATGGATGTTACAGAAGCTGGTCGCAGGGACTTATGCGAGGTTTTTTTCTTTACAATCTTTTATGTTCTCTCATTGCATATATTGTCATTCACCTCGAAGGACATTAACAAATCCACATTCAACCCATAAGTTACCTAGCTGCTAAAACAAATGTTGGTAGCGGTAGTAACACGTTAACCGCAACACCTAATCAGTTTTTATATTTAATAAAACTCACTACGTATGTGATGGTTTTTTTTTTTTTTTTTTTTTTTTCTCCTATAGGTTAATAAGTTTGCTGCTGTCAGAATCAATGGGGTGGTAGAACGGCTACAACTGCCTCTACAAATGAGGGAGCGTCTATATTTGATCAGCGGATTGTAAACGTCAAGTTTATCTCAGAGTTTTTGTGGAATCACGTCGCAAGGGGTAATGCATATACATATACCTTTTGTCAGGCTGGATATATCCCTTTGTTCTATAGACAAGACTTTAAGAAAAGAAAAATAACACACTTACTATATGGTATCAAATCAATTAATGATTATGTAACAGGAAATTGGGCCAGGTCATGTCGATATAATCACATTTTACAATGAAGTGTTCATTCCTGCTGTGAGCCCGGAGCTTGGTCTTGTACTCCTATGATTTTGGAGCCCAACAAGAAAGCCTGCCAACAACAAAGCCTGGAAGGATTCAAGAATATATTTGCTACTGGTATATTCAACAAAACTAGATACACTCTCTTAATTTTTGTTCGGATCTCCTTATCTTTTTTTTTTTTAAGTAACCGTCATGGATTTATCTTTTTGCTTTTTTTTCTTCTGTAAGTTTTGGAATCCAAATGGTTAGGACTTAGTATAAGGAGTTCCCGAGCTTTAGAAACTTCCATAGCTCAAGTTCTAGTGCACTATTATAAACCTACATAACATTTCTGCATTAACCTGTTCATCTACAGAAGCTGCGACATGGTCTAATTTTTTTTTTTAAAATATCTTACTGATTAAATCGATGATGAAAATAAACTTATTAATTTTTGCTACCAGCGAAGTTGAGACTTCAAATTTGACTAATTCAGTTCAGTGTTATTAACTTGAACGTGGAATCACAAAGGAACCCGAATAAAAAAATAAAGGTTGAAACTTGTAGACAAATCAGCAAAAAGAATATATTTAATTTCTAAATTTGAGATTTTGCTTTTCTACCCGAGGGTGTACTGTACCGATAGATCTTTCTCCCCCCCCACCCGGCGCGTTCTTCTAGATTTTCTCACACTCATTCCTCGGAAAATTAAAACAGCTCGAACTTCTCTACACAGTTCATTCCTTTTTACATTTCTAAATCAATTCATCTTTCTCATCCTTCTCCACGAAAGCGCGTTTGATTTCCTCTCTACTGACTTGTCTACCATCTCACGAGGCTCGATCTCGCCACCAAGTGTATCTCTTTTTCTCCCCGATATCGCCAGGAATCTGAAGAAAATGATTGGTAAGTTCAGTTAAACTGGGACTTCTAGGACTTGATTTTGCATTTAATGCAGTGTAGTTAAAGGATCCTAACTAGTCTCTACTTCTCGTACTCGATTCATTGAAAGCTGTTTCCGATTTGATTTGTTGATTCACGGCTTCCGATTCCACAGGTTAATTTGAAATCTGAGAATCCGCGGACTATTGCAAGCTGGGATCGAGATGGAAGAGTAATTTTTTTTCTCCCTCTGATGTAGCTACTGCACAATCTTCGTTTTCCTTGTTCTAGTTTTTGATCGATGTTTTTCGTCTGTATAGAGAAAATGCCGTTGAGATTCTGCAGAGATATCGCCGGGATAGGCGGAAACTCTTGGATTTTATGCTGGCCGGTAGCCTAATCAAGAAAGTAATAATGCCTCCTGGGGCAGTCACTCTTGACGATGTGGATTTGGATCAAGTCAGTGTTGATTATGTCATCAACTGTGCTAAGAAAGGTAATAATAGTTTGCTTCTTCTTCTTCTTCTTCTGCAGTTATTCATGTTTGTTCTGTTTTTAGAGTAATGCGTATTGTGCTATGTACATTGTTGAAAATGCAGGTGGAATGCTCGAACTTGCTGAAGCGATTCGGGACTATCATGATCACAGTGGATTGCCTTATATGGTATGATTCTCATTGCTCACTTTGCAAAATCCGCCTTTTCCTTCTCCTTCCACTGTTGTGTGTGTCAGTCATTTTCTAAATGCCTGGGTCTTATGCATATATCAGAATAGCGTGGGTACTGCTGATGAATTCTTTTTGGCGACAAATCCTGAATCTTCTGGCTCACCTCCCAAAAGGGCCCCGCCTCCTATTCCTATCTTAACTTCCTCATCCTCTGCCATCGCTACAAATCCAGAGTGGTGTGAGTCACCATCTGTGCCATCGTCAGTGCGATCAGAATCTATTGATTCACCACAAGCTCAGGAGCTGACTGTTGATGACATTGATGACTTTGAGGACGACGATGACCTTGACGAAGTTGGTAATTTCAGGATCTCAAGGCGGACTGCAAACGATGCGGCTGATCTTGTGCCAAAACTGCCCTCCTTTGCCACTGGTAAATGATTGGAAAAATGCTTATCTTTAAGAAGCAAACGTGAATTATGGACAGGCATTTGAGTTCGATAAACAAAAGAGTACTCGAAATCTTTTTCATTAGTTTATACCTTCCAGTAGCCAGAGCTAACTATGACTGGACCATAAGTAGTACTCACACTAAAAATCGTTAACCCACTGATTTATTAAGTAAGTTGCAATGTATTTGTGTTTTAGGTATTACAGATGACGATCTCCGTGAAACTGCATTTGAAATCTTGTTGGCTTGCGCTGGAGCCTCAGGGTATACATATATTGACTGGCTTTTAAATCTTCTTGTTTAGTTGAAATTTGCTTATAATTTCAGTCGGGTTCTTATTGATACATTTGACATGTACTCTGTAATTGTATAGGGGTCTCATAGTACCATCAAAAGAGAAAAAGAAGGAGAAAAGCAGATCTAGGCTGATTAAAAAGCTTGGTCGCAAAAGTGAGAGTGTTTCTCAGTCTCAGAGTTCATCAGGATTGGTTGCTCTTCTGGAAATGATGCGAGGCCAAATGGAGGTAACTGTCCCCCTCTCTCTCTCTCTCTTTCTTTCTTATCTCTTTTTTTGAAGCATATATGCTCTATAGAGCATGAACTTCACGTTTTTATTACTCTATATTTTCCCAATTATGCAAGTATCATCTCAAGTTTTCCTAGTTTTTGTAAGCCAAATGTCCCTGCTTCATTGATTTTAGTATGCGGTTGGACACTATTCACTTTGTTCCTCTGTTTACTCTTTCCATATGTATAATTTATTGTATTATGTTTCCTGTGCTGTTGCCTACACTATCATATGAATAATCACAGTTCACCCACTTATATGTGTTTGTTGTATATCTGGAAATCAATCATTTGGGCTAGATTTCTGAGGCCATGGACATCAGGACAAGACAAGGGTTGCTTAATGCACTAGCTGGAAAATCTGGGAAAAGAATGGACAGCCTTCTTGTACCTTTAGAATTGTTATGTTGTGTGTCTCGTACGGAGTTCTCTGACAAGAAAGCGTACCTACGTTGGCAGAAAAGGCAGGTAAAGACCACTTTTTCACATCTGGCTGTAATATTGACCGCCTCATTCATTTAGTATTTGGGTTCTATTATCTGTTAATTGTTTTGGTGTCTCAGTTAAACATGTTAGCTGAGGGGCTCATTAACAATCCTGTCGTTGGATTTGGAGAATCGGGTCGTAAGGCAACTGACCTGAAGAGTCTATTGCAAAGGATTGAAGAATCAGAGGTATTTTTCGACTTTATGTTCATGTGATTTATAACATGGTTAAGATTTCAAATATCGCAAAGGCTGACTCTCTTCTGGAATCTTCCTATTTATTATGAAAGTTAAGGTGACCATGCACAGTATATATGTCACTGCTTTCACACTTCCCTATCATAAGTTCTTTGGCTTATATCCCTTATACTCAAAATTGAATTGGCTTAGATTAGCGGTTTCGTAATATGTCTATTTACTTTTTGCAGTCTCTTCCTTCTTCAGCAGGAGAAGTGCAAAGAGCAGAATGTTTAAAATCTCTGAGAGAAGTTGCTATTTCACTTGCTGAGAGACCGGCTCGTGGTGATCTGACGGGTGAAGTGTGCCATTGGGCTGATGGCTATCATATGAACGTCAGACTATATGAAAAATTGCTTCTCTGTGTCTTTGACATCTTGAATGAAGGGAAGCTCACAGAGGTCTGTGCATTCTGTCCTAATATTGTTGAATACATGTTCCAGTAACAGTATTCTTGGTCGTTTAAAAATTATACTGATTTTTATGTTCTTCTTCTCAAGCTATCACTCTATGAGCTGCTTATATTTCTCTTATTTTTTTTGTTTCCTCATATTGATTCGCACATACATTACTTGCACAAAAAGTATTAAAAAATACCTTCCAGTTTATTGCCGCTTTTTCTAAGTCATGATTGTGAAATAACCTTGGTCATTTTATTTCAGGAAGTGGAAGAAATTCTTGAGCTTTTGAAGTCAACATGGCGTGTTCTTGGAATCACAGAGACCCTTCATTACACATGCTATGCGTGGGTATTGTTTCGGCAGGTAATGATGGAGAAGAATTTTCCTTTATTATAATGATATTGATGCTTCATATGGAATTTTTACGGTAGCTTTATAAGTATATTGTGTGGTTGCAGCATGTAATCACTAGTGAACGAGGACTTCTGCGACATGCTATTCAGCAGCTGAAAAAAATCCCTCTTAAAGAACAACGTGGGCCTCAAGAGCGCATACACTTGAAAACCTTGCAGTGTAGGGTTGAAAATGAAGAGATATCCTTCCTGGAGTCATTCTTGTCACCTATACGGAGTTGGGCCGATAAGCAGCTGGGCGACTACCATCTGCATTTTGCCGAGGTTTTACCTAAAAACAAATGCGTTGAGACTCAGATGTTACATTTTCATTCAATTAGAGTAATTCGTATATATGATCAGCTTTCTTCTTTACTTTTGTCTGCTTTACTGTACGCTTGCTTATGTGATATTGCAAGTCTCAGTACTGTCCAGAAACTTGACGTATCGTTTCACATGTAGAATTATACTATATGCATGTCAAACACACACACACAGACACGTAGAAATATGTGTATATATTTGCATATCCAGCATATCGACCTCAGGCCTCTTTTATATATCTTACTTATAAATACGTTTCTATTGCAAGGCAGATTCTTTTTCTCTATCTGTTCCGTTTAAGTTAGTCATTTTGCTCTCTTTTTTCTACAAATTTTGCAGGGTTCACTTGTCATGGAGGATACAGTTACAGTTGCAATGATAACTTGGAGGCTTTTGTTGGAGGAATCTGATAGAGTATGTAACCTGTTTTTTAGTTGACCAATGGTGACATAGTTTCCCCAACATGACTTCTGTACTTGTAACTGAGAATGATGGTTATGTTTCTCTACAGGCGATGTATTCTAACTCATCCGATCGAGAGCAAATTGAGTCCTATATTTCATCTTCCATTAAGAATACATTCACAAGGGTAAGTGTTATATTATGATGCTCGACCAACGATGGCATAGCAGTTCTCATTTATGCTCATTCTAAGAACTAAGCAAATTCCGTTTTCAATGTGCAAAATTTGACGCATAATATTATGGAGGGTATGATGAGGCTGATTCTTGCAATTTACAGGTGTCACTTGCCATTGATAGATCAGACAGAATTAATGAGTACCCTTTGGCATTGCTTGCTGAGGAGACAAAGAAACTTATGAAAAAGGACTCTACCATCTTTATGCCAATTTTATCTCAGAGGCATCCACAGGCAATTGCGTTTTCTGCATCCCTTGTTCACAAGCTTTATGGGAACAAGTTGGTAAGCTTGATATTGGGGTCCCATCTTATACTTTTTGGTTACTACATCTCATTCATAGATGGCATCTTGACTTTGTATTTTATTTCAGAAACCTTTTCTTGATGGTACCGAACACTTGACCGAGGATGTTGTCTCTGTTTTTCCTGTGGCTGATAGCCTTGAGCAATATTTACTGGAGTTAATGACCTCTGTCTGCGGAGAAGATACAAATGGACCTTACTTCAGAAAATTAATTCCATATGAGGTTAGACTCACATATGTTTTACTTTGAACACCAGGAAGTATGGCTTAAACCATCATTTAAAAACGGGACCAATTTACCAGCCTATATTTTTATATAATTATAAACCCAGCTCTAATATAATTTATGTCTCAATTTTATGTCTGCTAGCTCGAATCTCTCTCTGGCACATTGGTTTTGAGATGGATCAATTCACAGCTGGGAAGAATTTTAAGTTGGGTGGAGCGAGCTTTTAAACAAGAGGTGAGATTTGGTCCTTTGCTGATCTGTTAAAAGATTGGCTTTTCTCTGTCTTTTTATACTGGTTTTTCCGAACCATAACACATCTTAGCTTTTCTGTATAGCATTGGGATCCAATTTCACCTCAACAGCGGCATGGGAGCTCAATAGTCGAAGTGTTCAGGATCGTAGAAGAGGTAGGCTTTTCATACTAGCATATTTGTATTTTGTGGTTTACTAGTAGCACATGTTTTACTAGTGCTGCCGAGTCTCATCAATTTCTTAAGGTATATATGTTTATTTTGTGTTCACTTTGTTGTGACCCTATACTTGTTAAATTTAGATTTCACTTTAGTTCCCAAATATGATGCATGAGAAAGACTAGTAGGCTTGAATAAATCTGTCTAATTTGGATAATCTTTGATGCAGACTGTTGATCAATTTTTCGAGCTTAAAGTTCCCATGAGATCCATTGAACTAAGCGCTTTACTTCGTGGCATTGACAATGCATTTCAAGTATATGCTAACCATGTCATGGAGAAGCTAGGTATGCACCATATGACTGGTTGAATCGGCTTCTGAGCTTTGAAGTTTTAAATACGTTCACTTATATACTTACGAGTTATTAAGTTTTATCACCATTAAAACGGACACTGATTTTCGGTTTACTGAAATAAATTGGTATCGGATTTTTACTATCCCAGCTAGCAAGGATGATTTGGTTCCACCTGTGCCTGTTCTTACTCGATACAAGAAGGAGGCAGCAATTAAGGTTTTTGTTAAGAAGGAACTTTTCGAGTCAAAAGTGCCTGATGAGAGAAGGTCGATTAGCATTGATGTTCCTGCAACCGCTGTGCTTTGCGTTCAGCTCAACACTTTACATGTAACTTCAAGACTCGGTTCCTCAGTTCAAGCACCATTTCTAAGTTTTGCTGCTATCTATAATGCTATTATATGATTTTCACAGTATGCTGTTAGTCAACTGAGCAAGTTAGAAGACAGCATATGGGAGCGATGGATAGCAAAAAGACCTCGTGAAAAGATTGTCATCAGTATGGACTATCTCTGTGCTTATTAAATTCTGAAGTTCATTTTCTCTTGCTCTTTCTTGAATCTATCTTAGCCATATGATTGACACATTCCCATTTTGGCCAACTTTAAAGGAAAATCTATGGTTGAGAAATCCATGACTTTTAACCAGAAGGAATCTTTTGAGGGGAGTAGAAAAGATATCAATGCAGCTCTGGATTGTATTTGCGAGTTTACGGGTGAGATGATGTCGTGTGTTTTGTAAGTCCTCAAAGTATTGATCATCAAAGGGTTAAATTAATCTTGATTCTTACACATTGCAGGAACTAAGATTATCTTCTGCGATTTGAGGGAGCCCTTTATCGAGAATTTGTACAAGCCAAGTGTTTCTCAATCAAGATTGGAGGCATTAATCGAATCCCTTGACACGGTAAGAAAATTTCCCCTTCAACATTCAAGTTTTGTTAGGTAAGCCAGGTATTTAAAGTTTACATGAGCCCTTAACCGCCACAATCAAAATGCTGATACCGTGATTTAGGGGTTTAAAAAGGTATGGTGCCTAGAGGTCAATCGAGCATAAATTACCTTGGCGATCTTGGGGTTGAACATTAAAAATGCATTTTTGTGGACACTGCTGAAATAAATTTCCAATTTCTTTGAGCAGGAACTTGGACAGCTATGTAGTGTCATAATGGAGCCATTGAGGGATCGAATAGTCACCAGCCTGCTTCAAGCATCACTTGTCTGTAGTCTAATCTCAGTTGGTTTTTTGGTTTAAATTATAGTCAAGCTCTCAAGTGTTTGGTCTTTTGAAAGAGAATGTTCATAATGTACCAGGACGGATTGCTTCGTGTACTGTTAGATGGAGGCCCGTTACGTGTATTTCATCCAAGCGAGTCAAAGCTGCTAGAAGAAGATGTAGAGGTCTTAAAGGTAAACGCTTTCTTAACGGTCATCTTATGTTTACGGTTCCCAAATGCCCCTCTCTTTAGAAAAAGCTGATATGATTTAATGGATGTTTCTAGGAATTCTTTATTTCTGGAGGGGACGGACTTCCGAGAGGAGTTGTTGAAAACCAAATAGCCCGTGTTCGTCTTGTCGTAAAGTTGCATGGATACGAGGTAAGTGCAACTGCTCCAGCCTCTTTCTTATCCTCATCAACCCTTTGGTTTTGTTTGGTTCGGTTCGGTTTTGGATATAAGAATTTCGGTTATTGTGACTCACATGTAACTAACTACGCAACAGACACGGGAGCTAATCGATGACTTGAGGTCTAGAAGCAGTTTGGAGATGCAGCAAGGAGGAAGAGGCAAACTTGGAGCGGACACACAAACGCTAGTGCGAGTGCTTTGCCACAGAAACGATTCAGAGGCGTCTCAGTTTCTGAAGAAACAGTACAAAATCCCAAAATCCCACGCCTAATCGATACGCTCCTGCTCCTATCATCTTTTGCGGTTTTTGGTTTCTTTTCTTTCCGTCTTTGTCCAGTAACAAAATCATTTGTATAATTTGATTTATTTTTCACAAGTACAGGTTGTAGAGAAATTACAATTTTACCCGAATCTTTCTAGGTGTCATTTTGACTTCTCAACTCGATTCTTTGTCTTGCGTATCGCTCTTTTGTTTTATTATCACAATGATCGAACGAATATTTTCAATTATTTAACGGAGAAAATAAGACAAACGATTTATTAACCGTTGAAATTCTGTTTCTGTTTGATTTTTGACCGTTCCGATATAGCTGGACCATTGACTAAGTTTATTTTAATTTCTGCCTTTCTGGCTTGACTATTACCGTTTCCGAGTAACTCCTCCGGTAAACCAAGTTCCAACTAGAAATTTATACAAAGGATTGTAAACACACGGATTCAAAATCTCTAAACTATTCAAACCCGATCCCTATTAAATATTACTACAAATCCATGACTCTGAACAAGACCATTCTACCAAATGATAAAAATATACAAAATCGAGAAATAGAAAAAAAAAAAGCATAAAAATTCCACTTAACATCCCCTGATCAATTCTACGTTGTCTGTATATGTACACATACACAATCAAAGAATTGTAATTAGCCAAACTCATCCATCAGATATATAAATCACAAGGAGCAGAAATTAAGAAGGGGAAGCAATGGCTGGTCCCTATCAGCGCGTGAGCTATGGGTTTGCGATGGGAGTGCCCGTGGCTGCACAGAACACGAAGGTGGTGGTGGTGAGTGACGTGTTCTGCTGTCCTTACCCGCTCGAGCTAACCGTCAAGAAGAAATGTAAAGGACTTAGCGGTGCGAAGCTAGAGGTCGTGGACCTCAACTCTGACGTCCTTCTTCGTGTGGACGGTCCTCACGACAGCTTCAAGAAGAAACGCGTTCTTCGTGACCCCGCCGGGTTCCCTCTCCTCACCATGCGCGAAAAGGTAAACCAAATATGAAACACAGAACCGAATCTCCACCCCTTACCGGTTATATTCCTTCCTTAGCCGATGGTTTATATCTTTGGTATAACAAAACTACAGTTGACGTCGTTGAGTGACCGATGGACGGTTCACCGAGGAGAAGGCTCAGATCCAACGGAGCTCATGTTCACAGTGAAACGTTCTCATCCTCTTCAATGGAGGGCCCGCCTCGACGTCATGTTTCAATCTCGTCATCTCCAAAACTTCAGCGTCGTTGGCACTTACTCCCACGACTCCGCCAAAGTTTACCATGCCCACGCTCTCATCGCCGAGGTATTATTATATACATGATCCAATACCATATTTCATCTTTTTTTAATTATTCATTACAAATAATCATCAGTTATGATCCGAACATGAGAATTTGTTAAAAACTGTTGTCAGGTGAAGGAGAATTCGTCGTTTGGAGGGTTTTTCAAAGCGAAACAAGACTTTGTGGTTAGAATAAATGCAGGCGTTGACTATGCACTGATCGTCTCTCTCCTCGTCATCTTGAACGAGACCAACTCCATCTTTTAACTCATCCACATCCACTCTTGTTTGATTGTTACTATCTTTTACAATGATTTTGAATTTTTGCATATGCTTGCCGTTCTGTTGATATCTTTAGACGGTTTTGTATTTTGTATAAACAAACCAAATGTGGTGACTGATTGATTCTCTTTGGAGTTAAAACGATATTATGCTGATGCTGTGCAAATGTTACTGGACTATAACCGTTTCAAGATATACTAGACTCTGGTATTACAATACAAACACAATACAATCATATTCTTGTATAAGAGCTACATGTCAAAATCATATGCTAAGAATGTTGGGAAGCTCAAATTTTGTGGGCCTTCGTCCAAGGTACAGACTAAAGAGTGGTATATGGTTTGGTTCACTCTCTTGGTCTGGCGAGCCATAGAGAGCTAAGAGCACGTAGCCGCAAGGAATATTCGTGTATTGCGAGGAGCGCACGTGCCGATTGTCGTGTTGTTAATATTCTTAACATTTGTTGATATGTTTGTAGCCTCAAGTTATCAGCCTACCACAAAACAAAAAGAAGAAGATGTCACTATCAAAAACTACTGCAAATACCATCATTAGATGTATGTGACAACAACACAATTTGTAACCGTACCTGGCGGATAAATCCTTCGAGGGTACCTAACTTCCCCATCGCCATAGCCATCTGACCCATGTAGCTAGCGACATTCCCTGATGAGCTTGAACCAAGAGTCCCGCTAGACAAAGTATCAGAGAGTGATTGCTGCAAGCTGTCCATCCCTTGAGACAGAGCATCTTCTGCTTGTTGAGAAGACTCTTGCAAGTTATTTAGGTCTTGCGACTGTTGTTCTGTCAGCAGCTCCAACTTATTCGCTATAAGCTGCAACAGTTTTGAAAACTTGCTGGTGAAAACAGATCATCATCAGGATTAAGTCTGAAAACGTCTCGCCTTTAACTATTTATTTACCTTGAGAAGTTCTGATGAACGGAAACCACCAAGCCACAAGAAACATCTCTCAGCTGGTGTTTTCCACATCCCGGATAATAAATGGAAGACGTCGCTCTTAGCTGCGTTGCTCTTTATCCTGAAAAGCTCCTCATAGTTAGCTATTACTGCCTCTACTATTATCCGAAGCTCAGCATCACTCGCATGAGCATCCAAGGCAGAACTAAGCTCCTTCATCTGTCTGTTTTTATCTTCTTGCCACCGTCTGTACTCTACATCAAATGCCATTGCCCCTGTAAAACACAAACATGAATTAGTTATCCCCACATGAGTCTGATCAATCAACCAGACTAGTCTTTAGTACTTGATAACCAAACATAATCCTAAATTTTCAACGAGAGCATCGCTGCAACTCTTGATATTAAGATGCAATGAAATGGCTATGCACCAACAAACAACTTCCAAAAGTAACTCTTTGGGATAGACTATAGAGATTCAGCTAACTTACCATTTCCAGCGGTAGAATGGGCTTGGTCTCCAGAGCTTGAGATGAAGACACCCTAAAATTAACAGAAACGGTTTGATGCACGCGAAATTAGCAAATATACACAAAAAAACAGAGCCGAACACGATTGAAACCTGTTGCCTTGCTCTTTGCAGCTCCTGCTCAAGTTGTGTTAGCTTCAATCTGCTGTTCTCTAGCTGCTGTACATATGCCTGAAAGTGCAGTACCCAACAGACATCTTAATGTTTTGCAAAATAGCCATTCCTATTCTTGTAGAAAATTTATAAAAAGTTTGAAAGCATACTTTCTTCCTCAATCTGCTTTTCCTTGCAGCCTCACGGTTTTGAGCAAGTCTACGAACCGTCTGTTGATAACAAATAACAAGGAAGAACATAACTGAAAAGCTCAATTAGAAAGGAAAACTGTTGCCTGCATAGGAATTGTCTGTATCACCTTCTGATCCAACTTATCCTTTGAACGGTCGCTAGAATCACCCACATGCCCACCATCGAACTGCAGAAACACTGTTTCTTTTTTAAAAAACTGGCCATTTTAATGAGCATAAAGAAGCAACACCAAGCAATTTCACAAGCTAACCATTAGGTTATCTGTGTCGCCATCTGTTGAGACTGATGTTCTTGGACTAGTGTCTCCCATTTTATTCTTTTCATCCAAATCTCTGTTACAAGATTGTGGTGAAGTCGAAACTCCTGGAATTCGATGTCCCTTTACACTCGATGGAGTAAAAGCTGTAAAAGTAAGATTGGCAAAACCAAAAATTAGAGTTATAGAGACACAAACAATTTTTTAACCAGATGAAATAAAGACGAGACTAATTCCAATTGATTGTTTTGCATAAAAGATATAGATTGGAAGTTCTCTAATTCCAATTGCCAAAAAAACAAACGCATCAAGCAAGTGGAACCAATGAGCTTAAACTTAACGTAACGTGAAGCAACCTTACGATCTGAAGAAGTTTGAGTACTTAAACACAGAGAATCGAAGTAAACAATAAGCAAGCCATCATGATTTAAATTGAGAACCAACGAGAAGCATAAATATCCTAAACAACAGACTGAAGTAGAACTGAAAGATTCAGAATTTCGTCGCCCCGGAAACAGAACAAAATTCGAACCTTTTAAAACATCTAATCCCAAGCAATTTCACTTCTACAGTGTCGGAACCGATGATTTTGGTTCCTGACATGAAAACAAAGAGTGAAAAAAAAAAGATCCCTTGAAGGTCAAAGTCTGATCTTCCATGACAGAACCAATCATGAAAGCAGAGGCAGAATAAGGAAAGTGAAGAACCAAAACCCTAAGATTGACTCACCTGGAGAGTGGATTCTTCAGCTTAACCCCCCCCCCCCCACCAAAAAAAAAAAAACGGATTGCTGGGAAAAGGGATTGAAACAAGCACAGCAGCGATACGATCCGAAAATCCCCAATCGCCAAAAAGACGCCGTCTTGTCTAAAACCCAGCAAATATGAAGAACAAAGGTTGCTACTTTTTTTAGTGGTACGATCTTGAAAAGAAGCTGGGGAAGGAAGACTAAGTGAAGTGATGGGTTAAAAAGTCAGTCCCCAGTGAAAACCAAAATATTCTTTGGTTTTGACAATGACGTGTCTTTTTGTTTTAAATACCCTTATGTATAATATTCGAGATTATTATTATCTACAAACTTCAGACATAAAAAAATAATGATATTCATAATCATGGACTTTAATTTAACAAATGAACAATGCGCTAAATTATTTGTAATATAAACATGACTACAAAATAAAGTACATGATGAATATGAAGTAAAAGTTATGGTTTGTTTGAAATTTGAAAATTATCGTTTATGTAACAAATAAAATATGTAATTAATTGTTAAGTTTTTGTTAGATTCTTTGTACAATATTTCATAAAAGCAAGATCAAATAAATGACTACTTAGAAGTTAGTAATCTAGTGTGAGCAGGGAAATTTATTTCAATATCAGACTTTGAATTATAATTTTATTGGTTTTAGCAGCAAAACTAAACTTCCATTTGTAGCAAAGACTCTCGGCGTTGAGGCAAAGTGCAAACCACACACTCATGCTTATATTTCTTTATTGCTACTGCAAGTGTGTGTGTTTTTGAATTGTCAAGGGAATGAACAAACTCACGAAAGAGTTTGATATTCTGATCTCGTTACTTAGAAACCATAACATTATTTATTAAAAAGAAACTCTAACTGGATTTGGTATGTCCTTCAAAGATATGTATGTGACACCAAAGAGCCTAGTCGAGCTTTAAACATCCGCAGTAGTCTTAGCCTTAGCCATCTCATCTAAAAGTAAAACCACGAAAGAAGTCTTTTAGGTTTGTTAAAAAGAATCAAAGAACCGAGAATCTAAGAAACAAAGAATAAATTTACGTACCTTGGAGACGACGGCCGCCACGAATGCCGCCACGAGGGGGACGGTGGTGGACAGTGGATCTGTGCAGATTAGAATCACGCCGAACAACTACAGGGAATCCTCCCATTTTGCTCCCAGTAAGTTCCGGCGCCTTCTCTGCTACGTCTTGTCCTTCGACAGACAATACAGCTGACCTGTAAGAATCAACAAAGACTTGTTTTTAGTTAGACGACTCACGCTTAAAACATGTGAACGTTGGGGACAAAAATGGGAGGAGGAAGGCACACACCTCTTAAAAATCATGAATTCCGTAATCTCTGCTCCAATTGAGGATAAAAGTTTACGCAACGCGCTCTTGAGATTAATCTCACTAAGCGAAGTATCATATCCTCTAACTGTTACTGTAGCGAAACTGCAATAAATGGAGATCATCTATATATAATCAACACATGCAAAGAACACTATACAAGTCTCAGGAAATCAAAAAAGAAAAGAAAAGAAAATTCAGTTTACTTGTCTGCATTTTCCAGAAACGGTAAATGCTTTACAGAGACATTCCATCCTCCCACGTCACTTCCATGAAGCTGCAACGCCTTGTCTACTGCGCCTTCTCCCACAAAATAAATAAAACCATGTCTGCAAAAACAAGTTTTTTAAAGTTCAAAAGCATGTTTAAATCGAGCTGGATCGGAGAAAGAAGCCACAAACCTCCAGAGAGTATAATCTACTCGATCCTTTATGGGAACATAAACATCCGTGATTTGACCACATGAATCGAAATGTTTTCTCAACGCCCTCTTCACATCACCACGAGGAAGCCCAGTGTCATATCCCGTCACCGTAATCCTCCCAATCTCACTGCAAAATCAATTTTTAAATTTTTTTTATTTTGCAGGAGATTATACCATCAACGTGAACAGAAAACAAGAAATTTACCGTCTTTTTGGAATGGCGGCATCACTACCGGTAGATCCCTAAGGTACAAAAGTTCTAATCAGAAATTCTACTAACTTCAATTACGTACTTGTCAAGAAACCATTAACTGAGAAACAGAGGTTGATGGGCGGCGAATATGAGGAAAGCCATAAGGATTAAGAAAAATATTACTTTGTTTGCAGATTCGTCCATTGACAAGTTGAGAAGAGCAGCTTGCTAGGTTTTCCAGAGGCGATAACCCTTACCGATATTCTACAGTTTTAACTTTTTAAGGAATTATTATTAGGTCTGAAAAAGGTATTTATAAAGTTTAATTGATAACGGAAAGTGAAAATTAAATATATGTAGTACTTTCATTGGATAGACTAAAAATAAAGTACATGATGAATTTTAATTTACAAGTTTTGTTTGTCTGAAATTTGAAAATTATTGTTCATGCAAAAAAATATGTAATATGTTGTCTTTGATCAAATAAATGACTACATCTACAATGAGCACCAAAACATAAATTATAGGCAGCCGTAGAAGGTTTATTTTATCAATGGAAAGACTCACATTACCAAATAAAACAAATATGGTGAAATCAAATTGGAAGAATTGCATTGCTATTCATTCAAATCTCAGCAATTTCGACAATATGATAGAGAGAAAGATTAGAAGAATTGCATTGCTTTCATTGTCTTTGATCACATAGGCTTATTTTTTAGTATTGCTAGCGGAAGTGTGCTAAAGTCGGAGATTTTTTTTTTTTTTTTAAAGTTAACATAAAAAGTCGGAAGTGCTTTAATCAATAATTGAAATGATTAGATAGATTCTTGTTATAAATAAGTATATCATCAAAGCAAACAATTACAAATTTATTTAGGCTTACTTGGTCTTCAATGAGATATTCTACATTTAACAAAAGAATATAAATCAATATGTAGAATATCGCATTTAAGACCAAGCAAGCAAACAACTTTTAGTTAATTAGTCAATTTAGTGGGCTAAGTGTAAATGTTCAACTGTCAATTTCGCAGAATTGGGTCACTTTTTCGTATTATCACAGAGTTTCATTAGATTGTTATTTCAGTTAACTTTTAAGTGATAAGAATCTATAGGATTCTATACAAAATGTAGACTGAATTTACTCTTTTCTCTTGATTAATACTCTAAACTCAAAAGTATATTTATCATCGGAACCATTGAATCTATTGTTGCAAATCGTATTGTCAGTTGCTTTGTTTCCTAATGGCTATATTAATTTGATTCCATGACACTTGTTACTTGAAGACAATCTTTTGAAAACCAACTTTTAACATTCATGTGTCTTAACAAGTCTCATTTTCAATATGATTATGATTATTGTGTTTTCCTATTAGATTGAAGACAGGTGCAGTTCCAGTCGTTGCTGATCCTCAATATATTTAACTCTCTGTTGATTATCTATTAGCAAATCTTCTTGTGTGCTTGCTAATTTGGTCACATTACAGATTATTCATGCAAACGTTTTCAAGTATCGAAGTAGAAGGATCAATGATCTTTTGCTGAATAACTGTTAAGAAGAATCTTGACAGGTTAATAAATAGTCTCTCCTAGTTTGTGTCCATATGGATTTTGTACAGCTGAGTGACCAAAACACAAATATTCAGTTTTTCACTCCCTGGGTCGAGCAAGCCATAAGGAGCTTAGAGCTTTCAGCCTCGAGAAGTAATCATGAATTGCGAGCAGAGCACGCGCCGACTGTCTCGTTGTTAATACTCTTATCATCTGTTGCAATGTTTGTAGTCTCAAATTATCAGCCTGCCACCACCAAAGAGCTCATCAAACATTGATTGTAACATTCTTTCTTACATCTCAAACATCACAAAGTGTGTAGTTTCTTTTGGTTTGTACCTGTCGGATAAACCCTTCGAGGGTACCTAACTTCCCCATCGCCATGGCCATCTGACCCATGTAGCTGGCGACATTCCCTGATGAGCTTGAACCAAGTGTCCCGCTTGACAAAGTATCTGCTAGTGACTGTTGTAAGCTCTCCATCCCTTGAGACAAAGCATCTTCCGCCTGCTGCGATGTCTGCTGCAGGCTGTTTATGCCCATCATCTGTCTCTCCGTCATTGGCTCCAACTGATTCGCCAGAAGCTTGAGAAGTTCTGATGAGCGGAAGCCACCGAGCCACAAGAAACACCTCTCAGCTGGCGTTTTCCACATGCCGGACAGCAAGTGAAAGACGTCGTTCTTAGCTGCGTTGCTCTTTATCCTGAAAAGCTCCTCATAGTGAGCCATCACACCATCCACTATTATTCGAAGTTCAGCATCACCTGCATGCGCGTTCAGAGCAGACCTCAGCTCGTTCATTTGCTTGTTCTTTTCTTCCAGCCACCGTGAATGCTCAGCATCAAACGCCAAAGCGCCTGTAAGCAAACATGTTACACATGATCAAGGAACAGACCCATGAGATTCGTCATCTTGTAACTCTCTACATCTACATCCATCACTCTGTGCTTAAAATCACAAGCCACGAATAAAACCAATATGAAAAATTACTGGAGTATAAGAAACCAACCATTTCCACCAGTAGAGTGGGCTTGGTCTCCTGTGCTTGAAATGAAGACGCCCTAAAAGCGAGAACATTTCCATTTATGTAAACAGAATCACAAAAAGATAATCAAAGAAATAAGAAACAACAAATCTAAACCTGCTGTCTTGCTCTTTGAAGCTCCTGCTCAAGCTGAGTAAGCTTCAAGCGGCTGTTCTCCAGCTGCTGAACATACGCCTGTGAAGGGAGCATTTAAAAGGACTTAAGGTAGTAGTAGTAAACAGCTCTACTTCAGAAAAGAGAAAAAGTCAAGAAACAAAGAACCAACGTGAGGTCTTACCTTCTTCCTCAATCTACTTTTCCTTGCTGCCTCGCGGTTTTGAGCAAGCCTACGAAGGGTCTATGGATCAAAATAAACAAAGATTATACGTTGGCTCAATAAAAATGGTTACTTTATCTATAGAGATGGACAAAATCACCTTTTGATCCAACTTGTCCTTCGATCGGTCACTAGAATCAGAAGCAGCGGTATTCACTAGTGCTCCTTCAGACTGCAAGAAATTAACACCAGACAAAATTTTACTGGTCCATTGAAATCACACTCGTTTGAAGAACATAAGTGAGAGAATGTTTCCAGGTTATGAACTAACCCCAAGATCTCTATGATCTGTGTCTCCATCTGTTGAGACATCAGTTGTTGGACTGGTATCAGCCATATTACTTCCTCACCACCTTTTCTGTACTAACACTTTCAATATTCACTTTTGGCCTCCCCTGTAGTAGCAACTAGCTCAGATTTCTCTTGCATGCGCAGCAGATTCTAAGACTGCCAAGATTCAGAAAGAAGGAAGTTACTGATAGAGGGTACAGAGAAAAAATGGATTAGGAACAACCGTTGGTCATCTACAAAAAAACGGTATTACCTGCCATCTATTTTGCCAACATAGTTTTCAATTATGGACTATAAAGTCACAGAAACACATTCTCTAGAACAGTGGCTGCTTCTGTTTCCACTAAACAAGCCAGAAAGAAAAATGCAAGAGAGTTCCTTTTCTTATTCAACACATTGCCAAAAGTCACAAAACTCAAGAATATAGGAATAATTGGGTTGTGCCTAACAGATTGATAAAAATAACCCATCAACAATGTACCAAATATTGCAAAAAAAACAAAAGATTCGAACTTTAAGCTTAGCCCGCAGAACAAAGTCAAAATCAGTGAGTTAAGAAGGTGACACAGTTGAAAATGCCTGGGTTTGGAAATTAGGCAGAGTCACACACGCTGATCAAGTTATTGTCACATAAAAAACCTATTCAATTTCACTTTTACTGACGCTGAAGTAGCTTCAGTAGCTGAATCTCTCTTGGTTTGCAATTCTAATGAGAACAAAAATATACTCAGTGTTCACATCCGAGTTGACTCCAATTCTACTCAGTGATTCACATCGAGTAAAGTAGAAAACTAAGGATTCAAAATCTAGCACTAGCGACATGAAGCTGCAGCTACGAATTCAAATCAAGAAATTACCAGAAATTTAAAGGACACATAACAAGTTCAATTTTTCAAATCCAAATATCGGAATTAGATGATTTTGGTCGCTAATAAAAAGCAGAAGCTCTATAAAGCTACTGAAAGTCAACAGCTTGTAAAGCAAAACACAGAGCTGGAAAGAAGCTTCTAATGACTGTGAAGCAAAACGAAGAAGGAGAAAAAAAAAAGAAAACCCTAGAAAAAAGAGTTGCTTTGAGGAAGAAACTGACCTTGAAAATGAAATCTTTTCCGGTGCGGGAGTAAAAAGTAAAGGGTGAGTTCGAAATCGGATTGAAACAAGAAGCAGAGAGAGACACGATCCGAAATTCCAATCTCCGAGACGTCGTTTTGTCTGAAATCTACCAGTTCCCAAAGAACCTCCCGATGAATTTAACGGGAAATTTCAAACTAAACCCCGTACGTTTTCTGTTTTGCCATTAACGAGCCCTAGTCTCTTATAATTGCCAAAAACACCCCTATTAAATATTAAAGCTTTTGATTATTTTATGTAGATTGTATACGTCATTGCTTTCATCCTTGACCATTAAGATCGGCTGATCAGACATGATCGAACAGCCATCTGAGAGTTTATCCGATTTACTTTACACCTAAATCCAATTTTAAAAATATAAACAAGATTTTTTTTGTAAAAAGTGGTGTTTAAAAAAAGGGTTTGAATTGAAAAAAAAAAGTTTGTATTGATAAAAGAACTAAAAGCTTGTTTGTTCTCAGGTTCTTCAAGTGGTACAAGTAGGTAAAGTAAGAAGTAGTCGTGTTGAAGACACGCGAGAGGCACGTGCGACGAGCAGGGCTGTTTTGATCTTCCTCATTTTTTGTGTGGATAAAATCGGTTATGAGTTCGGTTGAACAAAAAAAAAAGAGTTCGGTTAGATTTAAGACCAACAAAAATCTAAATATATTTGATGTTCAAATCTCTTTTGAGTTTTGATAAACTTTCCGCACTCACTCTCAAATTTGAACTCCAATTATGACGCATCACAAGTCTCGATCTACTAACCTTTTATTATTAGTTGATAATAGTAGTTTAATACTAGCTGTTATTTACGTAAATAAAATAATAAGGCTATTTGGCAAATTTTGTCCTAATATAAGTATTAAAAGAAAATTGAAAATGCATTCGTCGAAACTTTGAAAGAAAGGAATCCTAAATATTTTTATTATTACATTGTCTTTATCGGGTAAATGATTGCCCTCTCTCTTTTCTCGACATTTCACCTTATTACTCGTCAATAAATGCTTTTCACTCACTCTCTCACTCTCACTCTCACTCTCACACTCGCCTGCTCACTCAGCATATCCTCTTCATTCTCTATCTCTTAAATTCCTCATTAATGGCTACCAGATTCAGGCACCAGTTCTCAATAGTATCTCCCCTCACATTCTTCTGCTTCTTCCTCACGACATTCTCTTTCACAGAAAACGAGGAACTTGGTCTTCTTCTCAGATTCAAGGCCTCCATTGATGATCCAAAGGGCTCTCTTTCAGGTTGGTCCAACACTTCTTCTTCTTCTTCTCACCACTGTAACTGGACTGGCATCACATGCACCAGAGCTCCTTCCCTTTTCGTCTCTTCCATTAACCTCCAAAGTTTGAATCTTTCTGGCGAAATCTCTGACTCCGTTTGTGATCTACCCTACTTGACTCACCTCGACCTCTCCCAAAACTTTTTCAATCAGCCAATCCCTCTTCATTTGTCTCGCTGTCTTACGTTAGAGACTCTGAATCTCAGCACTAATCTCATCTGGGGCACAATCCCTGATCAGATTTCTGAGTTCAGTGCCTTGAAAGTCCTTGATTTCAGCAGCAACCATGTCGAGGGTAAGATTCCAGAGGATTTAGGGTTACTGTTCAATCTTCAAGTTCTTAATTTGGCAAGTAATCTGCTCACCGGTGTCCTCCCTCCTGCAATTGGCAAGCTAAGTGAGCTCGTCGTTCTTGATTTGTCTGAAAACAGCTATTTGGTGAGCGAGATTCCTTCCTCTATTGGGAAACTAGACAAGCTTGAACAGCTTCTGCTGCATAGGTCAGGCTTCCATGGAGAGATCCCCACTTCCTTTGTGGGTTTGAAAAGTCTGAAAATCTTGAATCTTTGTCTCAACAACCTGACCGGCGAAGTCACTCGATCCATAGGGCCTTCTCTCAAGAGCTTGGTCTCTCTTGATGTCTCACAGAACAAGATATCTGGCTCTTTCCCTAACGGCATCTGCAGTGGCAAGAGGCTCATTAATCTTTCTCTTCATTCGAATTTCTTCCAAGGGCCATTGCCTAACTCCATTGGTGAATGCCTTAGCCTGGAGAGGTTTCAAGTGCAGAACAATGGATTCTCTGGTGAGTTTCCAGTTGGGTTATGGTCATCACCGAGGATTAAGATTATCAGAGTGGATAACAATCGGTTAACAGGTCAAGTGCCTGATTCTGTGTCTTTGGCTTCTGCGTTAGAGCAAGTTGAGATAGACAACAACTCCTTCTCTGGTGGAATCCCTCATGGTCTTGGACTGATCAAGAACCTGTACAAGTTCTCTGCTTCAGAGAACGGGTTTGATGGAGAGTTACCGCCGAGTTTCTGCGACTCACCTGTCCTTAGTATTGTGAACATCTCTCACAATAGGCTCTCAGGGAAGATCCCAGAGCTGAAGAATTGCAAGAAGCTTGTCTCGTTGTCTCTGGCAGGCAACGCATTTACCGGAGACATCCCTCAGTCACTTGCTGATTTACATGTTCTGACTTATCTTGATCTATCTGATAATAAACTCACCGGTTTGATCCCTCAAGACTTTGAGAACCTGAAGCTCGCTCTCTTCAACGTGTCATTCAATCGGTTATCAGGTGAGGTACCTCACTCTCTGGTCTCCGGTTTACCAGCTTCCTTTCTGCAAGGAAATGCAGGGCTTTGTGGACCCGGTTTGCCTGATTCCTGCTCCTCTGATCGGTCCAGCTTCCATAAAATAGGACTTAAAGCTTTGTTGTTAGTTCTGATATGCTTAGCACTTGCTCTTGCCTCCTCCCTCGTCATTTCATATCGGTATTACCGAAAGAAAGTTCAGTTTAAGAGTACTTGGCAGTCGGAGTTTTATCATCCCCTGAGGCTAAGCGAGCATGAGTTGATGAAAGTGATGAATGAAACTTCTCCTTCCGGGAGTGAAGTATACGTTCTCAGTTTGTCGAGTGGGGAGTTAATCGCTGTGAGGAAGCTCGTGAACTCTAGGAATGTATCCTCAAAAGCTCTGAAAGCTGAAGTCAGAACCATAGCGAAGATACGGCATAAGAACATTACTCGGATTCTTGGTTTTTGTTTCACAGACGAATTCATCTTCTTGATCTATGAGTTCACGCAAAATGGTAGCTTACATGATATGCTGTCGAGGCCTGGCAATCAACTGCAGTGGAGCGTTAGGTTGAAGATAGCACTAGGCGTTGCTCAAGCATTGGCATACATTAGCAAAGATTATGTGCCACACTTACTCCATAGGAACCTAAAGTCAACGAACATTCTCTTGGACAAAGATTTCGAACCGAAGCTCTCTGATTTTGCTCTTGACCAAATTGTTGGAGAAGTTGCTTTTCAGTCTCTGATACACGCCAGCTCCTGCTCCTGCTATACTGCGCCAGGTACAATGTCTAGTGATCACTTAGTGATTGTGTCCGTAGACTACTACGAGTGAACTTTTTTTTTCGGTTATCATTATCTGAAACACTTGTGCTTTCTTTCTTGATTGTGTCCAGAAAACAACTTCAGCAAGAAAGCAACAGAAGAAATGGATGTTTACAGTTTTGGAGTTATCCTACTAGAACTTGTAACGGGGCAAAGAGCAGAGAAAGCAGAAGGAGACGCATCTGGAGAGTCACTTGACATAGTGAAGCAGGTCAGAAGGAAGATAAACCTGACAAATGGTGCTGCTCAAGTTCTTGACCAAAAGATCTTGTCCAGTTCTTGCCAATCAGACATGCTAAAGACCTTGGATATTGCTCTCAATTGCATTGCCGTTTCTGCAGAGAAGCGACCTTCACTGCTTCAAGTTATCAAGGCGCTTGAGGGTATAAGCTCCTCTGTTTCAGCTTCTACCGAGAAGCTTCCAGTTTCCACGTAAACAATAAACCAAGAGTGACAATTTCTTAGCTCTGGTCTTTACTCAAAAATCAAGAATTTTATTGAATGGTCAAATGGCAAGAGGGTATGTTTTGTTTCTGGAGTGTGAGAGTTAATGAATGTACATTGGTCATTTGATGTTCAAGGACAATAAGCATTTGAGTGTATATCGTTTATGAGCTTGGAGTCTTTTGGACAAACAAGCCAGGTTTAGGTTTCTCCAAGGAGTCTGTATCTTTCGTTAGTCGGAGAGAAACTAAGGTTGTCCTTTTCTTCAACCGCTTTGATGATGTTGTAGTGTGAAGGAGAACTTGATGTTTCCACCTCTTCGTTGCTGCCATATCTTGTGTTTCGTGTCATAGAAACTTTAAGCTTGTCACTGAAATCTGCAACCATATCTGTCAAGTGGGCACAAGAAGGAAGACAATACTGAACCGGATTGACTTTTCGAGGAAAGCTTCTAGTTGCATCTCCAGATGAGCTTCTACCCTCAATTATGCTCTGGAAACTCAGAAACAAACATATGTTTTAGCAGGAGAGAACTTTCCTTGGTATCTAAGTCACTGAAGGACTGAAAAAGGTAGACAAACCTGCGCGTTGAGTTCCTCAAGAACAGTTCCTGGGACAGGGTACGGGCAGAATTCATCTGGGGTGAAATTGCATACTATCCTTTTTATCAAACTCAGGCCAATTGATGGGCAAATCTGCGAAACTCAAAAAAGTATTAAACCGGGAAGGTTAGATCACACAGTGTTACTATATCATGAAGCATACACATACCTCTTCTCTGGTGGAACTGTCTACAAGCATTTCTTTTGGAAGCATAAGGAGATCGCTCAGTTCATTGAGCAAGTGGAATGGTTTCAATGCCGCATATCCATTTTCCAGGGAATGATCAGCATCGATCTCAAACACGTCTGTGAGCAATCTTGACCAGTAGCCAACCTGTAACAATGTTATATTAGCCTCTATGAGTTGTGACTCGTGTCACAAGACTTTCAAGCAAGAAAGTTCTACAGCTTCAAATGAATACCGTGTTCTTTAGTTTTACGCCAGACTCAAAGCTCAAAACCCCAGCTGGAATTGGCAGAACTCTTGGGTCACCAATGGGATCAGAGTCAGGATCAGTTGGTATCCGATGAGCAGACTCACGGAGAATAGCATTGAACATAGCCACATCAAGTCTTGCAATGCACTGCTCCATGACCATTCTGGTTAGCACATGCAAACAACCACATTTACGCCTTTCTGCTTGAACAGGACAGAGCTGTTGAAGAGCCTCTTCAAAAGCTTTTTTCCACAGGTTGACAGAGAAGCTCTCTTGTAACCGGTCACATGTTGCTGGTTCTGAAAAATTCCCCACCATTTCACCCATCGTAGCGTCTACTCCTTGAGGTCTCATATGAACCATCATTACCTAAAAGAGTGAGAATCTGAAGCAATTTAACATCTGCATCTTGCTTTCAAGAAAGGATGATCCATGGACTTTTTTTGGTTTTTACCTGTGACCATATGGATCCAACAGCTTTTGTGAATAAGCATGATTCAACTCTTCTTAATGCCTCTATCAGAGTTCTTGCATCTGTCCAGACTTCTTCAAGCGATTTTGATCCATTTAGGTATGTGCCACCAAATTCATGTGAAATGATCTCTCGCAACATGACAGTGTTGGACAACCAGAAAGTTAACCTGAGCGAAGGAATAGACAAGTAGCATAATAAGGTTAACAAGTTCCTGTAGAAACATATTTATATATATAAGAAGAGTAAACATCTATTTTGATTACCTCGCTACATCACTCCCACAGGATTTCAACACCAAGAACAGACCAGACACAATGTTTTTGGTTACTGAGATTAACTTGTTTTCACTCTGGTTTTTTCTAGCAAGTGCGTAGAGCCTAGAAAGGTCTCGTGCAGGTCTATGCAGCTTGTGTGCTGAGCTCCCATGTTCTGGAAATACAGAGTATAGTGACATCTCAAGAACAGCCACTTCTCTCAGCTCCCCTTCAAGTTGCTCGATTCGAGATTCTAGGGACCCGATCTCTCGAGTTAAGACTTTCTCCACTTCACTTGTTTTGTTTTCCTTGTACACAAGTGTCTCATTGTCACTTTCAGTGTTATTATTTAAAGCATCTTCAAACTTGTCATCTTCTTTCGCCTCCTCAAAAGGCGTGGAATCGACTGCTTCAGAAGGGAAAGCTCTCTGAGTTTCAGAGCTTCTATAAGAGGAGAAATCAGACAGAGCTCTTGCCTGGCTTTTACTGGATCTTACCGTCTTTCTAGCAGAGCCATGAAAGGTGCTGGATCGAGATCTAACCGAATCGACATTGGTTCGTCCCTTTGATGTGAAGGGTCTGTCCTGGGAGCTTTTGCTCTTGGAAACCACTGATGTCCTGTCTGATCTCTTATCTCCAAGGGAAAACAAATCACCTTGAGAAGAAGACACAGAAACATTGTTTGCTTCAGTGTCTGAATCATCATCACCGTTCCCTTCTTCCTCACAATCCATAAGACTCTCATCATTCCTCCTTGGTTTCTCGTTGGAATCGTCCATGTAATGCACCTTCACGTTGTCATAGACTTCGGAAGACTCGGATCCAGTCGTTGAATCGTTCACAGCGAGTGAAGGAGGCTCAGAGGCGGTCGCATCCAAAACTCTGGAAACAAGCTGAGCCGCATTGAGCGGTTTCAAGCCATTGGCTTTACTAGTACGCTGTTTCTGGTCTTTCTTTGCCAAGCTCGCACTGTTTCTTGGCTGAGAGTTTGTCGAAGTTCTTGGCCTCTCGAATCTTTTCATCGCCTTCTAACCACCTGGAAAAATCTCTGCAGAGACTTTAAAATGGAGTTTGAACTTCTCAAGCCAATCAATCACATTCTGCAGTAGAAAACAATAAATTTTTGTATTGTTTTTATTAAATGTTTTACTTTTTTATCAGATAAACGCAGAAATATTCAAATGATTATGATCTTAAGAAACAAGCAAGAGAACATGAGCAATACGTGCATCACCGACTAAATTGTCGAACACCTTACGGTCGTTATTATTATATAAACTCGTGACAGCAACAGATGTTTCCTCATAGACAAACAAACATTTCATTCACTCATTCATAAGATTCACATTACTTAAATTAATAGTATTAAAAATAGAAACTAATTAATACTCTTGCAGACAGTATTGCCGCTTAACACGACACATGAGAGCAATTAACATTTGAGCACGTCTTGCCGTCTTATTAGTTGTTTACAGACAAAAACGAGTCTCTCTCATTGACGTCGGAGAAAAATGTTAGATGATGATCGGATTCTAATGTGAAATGAGATCGATGAAGATAACAATGAAATAGGAGATTGCATACATACAAACCTGAGACAGAGCATCGTGCGAGATCCAAGTTGGTGATCTGAAGAATAAGGATCCAGAGAAGAGAAAATGGGATTGTGAGAGGGATGTATGTGTTTTTGCAGGGAATAAAAGTGATGGCGAGTTTTGACTCTCTCTTTGGGTTTAAAAGAGGATTTAATGTGAAAAAAGCAATTTCTCTCTCTTTGGATCGGTCGGTGATTAGTTTAATCAATCAAAAAGAGAGAGAGAGATCGGTTACACCAAGAGACAGACGCTGCGTCGTGGTCATCTTCCCAATCCATTTTACCACACTTAGCCGCGTTTCCTTATTTATAATCATATCTTAATATTTAAATTATTCACACTAGAGTCTAGACAATAGAAAATGACACGAATAAAGATGATTGAGTAGCAAATGGTTAATTTGGTGGTACTAAGTATGTAAAAAGCTCTATAAATAGATACAAATATGTGAAGTTGAATGTTTGGCATGTATATTGAAATTAAGAAAATACCAAAGTCAAAGGCTTTATGCAACAGAACCTGGAAATTAGGAAACTAATATATGCATAGGAGAATCTTCCTGTATATATTTTTGTTTATATAGAAAAATCAAAACAGAGTACCTGCAACCTCTTGTCCAGTCATGGCATCAACAACGAGCAACACTTGTGTGGGATTCAGAACTTGCTCCAAGTTCTTTCCATCATCCCTTTATCTATCTGTCACAAAAAGGTAATTTCATGACTAGAGCTGCAACAGATTTGTGATACACAATGATTCAAAACTATAACTACCTAAAAAAACTTGGTCGCCAACAAAATTGGTTTGCCTTTTTCTTTTTCTTGCTCAGCAAACAACCATTTGTTGGAGATTTATGTTTGCCATGTTAGTAGGGTGATCAGGCTTGTCTTTTATGATCTTACTCATCTTTTTTTTTCTTTCTTGTTTTTAAAAAATGTGTAGAGTGAAAGCTTTATGTAAAATCATAAATTTTCAACCCTTTTCGCAAGAAAAATTATATGTCGTAGTTAATAGAAAATGAAACATTTATATTTTTGTCAAGCTTAACAAAAAGATCAAGTATATTCTTATAAAACCAGCAGGACATTTTTTTTTTTTTTTTTTGGTTCAACAGGACATTTTAATAACATAAAACCAGAATCAAAACAGAGATTATACCCTCAACGTAAGAGACAAAAACAGAACTAGGACAAAAAGAGAGAAGAAAGGATCTTGAGGCGGCCTTTTAACATTTGATACCATAATGAGTCATGACTTTGCACCTATAGCCTATCCTATAAAATCACCATAACTCTCATACACTCACACAAACGAGAATGATGGATTTACAACACTTGTTTGTAATCATCCTTATATGCCTTGGAACCACAGTCTTGACCCAAGCCATAATTACCTACAGATTCCGCAACAAACTACAGCTTCCACCAAGCCCAACAGCTTTACCGATCATCGGTCACATTCACCTTCTTGGTCCCATAGCTCACCAAGCACTTCACAAGCTCTCAATCCGCTACGGACCCTTGATTTATCTCTTCATTGGCTCCATTCCTAATCTTATTGTCTCATCCTCTGAGATGGCGAATGAGATTTTCAAATCCAACGAGCTCAACTTCCTGAACCGTCCCACAATGCAAAACGTTGACTACCTTACTTATGGCTCAGCCGATTTCTTCTCAGCGCCTTACGGGATCCACTGGAAGTTCATGAAGAGGATTTGTATGGTGGAGCTCTTCAGCAGCAGAGCATTAGATAGCTTTGTCTCCGTGAGAAGCGAGGAGTTGAGGAAGCTTCTTACACGCGTCCTGAAAAAAGCAGAAGCAGAAGAGAGTGTTAATCTCGGTGAACAGCTAAAGGAACTGACAAGCAACGTCATAACGAGAATGATGTTCAGAGAAAGGCATTCGGAGGATAGTAACGGCTGCGGCGGGAAAAGAGAGGAAGTTATCAAAATGGTGGTGGAGTTGAATGAACTAGCAGGGTTCTTCAACGTTTCTGAAACGTTTTGGTTCTTGAGAAGGCTTGACTTGCAAGGAATCAACAAGAGGCTCAAGAGTGCTAGAGAGAAATATGATGTGATCATAGAGAGTATAATGGAAGAGCATGAGACTAGGAAGACGGATGAAGCAGGAGCGAGGAACATGCTAGACATTCTGCTCCACATCTATGAAGACAAAAACGCGGAGATGAAACTGACAAGAGAAAACATTAAGGCATTCATCATGGTAACCGTATAATAGAAAATTTTGTTCAAGAGAGCCTTTTGAGACGATATACATCTTCCTAATTCATTGTTGTGCAGAACATTTATGGAGGTGGAACAGATACAAGTGCCACCACAGTAGAGTGGGCTTTAGCAGAGCTGATAAACCATCCAGAGATGATGAAGAAAGCGCAACAAGAGATAGAGCAAGTGGTGGGAAACAAGAGACTAGTAGAAGAATCTGACTGTTGCAATCTCAGTTACATCCAAGCAGTTGTGAAGGAGACACTGAGGTTACATCCTGGAGGACCAATATTCGTGAGAGAATCGGAACAAGAATGCAAGGTGGCTGGATACAGAGTCCCAGCAAAAACGAGAGTGATAGTTAACGTTTGGGCGATCGGAAGAGACCCAGATCAATGGGAAGATCCATTGGAGTTTAGGCCTGAGAGGTTCCAAGGGATGGAAGGGAAGCTCATGAGTGAGAAGATGGTGTCTTTTGGATCTGGGAGAAGAAGCTGTCCTGGAGAAAAAATGGTATTTAGATTCGTTCCATTGACTTTAGCTGCGATAATACAGTGCTTTGAGTTGAAAGTGAAGGCAAGTGTGGAGATGAATGAAGGGATTGGATCCTCTCTGCCTAGAGCCACACCTCTGGTTTGTGTTGCTGTTGCTAAGGAGGCTATACAGTCGTTTTCCTCACTTGAGCCAAAGCTCAACTTCTAGCCAATAAGAGCAGTAAAATACTTGTGTCAAAGCAGAACCAGCTCTTGAACCACCGTATATCTTTAGTCAAATAAAAAGAATGTTACAACCAATTCCTACTAATATCAACATTAAATGTCTGCTGTGCAAAAAATACCAAAAGTCAAAGGCTTTATGCAACAGAACCTGGAAATTCAGAAACTAATACATGCATAGGAGAATCTTCCTGTATATATTTTTGTTTATATAGAAAATCAAAACAGAGTATCTGCAGCTTCTTGTCCAGTCATGGCATCAACAACGAGCAACACTTGTGTGGGATTTAGAACTTTCTTCAAGTTCTTTTAATTCGTCCACCATCCCTTTATCTATCTGTCACAAAGAGGAAATTTCATGAATAAAGCTGCATCAGATTTGTGATACACAATGATTCAAAACTAGAACTACTTAAAAAAAACTTGGTCGCCAATAAAATTGGTTGTAACATACAAAGCATGTGAATCATCAAACTGGACCATTTTTGACCACTCACTTGATAGAATCGAAATGATTCCCCACACACAAAAAAAGAGAAACTTTAAAAGCAAGTTGAGATTCAATCAATAGTATAATTCAGTGAGAATGAAGCTTTTTAACCTCTCGCTCTTCTTCTTCCTCATCTCCTTTCCACACTCTGAAAGCTGCAATTCAAATGACAAATCTACCCTCCTCAAGATCAAGAAATCTCTAAACAACCCTCGAATCCTCAATTCTTGGGACGCACAAACCGACTGCTGCACTGACTGGATCGGCATCAAATGCACCCACCGCCGCATCACTGGCCTCACCATCTCCTCCGGAGACGTCGTTGGGCAGATAGCAGAGGAAATCGGCGACCTTCGTGACCTCGTTATCCTAGATTGGAGCAGTCTCTATCGTCTCAGAGGAACCATTCCACGCTCCATCCCCAAGCTCAAGAATCTAGAACACCTCCGGTTTAAGTTAACCGAACTTTCTGGTTCAATCCCGGAATACATCAGCGAGCTTCAGAACATAACCTTTTTGGACCTCTCCTTTAACCGGTTCAACGGTTCAATTCCCGGTTCGATTTCTCAGATGCCGAAGCTAGAAGCCATACAGCTCAATAGTAACAAATTGACCGGTTCTATACCGGAATCTTTCGGTTCCTTTGTTGGAAAGGTCCCACCAGACCTCTACTTGGATAATAATCGCCTCTCAGGTAAAACTTGTCACTCAAGTTTTTGCCCAGATACTACTGTACACAACTCGATTAATGTTGATTTAATTGCAATGTAGGAAAAATACCAAAGTCGTTATCCAAAACCGACTTCAACACGTTGAGTTTGTCAGGTAACAAATTCAGTGGGGATGCTTCGATGTTGTTAGGGCATAACAAGACAACCGTAAGACTGGACTTGTCTAGGAACAACTTCCACTTCGATCTTTCAAAAGTAAATTTCGCAAAGAGCTTGGTTTCATTGGACCTGAGCCATAACCGCATTTTCGGAGAACTTCCTTCGGTGCTCACCAAGCTCCGTCCTGACCATTTCAACGTAAGTTTCAACAGTCTGTGTGGGTCCATCCCACAGGGCGGTCTGCTCCAGAGTTTCGAGGTCTATGAATTCTCCAACAACCTCTGTCTATGTGGTGCACCGCTCAAGCGTTGCTAGCTGATCTATCAAACAACATTTTGAAAATGTACTTATGAATTTCATAAATACAAGTTTGGTTCATGTTTTTATTAATTATTCCGAATGAAGATATAGTTGTCTTTAGACTTGATTGATAAGCCATCACAGAGTCCACTTACTTCACATATTGAAAAGTTTAGCTCTGGCATTTAGATGCACAGTAAATAGGTCAGATTCATGGTCACTGGATTTGTGGTTTTGCTCTGTTTTCAAAATTAGCCTTGTACACCAAGAAAGAAAGAAAAAATGTGTAATCCAATTCAAAATGAGCTATATAAGAACATCGCTCTCAACCATCACTAGTGTACAGTGTCCTTGGCTCGTGGCCAAGTAATCATTTCGTCAATTTAGTAGCAGTGGCATCTTCTTCTCCCAAGGAGAATCCTAAGTTAGATATTTTCCTTGACGACTATAATTGTCACTTTAAAAAGCTGAGTTTATTCGGTTTACTTGATGTCTTTATTAATCATTCCGAGTGGAAAATAGTACAGTTGTCCTTGGACTTGATTGATTCTTATGGTAAATTTTAAAAGAGATGAAGCTTGGTTGCTTGAATCTTCACTTGCAACTCGGAAGAGGTGCACCACACAAACACTTGTTGTGCAAATAGGCGTAGGAATCAAATCTCTGAAGATCGCCTCCCTTGGGGATGCGTCCACACAGTCTGTTATAGCTAACATTGAAGGACTGCAGACTAAGCTCGGTCCATTGAACCGGAATACTCCCTGTGATCCCATTGTGATTCAAGTCTAATTGAGCAACTGTCTTAGAGACCTTAACCTTGGAGATGTCGAACTGGAGCATGTTTCTCGATAAATCAATGGAAAATGTCGTTTTGCTGGCTCCAAACAACATCGAAGCATCACCTTGGAGCTTGTTACGGGAAAGATCGATCCGGTTAAAGTCGAGCTTGCCTAGTGATTTTGGTATCGAGCCAGAGAGCTGGTTGTGTGATAGGAAAAGATCAGGGACTTTTTCTTGAAACGATCCAAATGACTCTGGTATTGGACCTAAATGAAAGATTCAAAAAAATTAAAGTTTGATAATAATAATATATCAAAGACTAATAGAGAGAGACAAAGAGAGTGATTCATCACCTGTAAGCTTATTCCTGCTGAGTTCAAGAAACTCGAGTTTAGGTAACAAAGAGAGAGAACTTGGTATGGGACCAGAGAGGTCATTGAAGGAAAGGTTTATGTAGTCAAGATTCTTGAGCTGACTAAGAAATTCAGGAACCGGGCCGGTCAGGCTGGTCCAGCTGAGCCAGAGAAAACGGAGATATTTGAGCTTGGCGATGGTGGGTTGGATTTCACCGGTGAGGTTAGGGAGTTTACGAAAGATGAGGGTTTGCAAATAAGGTAAGTCACCGACTTCAGGAGGGATTTGAGCGGAGAGATCGTCGTTTGATATATCTAGGGAGGTGACGCGGTGGTTGAAGGTGGCGTCGCCGCACTCAACGGAGACCCAGGAGCAGCAGTCGTCTTTGGGATCCCATGAGATGATGGTGTAAGGGTTGTTAAGAGCTTTCTGTATCTTGAGGAGGGTTTTTTTGTCATCTTTGTGACAGAGATCTTTAGATAAAGAGGTGGTGAGGAGGAGAGTGAAAAAGAAGAAGAACAAGAGCAGTGTCGTTGTCTTATCCATAGTGTTATGTGTTTGTGCTTGAGTTTTTATGGAAACTGTGATGATATATAAGGCTGATGGTGGGGTACGATTTTATTAATTATTTTTGCTGACTATACCACGTTTTAAACAAGTTTCGGTGCTGATCTTTAAAATATCTATCTACTTTTGGACAGTGCTTGTGCTTGTGTGAACTCATGCTTCGATTTCTGGTTTGGTTCAAATCGACTGGGAATTGATATGTAGAGTATGAACCCTCTTGATGGTTTGTTTTAAGTAATTTCACTTAATGTTAAGTTTAGCCATCCCTTATGCTATGCATAGACACTTTAAGATTCATGAAAGAGAGTAGCAATACGTTCCAGAACTAAATTTAGTTAAAGATCCTTTGTGAATCTAAAGTAGCGCATAATAAATGAATAAAATTAAAAAAAAATGGAGCATAAACTATAATTATGTATGGTAAATGTTGACTGACATAATTAGAATAAAAACCATAGCTTTCGAACACAGCTTTGATTCCAAATAAATATAAATTTAAACAAAATATGTATAGAAAACTGATTTTACATATATAACCATGAAATTTTCTTGTCACCACCAACGCAGAAGAGAGACAATTCGCTCCATCCGGAGAAAAACGATAAATAAACACAATTCTCCATAATAAACATTACTCTGGATAATAACAATACTTCGTCAATTGCCCATCAAAAAAACAAGAAGGGTTCCGCCATGAATCCTCTCACCTTCTTCAGATCAGTTATTTTCATCAGCAGCTCATTACATTTGGTCCACCCAATCGTACAGGTCTCTCTCAGTTCCATTTGCTGTGGCATCCCAGTACATAAGATCCATCTATTTGTAAATCATCCACTCTGTGTCGATCTAAAACCCATTCAGACTTTTCCTTGCATGAGGCAGGGAACACTTGCATAATCAGAAATAACAAAAGGATTTCAAAGTCATGAGATTAAACTTTACCACCAACGTACATATTTCAGGATAAATGTAACTTATATACATCATCCTAATGATATCGTAATTTTGCCACCACATCATGTACCATATGTGTGTAAATCCAAAAAAAAATCATCGGTTTTTTAGCTTTAAAGTTTACTAGACTTTATCTCTTATGTGATAGAAATTGTAATCTGATGTTTTTATATGATATAAAACGTAATTTTATGTAAAAATCGAAAATTTTGGACTTATGGCCGTGGTGGGGATACAGAAATATGTATAGAAAATTGATATTGCATGTATAACATATACATATACTAGTGAAATTTTTTTGTTTACCACCAACATCTTAATGCAGTTTCTCAAAACAAAATTCATTGAACTTCACTTTAAGTAATTTAATAAATATGACCAAGATATATACAGCCTAGTAATGTATAGAAATACTATTGATGTGTCACTATCCCACTTCGAATAAATACATGTGGTCAAATCAAGCATATTACATGGTTACGATTTGGTGCGTTAAGGACTACTAAAATTGGAGTGCAAATGGAAGATCAACAAAGTTTGGTCGGAAGAGTGCATGCATGTTGGATATTTATCACAAGTCCTCAAATTAACAAGAATCTTGCGATCGAGCTTCATGAAAAGTGTGTCGACATGACTGATAATTATTCAAACCGGAAGAGGGATGTTCTGCGTGATTTATTTCAACAAAATTTGGATCCTTCATAAAAGAAACAATGCCATTCCATTTTATATATGGTGTTGAAGATACTTAGTAATTGTTACAATAACTTTTTTTTTTTTAAGAAAGAACCATTATAAGCACACTTTTTTCTTCTTATTTTGGGAAGTTTTGAAGATTGTACTATGAATTCATCCAATACAAGTTTGGTTGATTTTTTTGTTAACTAATCCAAATAAAGATAAAGTTGCCTATAGACTTATTGGATTATTTGGAAGAGTGAAATAATAGCTTGGCTGCTTGAATCTTCACTTGCAACTCTCAAGAGGTGTACTACATAAACACTTGTTGTGAAAATAGGAATAATAATCAAATGTCTGAAGTTTCCCTCCATTGGGGATGCGTCCACATAATTGGTTGTATTATCCATAATGTGAAAATAGGAATAAGAATCAAACGTCTTAAGTTTCCCGGATCGTGAGGAATGTGAACAAGAACAAAAGCGAGAAAAGCAACGTCGTTGTCTTATTATGGTGGTGTGATTGTTTTGGTATCGATTTGAGTTTTTATGCAAGTGTGATGATGATATATAGTACTCTTAGACTTTGAAGAGTTTTTGATTTGCTTTTATATCTGATCTGTCATATAAATCTTAAAAGTCAATATATATGGTCAAGATGTCGGTATCGAATTTGTTTGTGCTATATATTACTAATTTTTTTACATGGCTGAATTCGCAAAATGGAACAAAATTTTGTTTTTCCTTAAGAGATCGACTTTGTATAATATCGAAATTAGGAACGGATCTGATTAATTGGATGTGTCTCACCATCTATATAAAATAGCTGATAAGGTGTAAATGAAAAAGTGTTTCAAGGATCATCTTTAAAAGTCTATTCAGACACAACAGAAAACTCGAAGAGAGTTGTAAATTACATTAAATGATCATCATTCAACGGCTATATCAATAATTTAAGATCATCATTAAACGGCTATATCGATCCAACCGTTGGATGATTTATATCCTAAACAGGTTATGTATGGGCTAAACTAACCTCTTAATGAACGTATATGAGGCCCAAATAGTTTATTATGGATATCATGGAAGCCATTAGGCCCACTACTATGTCCGTCACAAATCCAAATTTCAAACGAAATTTGGTAAACATTATTGTAAACCTGTCTTGATCGTATATTCTTATCGTTTTCCACTCAGTTTTGGTTTCGTTGCATTTGCACATTATTAAAACGTATTAATGGGAACTAGATTAAACCAAGAAAAATGAATATTATGTGACGAGTCTATCGGTAGAGAGAAGTCTACCAAGTTGATGATGAATTGGATTGCCGGGAGAATTTTTCTATATAAATTAAGTACACAATAATATAGCCATCATTACTAAGCACAACTATTCGCAAAAGCGTGCCACTAAAGTTGGATCCTTTACAACTTGATAAGTTGGTTCGTGAAGATTAAACAATAGCCTTGATATTAGAGAAAAAAGCCATTCCAATTTTATGTAGTTTATTATACATCAAGCAATTGTCCAGAACCAACTGATAACTTTTTTTAATAAAGAGCCAATATAAGAACTTATTCCATACTTTTTTTTTTTCTTTCTCTCTTCCTTTCGGAAGGTTTTGTATTTTAGGATTTCTTAAAACTATCCTTGTTGATCAAATGAATTCCTTATTACCCAAAAAGATGTTTTTGAAAACTGTGTCCAGCTTTTTTATAGTTTGTCTATTACATTATTTCCAAGAAAATTGATAACATGCGGATAGCTAATTAGTTATCTACGGATTACCTAAAGGTTGTGGTTTTATATTATCTTATTACTGAAATAATGGTCTCGTTGAAGTAAATATTTGATGTGAGAAGTATGCATGCATGCATCTGTTTGTTTCTAGCAATAGCTATGGACATCCAGTATGCAAAATTTCATTACAAATTTCAATAAATATTTTCCATGTCGCAAAAATTCCAATCTATTTTGTTTCGTAAAAACAAAATTAGTTAAATAATATCTACTTACATCCGGAGCGAATGCGTTCATACAAATATGTTGATCCGGAAAAAAATGGAATAAATCACACATACCACCTACAAAAATGTCTGCACCCAAACAACAGCAGTTTTGTAAAAATATTTTTATTCTTTTATTATATAGCATCTTTTTACCAAATAGTTTTATATGCTCAAGTGCGGGCATTAGAAATATAAATGGCGGAATAATAAGGTAATGATGTGTGTACTTAATTTAATCAGATAATAATCACTCCTTTAGCCTGCCCTTTTGCTTTTCATTAAAAAGTTCCATACTCGGAAAAGCTATTTTTTAGATGCTTATTCTGATCAGAGAGAGTTGAACAAAAAATAAAGTCTGATCAGAGGAAAAAGTTGGTGTTACAAATATCGCTTAATAGCCGCTTAGGCACTGAATATATTACTCTTAGGGTTAGGGGATCGGCGAACATTAAAATCTACGTTTATTTGTATATAGGAAACATAATTATTAGTTATACACATATGATTGTACGAGTGAGAATATGCAAGATCTTCGCAAATACTTCAAAGATACAACAAGTCAACAACTCCAAGATTGACCAACTTGACGCTACCGTGATCTCATAACTAAGATTGATTGCTTGCGTTCATCATTGTCATTTGTCATGAATGAAGACAAACATTTGTATTGCAATTCTCTCTTTATGTTATGTTTTCTGCAACATTAATTCAATAAAAATTGGATTGGAGCATGAAGAAAGTAAGAGAATCTAAAAATTTACTTTCATCACAGTTGCAAAATTTATGAATGTACATAAAGGTTAAAGAGACCAACAAAGAACCTGCTTCGCCATTTAATAAAACGGAAAAAATAAAGAATCAGCTTCCCTCTAAAAGAAGAAGGAGAAAAACAGAGAGAATAAGAGTTTTTTTTTGTTAACGAATAAGAGTTCTTTTCATCGAATTTGCTTTTTCATTTTGATTCTTCTTTTTGTGTGTAACAGAATTGTTTCACATTTTTCTCTATTTTCTCCCTCTTTGTTGCTTTATCATTCTTTGTATCATACCAAAATTTAATTATGCAACACTCTTAAATTCTTGGTTTCCTCTTGATTATTCTCCATTTCTCTAGTACAGCCAAACAGAGAGTTTATGGCAATTTCTTCAACATCTTTGCTAAGGTGCTACTTTGCAAATTAATCCTTCTTTACATATATATTCTAAATACATCCATATGATTTATTGTTCTTGAAATACTGTTGATCCATACTAATATAGTTCTGTTTTGCTTTTTCATTCTTACAATATAGATTTCTCTCTTTCGTTGATTTTGTTTGAAAGCTTTTTAAAGAAAATTATATATACTTCGCTCGACTATTAAACACTTAAAGGTGTTCATGAAAACAGAACAAAGAGACAGAGGTCAGATTTGCATCAAAATCAAGTAAGACTATCAGTTATATTGTTTGAGACTGAAATAGAATTACTTACTGACTATTAAGGTTTTTAACAAGTTTTAAGGAGATGTATTAGTTTCCTAATCATTTTGTTCTGCAACTCCGCAAATCTCAGGTTCTGCTCATCCCTGAAAATTTTCTGCTTCCTTTTTTGTATGTCAGGTATTGATTTAACGCATATTTTGAAAAGGAGAAAGAAAGTCTTTTGGTTTAAGTAACCTAAAACCATGGCGGCTAAAGATGGAGCTAAGAGCCAAGAAGAATACAAGCTTAAAGACATGAAACCAGACCTTGGAGAGAAATGGCCTCATGGAGGACAGCGAGGAGGAAGTGGATGGATCAGCAGCGAAAGAGTTGCAAGCACATACGACCTTGTTGAGCAAATGTTTTATCTCTATGTCCGGGTCGTCAAAGCCAAGGATCTTCCTCCAAACCCTGTCACGAGTAATTGCGATCCTTATGTGGAAGTGAAAATAGGAAACTACAAAGGAAAAACTAAGCATTTCGAGAAAAGAACAAACCCGGAGTGGAATCAAGTTTTCGCCTTTTCAAAAGACAAGATCCAATCCTCTACAGTGGAAGTGTTTGTGCGCGATAAGGAGATGGTCACAAGAGATGATTATATAGGGAAGGTTGTGTTTGATATGCACGAGATTCCTACAAGGGTTCCTCCTGATAGTCCACTTGCACCTCAATGGTACAGATTAGAAGCTCGCCGTGGAGAGACTAAGAAAAGAGGAGAGGTTATGGTAGCGGTTTGGCTTGGGACGCAAGCAGATGAAGCGTTTCCTGATGCTTGGCACTCGGATGCTTCCTCAGTTCAAGGAGAAGGTGTTCAAAGCGTGAGGTCTAAAGTCTATGTATCTCCCAAACTATGGTATTTGAGAGTTAATGTGATCGAGGCGCAAGACGTTGAGCCTAGCGATAGGAGCCAACCGCCTCAAGCCTTTGTTAAGGTTCAGGTTGGGAATCAGATTCTGAAAACAAAGTTATGTCCTAACAAGACGACGAATCCGACGTGGAACGAAGATCTTGTTTTTGTAGCTGCAGAGCCATTTGAAGAACAGTTCTTCTTGACGGTTGAAAACAAGGTGTCATCAGCTAAAGATGAAGTCATGGGGAGGCTGATCTCACCTTTGAATGTGTTTGAGAAAAGATTAGATCACAGAGCTGTTCACTCCAAATGGTACAACCTCGAAAAGTTTGGGTTTGGGGCATTGGAAGGAGACAAGAGACACGAGCTCAAGTTCTCGAGCCGCATTCACCTACGAGTTTGCCTTGAAGGCGGTTACCATGTAATGGACGAATCAACTCTGTACATCAGTGACGTGAAGCCTACAGCAAGGCAACTATGGAAGCAACCTATTGGAATCCTTGAAGTGGGAATCTTGAGTGCTCAAGGTCTTTCGCCGATGAAAACCAAAGACGGTAAAGCGACAACAGATCCGTATTGCGTTGCCAAGTACGGACAAAAATGGGTGAGGACAAGAACCATCATTGAGAGCTTTAACCCTAAATGGAACGAGCAATACACATGGGAAGTGTATGATCCTTGTACTGTCATTACACTCGGAGTTTTCGATAACTGTCACCTTGGCGGGAGCGAGAAATCAAACAACGGAGCCAAAGTAGATGCGAGAATCGGAAAAGTAAGGATCCGGTTATCGACCCTAGAGGCTGATAGAATCTACACTCACTCCTACCCTCTTCTTGTTCTGCAAACAAAAGGGCTAAAGAAAATGGGAGAAGTACAATTAGCAGTGAGATTCACTTGTCTGTCTCTGGCTCACATGATATACCTTTACGGCCATCCTCTGCTTCCAAAGATGCATTATCTTCATCCATTCACTGTGAACCAGTTAGACAGTCTTAGATACCAAGCGATGAGCATTGTCGCGGCGCGGTTATCCCGAGCAGAACCTCCTTTAAGGAAAGAGATCGTAGAGTACATGCTCGATGTTGATTCACACATGTGGAGCATGAGGAGGAGCAAGGCTAACTTTTTCAGGATAGTCTCTGTGTTTTCAGGCTTGATTGCTATGAGCAAATGGCTTGGAGACGTCTGCTACTGGAAGAATCCGTTGACGACGATATTGTTCCACATTCTCTTCTTCATACTGATTTGTTACCCTGAGCTGATACTCCCAACAACGTTCCTCTACATGTTCTTGATAGGACTCTGGAACTTCAGGTTCAGGCCACGTCATCCTCCTCACATGGACACGAAGATCTCTTGGGCTGAAGCGGCTAGCGCCGATGAGCTGGATGAGGAATTCGACACTTTCCCGACTTCAAAGGGACAAGATGTAGTGAAGATGAGGTATGATAGGCTAAGAAGCGTTGCGGGTCGGATCCAGATGGTCGTTGGAGACATTGCAACGCAAGGGGAGAGGTTTCAGGCACTGTTGAGTTGGAGAGATCCGCGTGCGACTTGCTTGTTTGTAATTCTTTGTCTTGTTGCAGCGATGATCCTTTACGTGACCCCTTTCAAGATCGTAGCTCTTGCCGCTGGGATGTTCTGGATGAGGCATCCCAAGTTCAGAAGCAAGATGCCTTCTGCTCCAAGTAACTTCTTCAGGAAGTTGCCTTCAAAAGCAGATATTATGCTTTAAATTTTCGAAACTTCTTTATCGCTCGGGATCTTCTCTGATCGTAACCTGTGTTTTTATTTTGTTGTTGTTGTTGTGCGTGTGTGTGTGTCTACTCTGTTTTACTATTCTATACTCTGTTTTATTACTATGGCGTTTTATTGTTGACGACGACTCGTCAATTTCGCTAAAGCCTATAGCTAGTGGGCCTAGTTAGAATGGGCCGGTTTCCCTTTTTCCATTTTTCCTTTTTCCAATCTCAATTAAAAACTTTTAAATCCAAAAAAACAAAATCTCATAGATAAATGCAAAAGCGACACGTGGCATAATACCTCACCAAAAACACTGAATGAAACCGTCCGTCTCAATGGGCCCCACCAGCTCAATACATGCTATTTTACAAACTTCCTATCATTTGTGTTTCAAAATCTTAATATTATCGAGCTTGTTGGTGTAAATCGAATCAATCTCGTTGTGTGTGTTGTAAATCAAATCTTGTAGTTTGGTTTGACCATAGTATAAAGTTCATTTTTTTTTTTCTGTGTGGAAAAAACTGACAGCAAGCAAAGAAATGAAAAAGTAAAAGATGAATGAGAAAGAGAACGTTGAACCCAAAGCAAAACGGTACTGATCCCAAGTCCCTGACGGTCTCCTACAAAACTCACCATTTGTCACCTTCCTAACTGGTCAATGCTTAATTTTGACCTAACCATCTCTCTCTCTCTCTCTCTCCTCTCTTTCTTGCATGCAATAGCAAAACTGTTGCCAGCCTTCTCTTCTGTTCCTTTTCAATTCTCTTTCATACTTATTGAAATTACGAATCAGTGTGTATGTTCTTGTCTCCGGAATCGGAGATCTAAGTCTTAATTTTCACGTGCACAAGGAAGAATTAGAGGTATGGTATATGGATCACACTACTTAACTTGTCTATTATCATCATCTGTATCTTAATTAAAAACATATATTAAGAATCATTCATATAACAAAAGAAGCCAAACAATTTTTCCTAATTAAGTACTGTATTTGAGTAGATCAAGAGACAATAATATATTATAAAGAGGTCAAGCTGGCTAACTAATCAACCTATTCTCTTGTTTTGTTCTTTTTTCCATCATGTGTGGTTTTGGTAATGTATCATCCGTCTTGGCGAGGACGAGCAAGCCAGAGAGAACTTAGAGCTTGAAGACGGTGGAAGTACTCCGCAACGGCTAAAATGCACCGTGCCTCTTGGCGAGTCGTCAACAATTGGTTCAACCTATGCACTGTTTGGTGCCTCAGATTATCCGCCTGTAAGTTTTTAATGTATATTAGTAATCAAGACTATATAAGAAAGAGAAAAAAGAGATAATAGTAAAAACAAAACTAAATAATATGGACAAAATTACGTTCATGTTATTGACTAAGACCAAGGGAAATGTGTAATCAAAGATATTAAGACTAATTAAGACAACTAAATACTCCTTCTGTTTTAAAATAAGTGTCATTTTGCCACTTTTCACATAAATTAAGAAAAATATTAAAAATTCTGTTTTACCTTTTATTCACACATAAAATAACATTTTCTTTCTAATTAATACATTAATATAACAGGATTAAAACGGAATTTTTGTTTAAAAAATTGTATTAAAAATACAAAACAATACTCTTTATGAAACAAATATAAAACTCTAAAACGACACTTAATTTGAAACGGAGAAAGTATATAGTCCTGATACATTATTTATTTTGGTAGAAACTGAAGTATGAATGAAATGATTCCGCTTGCATGACCCGAAATTATATGGCTGACATTGACGACTAATACCGATTATTCAACATGTTGAGCGAACAAAAATCTAAGCTTGTTAGTTGTTACTATACACTGATAAGAATACGACACCAAATTGTCAAAAAGGTGAAACCGTGAATTCCATATATCGGTCCCACACCATGCTTCGTAATAATTTTGATTACTAATTAGAATCATATATAATTAACCTATCATATATAGTTAGAATTGTATATCAAAAATGATATAAAAAGAGATGCCCGAAATTAAGCAGAGACAATATAATGTGGAATAGAATGTAAGTAAAGGAAATTTTCTCAAGAAAGTGTTTTGGGAGGATGGGATACTCGGGCAGTTACGTCCATGACATCATCGTACGATATGGGCTCCAAGCAATGCATGTTTCCATTTGATGTGATTTACATATACATATATATGTATTTGCTTTTATTTGGACTATATATATGTGAGTATACAATAAATACATACATACATTCATGGTGGCAATTGTCACGTGCGTTTTTTAGATGTTTGAAATTCATTATCCTTTTTAGTAAACTATCCCCATATTTACTTATTACCACAAAACACCATATCTTCCACCACCTCTTTTGAATTTATGCATTTTGGTTTTGTCTTTTAGTTGATTTTTTGAAAGAAAAAAAAGTTTACTAATGCTTATTATTTAGAGATGAAAAGTTGTAAGTGATTAGATTAACACGAACATATACAGAAATTATATTCAAAATTTATTAAAAGGAAAGATGCCAATTTGTATGTGCATGAATGTTATATGATAGTAGCCTAAAACCGCCCCATTTGCATATACAATATAGGCTGATACATTAATACACAAGCATATATGTAATTTGTTTCAGAAACCTGCCTGTCTTAATCTAGAAATCAATTAAGAAAAAAATATTTAATTAATAGTCTTCTAAGAAAAGCAATCCGACCAAGGTTGTATAAAACAAAGAGAAGTGTTTGTTAGATACCTACTTACATAATGTCGGAATCAAGATTCTAAATACTTTTCATTTCCTATATTCATTTATATATAATTGGCTTGCAAATTAGTTTTAATATTTTCTTATAATCTTCCAATACAAAAATCAACCACTATACTATAACAACATTATAACTATAATTATAATACGAATGCTGTCTAATTAATTAAGACCGTCGGTATGCTTATGTATGAGTTGTACACAAACATACAAATGTCTATATAAGTGTAGCTAGCGTGTTATAACAACCAAATATATAAATATATGATAGTAGTGTTTTAATACGGAGTAGTTCAAATAATCGAAATATGTATTCCTAGTCTGGTTAGGACCACAGCCCTAGGGGTCCACTCGTATATGATCTCTATAAAGATTATTATAGGTATAGCTTCGCATAAACTTTTAAAATAAAACAGAAAAGGATTAGAGGGTACCTGAAGAACGAAGCCCTCGAGAGCAGAGAGCTTGTTGAGAGCTAAGGACATATGTGACATGAAATTGGATAAATGCGGAGGAAGTTGTGCTGAGGCAGGCGAGAGAGAGTCGGATACAATACTATCGGAAAGCGATTGATTCAATGCCTCAAGGCCTTGCGAGAGAGCCTCTTCGGCCTCTTGTGTGGACTGTTGCAGCCCACAAATCCCAACTATCTGTTGCTCTGTCAATGGTTCTATCTGGTTAACAATCACCTGCGAGCATTCAAATTAAAACACATATATAGTCACAACTTACAACCTTAGTAGAGAATTATAATAACAACGGTCCTAATAGATGCAAAAAAGAACGTTGAATGCATTAAATGTTTAGTGTACTATGCACAAGTTACTAGCTACATCCAAAATCTCTTCTTTCCTTTTTGTTTTCACCAAAAAGGACATAAGATTGAGACATTGCCAAAGGTCTTGTCAGCTACGCACACCATCCATTTTTTATTTACAGTATTATTCTCTAATCATTTACGCATATTATTTAGAATCAAATATGGATTTAGATAGGGTTTGCATAGTTATTTTAGAGAAAGATAAAATTTTGCATATTCAGCATGCTAAAAAAATAAAATAATAATACATGTATCACACGGGTCCGAAAACAAATGCTTCCTTGTTGTTTTTATTTATTTGGTTTTGTTTATTATGGTCGTCCCTGTTAAATTTCATTTGGTTTCTGTTTCTCTCTCTCTTCTATGGACCATAAATCGAAAAAACAGACAGGCACTTTCTTTTACATTATGCCAAAACCTAACCTTTTCTAGAAATATTTCACCACCACCACAACTGCATGCATTCTTTATTTGTTTTAAAATCTAGTTTACGTGTTCCTTTATTATTCTCTATAATGCAAAGAAATATATATATACACGTATATAGGTTGGCTTTATACATATGCAGTCCACCCCATGCAATGTTATGTATCTATACATCGTCCAACAGTATCACTATACTCTATGTCTTGTCTGTTTTATCTATTACTAGGGATGTTTCCGCGCTACGCGCGGACTGTTTTTATATAGATATTTGATTATTATTTAAATTTTATTATTTTCACTTTAAGTTAATATTTTAAATATAATATTTAATTTTTAAAATTGTTTTGATATGATTATACATCGAAAATATTTTAACATATTCAAAAAATGTATAATTTTAAGAATTAGCTACTTGATATGCTAAAATTAACTGTTAATCTAAAACTTAATATTTGTATATAAACTCACTGTTATTCACTACTAACTTTCAAAATATTATTAAAATTATTTTTGTTTTGACTAAATTTGATTATTATTGTTCTAATTAATTTAGATTTTTTTTTTTTTTTTCAACTGTGTTCGTGTAGTGTTTTTATTTAATTAGCAATCTCAAATACAAACAACACTCAATGTTCTAATCTCTTATAAATTTATAAAATAACTATGATTCATATAAATAAAAACAATATTTATATAGTATAAAAAATCACAATCATATTGATAAAATGCAATTTTGATTTGGTCTATGAAGTATACGTAAACTATAAAAAAATATAGATGAATAAGGCAAATAATACATATACAAATACAATTTCATACTAACTCATTATGTTAAATAAAGTATGTTGAGTTTCTCAAAACTGAAAAGATGTAAAACATTTTGCTTGTAATTTAACTTAAACATTTTTTCTTAAACTACACATATATATTTTGATGAGCCTTTATAATTAAACTAATAATATATATTATATTATTTTTAAAAGAGTTTCTTAACCCAGTAAAAAAACCATATTAGTTTTCATTCAAGTCGGGTTTATAAGGAATTTTGTTGATGTGGATAATTAAAGATTTTTTTAGACATTTTCTTCTACATTAAAATGTGTATGTTATTTTTTCAAAAATGCATAATTATTTAATTTAAGAATTTATTAACTTGATATATATAAAAATTAACTGTCATTTAAAACTTAATTTTTGTTTATAAACTGTTTAACTCATGTGTTGACATGTATCGCTTGTAGTAACTTGACTACCTTAAGCCAACTAAGACACACATTAAATAAATATCAGTGCATGAAATTCTTCTTTTGTCTATCATTTTCTGCAATGTAAATAGTAACAATGATCGAAATCTTCATATAGATGGATGCTTTGAAAAGCTTCCTATAATTTATGTTGTCTTGTTGGTTGCCATAAATATAACGTACTATGATGTTTAATCTGTATGTTTCTAAAAGGTGAATGTTTTAGATTTTTATAATTTACAAATGTTTTAAATTTTATTTTAGAAATTATTATTTTGTAATCTTGTTTCTATTAACTATTATTTAAGTCTTTTGTCTATGACTATATTTATTTTACTGATTAAAATGATATATAGTTTTATTTAGTTTTTACTAATAACTATATTAATTTAATGGTTTTATTTATTTATTTTATGTGTATTTCAAAAAATCTAAAGTGAGAATTTTCATTATTGTTAATTTGTTATATTACAAACAAAAGAGTATATATTGATGCTATATATTTAAATAATATTTATTTTACTGATTCAAAAAATAATAATTTATTTTTATTTATTCTTGTATTTAACTATATTAATTTTGGTTCTATTTATTTACTTTATGTGTATTCCAAAAAAATCTAAAGTGAGAATTTGTATTATTATTTTTTGCTGATGTGTCATACTTTTAAGTTAGTTTGAAAAGCTGAGGTGGATAGCTTAAGGAGCCCCAAATAGTTTCTTTTATTTATTATATATTACTATAATGTAACCGTACCCTCTTCTAAGAGAATCAAAGACCAAAACTTTTTGAAAAATAAATAGTGAAAATCAAAATTTTATTAATTGCATAAAGCTGGAAGTACTATAAAAAATGTTCGTGAAAAAATAAGAAATGTCACTATTGTGTTATTATAATATTTTCTACAAGTAACCCACAGAATTTGATAACGTTCAATGATTGAATTCTGGAACGTGGATTAATCTAGTGAATACGATAGGATTTAATATTGTTAGTAAAAATCCAAAAATGTAGGATTATATATAATGATCCACATTGATTAGTTTTCAATATACGACTAATTCAGACACATTATACTAAACGACAGCTAATTTTATTATCTGAATTTGTGTGAGGGTAATAGCACAAGCACACGTACATAAAAAGTCATTTTTATATGGGTATAAGAAAAGACGAGCTAGATGTACCTTAATGATCTCAGATGGGCGGAAGCCACCCATCCACAAGAAGCATCGCTCGGCTGGAGTTTTCCAAGCGCCAGAGATGAGATGGAACACATCGGTTTTAGCGACCATGGCCTTGAGGTTAATCAAATGGTCATAGTGAGCTAAGCAAGTGTCCACGAACATCCTTAGCTCGTTCTCGGCCAAGTGCTCTTGTGTCGCTACCCTCAATTCGGTTAACAGCCTCTGCTGCTCCTCCAGCCACCTCGTGTATTCCATATCAAACACCGCTGCTTCTGCTTCACATTGCACTTACTCAATTATTCTCACTTTTTTGGGTTTTCGAAATTATATGGTTTGGGTCATTACGTATTTATATGAAAGTGTTACGTTACGTACCGGAGCTGATGTTGCCATGGCCAATGGGCAGTCCACCTTGCTGTTGGTCTCCTCCTATAAGAGACCCTCCAAAGAATACGCCCTTTATAACCATCAGAAACAAAAATTTCAAATTTTAGACTTAGGTGTAATAATTAATTACAATTATATGAAAAAGAGGTAAAAATATTTACTTGGGATCTGGCCCGTTGAATCTCCTGTTCTAGTTGGGTCAGCTTGATCCTACATGACTCGAGTTGCTGAACATAAGCCTGTCGTAGTTTTACCAAAGGTAAAATAACGTTATAAACAATTTAGATATAAAATATTATTTGCAATTTACAAGTACTGAAGTGTATAGATCTGCTGACTTTTTTCCGCAGTCTGCTTTTTCTTGCTGCTTCTCTGTTCTGTGCTAGTCTTCTCAATGTCTGTCGATTAATTCAATTGATAAATATAGGAGAAGAAACAATTAAACTCTAAAATGTAAAATTTTAATATTTTAATCGTATTTATGCATATTCAAATATGAAAAGAATATTTACCTTAGGGTCTGATGATTTTGGTATGTCATGATCCGATGAGGCAGGACCCTTGCGGTTCCCTTCTTTCTGTCATAACATTTCAAAATGACTCGTTAACTTATAAAACGACCACGCCAAGTCTAAGATTATATTCCATTTATATATCATCAAGACAAATTAATAATTATAAAACAAAATAGATAGAGACCTTAATGGATTTAGAAGGCTGAGGGAGTTGAAACTGAGAATGATTGGTCAAGTCCATGGACGGCTCAGAAGATGGTCGAGTCGAACCACTAGGTGCAGCAGCCGGAACCAATCTTGTATTATCGGTCTTACCAAACACAATCAAATCAGTATTCGTTAGAAAAATGAGAAACGTATAATAATTGGTCTGACTTGATATTATATGAAATAGCTAGTAGTTGCGCTGACATTATATTAAATTAGAAACAGAAACCAACTAAAATTGGCATATATAGAAATATATATAGTAATTAATATTACATTGGGCGTAGAAGAGGAAGAAGGAGGTGGCTCTATGTGCATCGGCTGAGATGGGAAGATGTTGAGCGTCGATGTTGGAGGTCTCATCGCCAAATTCTCTGCCATAAGATTCGTAGATGAGTCATGTGATGCGTGGAAATGGTCTGGTTACGTATATATAAACATGTGAGTGGACTAGTTCTTCTAATTATATAGAAGAAAAAGGAGAGAGAAAAGGGTTTAAAGAAGAGTTTGAAGTATAGGGATATGGATTGAAAGAAAGATTTGCTGTCTGAAAAGAGAGGATCTGGTCAAAGCTGAAAGTAGAGTACTGATGGCAGAAGAAAGATTAAAATCTGTTTGGCATGCTTTTGCTGTGACTCTCTCTCCACAAGGGAATCTTCCTTATCTGCTAAAACAAAAACCAAACCCCAATTCCCAAAAAAGAAAGATGAGAGAGAGAAAGAGAGCATACGGGTTGTGTGATGATGAGGTAAAGGAGCAGTTGATGGAGGATCATGATGTCCTTGTCCATCAAGATAGAGGAAGAGTGATGGGTCTATCTCTCCAAGATCATACCCATCTTTGTTCCTGAACGTATACACACACAAAAAGCTCTATTATAAACTTGGGGATTATTAATTCAAAAAAGTTTATGACTTTAGGTCTAGAAGAAAACTCTTAAATTACATGAAGTTTCCATGAGAAGACGTGGCGGAGGCTGATGATAACTGTTGATGATTATTCTGGTGATGACCTTGCATCTGATGATGATGATGATGGTCGAAGTCTACAGATGATGTTTGAGCGTGTGTGATAGTAACAGCAGAAAGATGATGATTGATGATGATCGAAGAGAGATTGATGATCGATCTCTTATGTTGGTCTTCTCCTGAGGCACCAGCTTACGATGATGACGGTGCTTTGATCACTGGATGATATTTTCTTAAATCTTCTTCTATATAACTATTATTTTTCTTTCTCTATATTCTTGGAAAGAGATAGAGATTATGTAACGGAGCATTTAAAGCTACTTTTGGTGTTTTCAGAGAGAAAGAGAGAGAGATAGAAGAGAGAGGTCGGTCATATTGAAGTGGAGAGGGTTCTAAACTTAAGGATATTGGAGAAAATGGAGATCAGAGAGAAGAAGCAAAAGACAAACTCCTTTATTTTCTATTTTGTTACTTTACATTATAATTTGTGAAGTTTCTTCTACCTTAAAATATTAGAAGACGACTTTGTTTTTGTATAAACACAAGAAAAATATTCTGATAAAGCGGTCAAGAAACATGTCCTTTTCCATCCCTCTCTCTTCTCTCTCTGTAGAAAAATTGCTGATAACAAACTTGTATAAATATTTTTTGTTTGTTTTCAAAATTATTATTATTATATTCTCCTGTTGTTCAACTATATTCTTCCAATATTAGATTTTTATTTTCTTTTAAATACAGTGTATAGTTTTTTAATTCCATCAGATAACATTTTATAAGAAAACTAATTCGAAACTTAATGATCAATTAACTGGTTTTACATTCGATGGATAAACCACAAGAATCTGAAACAAGTTGGGTTGTTTTTATGTGATGAACTCCGCTTTGTCAATAAATTGATTGAACTTTGTTTGTATCTATTGAGTATTTAACTGTTCCATTGAAATTTGTTTGGATGGGCACTATGGTCTAGGTTTGGTTTTGATTTAAGCTTGTTGGTTTGTTGAAGATGATCTTTTTAAACCTGAACACTTTAAATCGGATTTTCTTTTCGATCATTACAAATATGTAAGAGCTTCCTAATTTTTTAATTTTTTTATATTGATATATCGTTTATTATCAGGTCGTTTCTTACCAAAAAAAAAAAAATATATATATATGTAAGTACAAATGTTTAAGTTTTACATGAGAATATTGATGTTGTTGACAGTTAAATATCTATATATTTGGTCATGCTAACTTCCTAAACATTTAAACATTAAATTTAAAACTCAATGGATTAATCGATAAACCAATCAAACCCATCAAAACCCATAAAATAAAATTAATCTACTGCGGACCGGAGTAATTTGTCCGGTTATCGAGAAAACCAGATTCAGATTCGACACCTGTGAATTTTATGCGTTTCTCCTGGGTCGTGAAGAGGAGCAGAGCAACTCAATCCAAAACTCCAGAAGGACCAAAACCTTAAACTGAAAGACTTCGGAGATAGTTTTCCTGGAAAAGTAATAATGCCTGCACAAGACGATGTTCGAGATCTTCCCATCGACATCACCTTCTCTCGTCTTGGCGGTAATGCAGAATACTAATTACGAGTACATTGGAATTTTATTATCCCCCCTTTTTGCTTTGCGTGTTCTACTTTTGAATTCGAATCTGTTTACGAGACTCTAGTGTTAATTTGAATTTAATTTTGTCGGATTCGAAGAATGGTTGGTGGATCGGAAGCGAATTCCGTTGGATTGGAGGAAGAAGGTGGCTGCGATCAGAGCCAAAATCTTAAACGAGTTCTCTTCTTTGCCTAAAGACATCGATCCATACTTTCAAACCCTGGATCCTGAAGGTAACTTTTGTCTGAAAACCGTAATTTTGTTAAACATTGTCTTATTAATGAGTTCGTCCTTTTTGAAGCAGAAACGAGAAGCATAGAACGCAAAATTCCCTCTCGTATATTGATTTTTGGATCGCAGCTCTTAGTTTCACTTAAAGTGTTAGACTTTGTTTTGAAAATGCCAAAGAAATTCGATTTGTGAACACCATAAATAAGCTTGTTTGAAGTTTGGTGGTGTCTGATGCTTACTCGTGTTTTGCTTCCAGTGATTGGGTACTTGGAGGTTAAAAAGATATATAAGATTCTCCTGAAGACAACTCCTGAAAGCCGCAACATCTTTGGTCGACTTTCGGGTGCTTCTGTAAGTAAAACTCTCGCTGTCTCGCACTTTTCTTGTGTTCATTGTCTCGTTGTACATTTTTCTAATGATCTGTTATGTTCCCTCTTTTTAGGGTGTCTGGGAAGCAATTGTTCGCGCGTTTGAAAAAGATCACATTTACCTCGGGGAGGCAGCTCAGATAATGATTCAGAATGTCAATTATGAAATGTGAGTTGGTTTCTTGCATGGCTCTGTTTGATACAGCAACAAGGATTTTACTTTGGTATTTCCTAATGATTATATTTCTTATTGCAAAACACGAAGCCCGTATCTGAAAAAGCAAGTGCAAAAGGTTCAGCAACAAATGGCAGAACTTGATCGTAAAGAAGCTGATATCAAAAGAAGCGTTGCACTCTCAGCTACCAAATACGAGGATGCTTGCCGAGAGCTTGGATTGCAGGTTTCCTTGTAAACTTGGCTGGCTTGATCCTTTGGTTTTTAGAAGGATCGCATAAAGTTTAAGCGTCTTAAATTTCAGGGTAACAATGTGAGGCGCGAACTTTTGGAGACTGCGAATTCGCTTCCTAGTACCTTTAGCAAGATTCTGGAAGTTATCAATAGTGACTCAGTATCAGGAGCAATGGAGTACTACTCTGCCTATGTTAAAGATGTTCATACTGAGAATGATGTAAGGCCGCTCTAAACTTTATTCTCTCTCTCTATATGTTTTGATTCTTTGTTCTGGAGATTGAAATGAACAGCTTCTGATCTCTCTGCAGAAGCCTTCGAGGGTTGTCCTACAAAACTTGAAAGAAATTCGTGAAAACCCTCCATCATTAAGTGTTTTGGGGGCCTCCGAAGCTCTTGATGCCGATAATATTCAGTCATCTGAGAATGCAAATGGTACAGATGCGGCTGCAGACAGCATTGATTGGGATATCACACTGGATACTGCTGAGATAGATTGGGATGTTAGTATGGTAGAAGAAGTTGATAGTGGAAATGATCTAGGTTCATATGAAATTGTCAATGCCAGTGATATTCCCGAGGGTTCTCCATTTAAAGTGGAAGAAGGCCAAGGCCCTGAGGTTGATGTCTCTGAGATTTCTTGGGATGTAAGTGTCGAAACACCTCAAGTAGAAGAAATAGCTGAATCAGCTTTGCTAGAATCAGGCCTGGAGAACCAGACGCTGTTGACAGATTCCACAACTCAAGTCTTAGGGAGTGGAGAAGAGAGAAGCCAGCTGCTGGAGACAGAGTATAGGAACAATATCCTGGATGATTTGTATGAGGTACTATTATCCCTGACTATTTAATTCTCAGTTGAACCCTAAGGATGCATCTTGACCATGACTAGACACGTGATGAGGATTATCTTGTATCAGGTCAAGGCGTTTTTGAACCAGCGTTTGATAGAACTGAGAAACGAAGATACTCTGTCCTTGCAACACCATGTGCAAGCAGTTACCCCTATGGTTCTTCAGCAGTATTCTCCTGAAACCATTGAGCCAATGGTGGTTGATATCTCCATGGCCATCTCATTGCTAACAAACAAGAAATCTCGCGATCTGATCATGATTCTCAACTCAAAAAGGTGCTTCAAGCTAGATAGTTTCTGACAGTGGATCGGAGAGAGTTTCCATATCTTTCTGAAATATGTATTTTTTTGTCTTACAGATTCCTAGATAGACTTGTTTCGGAGCTGGAAGAGAAGAAGCACCGTGAAGTGAAGTTAAGAGAGAGTTTGAAAGATGTGGCTAGAAGACGCATGGAGCTTCAAAACTCACTCTCTTCTATATGGCCAAAACAGGTAAGCTCATTTGGTCTATCAGATAGGCTTTTTTTCAAAAAGCTCACGTCGATTAAGATTTAAGACTAAAATGTCAGAAAACTGAGCCGACAAATCCTGTTTATTGATTTCAGGCAGCTGCCATTGTGAAAACAAGAACACTGAAGGATCTGTGTGAGACAAGTCTCTCTTCCATATTTGACGGCAGACCTGTGAATATAAGAGGAGAGATCAATACTTTGTTGAACGCTGGGGTTTCTGCTTAGTTTGATCTCATGGATTGCCTAGAAAACTTAGTTTCAGAACACCGTGTGGCCCTGTCTTGTCTTGTTTCAGACTTTTGTCTTACTTTATTTCTATGATATAATAAGAAACTTCCTTTTACCAAGACTAATTTTCATTATCATCATCAGATGCTAAGAAGTATTTTTTTGACAGTAAAGAATATGTGTACGAAGAAGAGATACAGGAAATGGTTAAGTGGAGGAGATGTGGCTGGCGGTAGGTGAGGAGAGGAAGCGTGTGCGTGTTGAGCAGAAAGATTTGCTGAAAGGGTCAACTTCTGTCTTGTCTGCTACACTGCTTGCTTCCTTGTTCTGTTTCTGTATCAGTGCAGTGAGTGCTTCCACTATTTCTGAAACCGCTGGTCTGAACTCCTTCTCTACCTGCTTATGAGTATATGAATGATTAGTTATTGCGTTTCTGATTGATCCTGAGTGAAGAAGCTCTATCGACAATACCTGAGTGCATAGGGAGATAATGTCTGCGTATTGCGAGGCGACTCTTGAGGAGAATGTCCCGGCTATGCCTCCATCAATCATCTGTTCTAAGCTTCGCCTGTCATAAAGCCTCGTTGATGCCCATTTCACCAGTAGCTGTTCTCCTTGGGGTTGTGAGCTGCAACAATATCCACAGAAAAATGGTCAAATGCCTTGAGAGCTTTATCTATCGCACCCAACAAGTATATGAAATGCTTTGTGCACCTGTCAAATGCTTTCCTTCCTGTTAACAGTTCCAAGAGTAGCACACCCAGTGCATACGTGTCGCTCTTTGTGCCGCTGCTTCCTGGTTGTCCATGTTCTGGTGCTATGTAGCCAGTGTTTTGTATTGCTATCTCTGAAGCCTGCTCTAAATCTCAGCTCATTAGGTATCCAGTCAAAGGACTAAGCGACACAACACATAGGACATACCGGTCTTTACTTACCCGAAGTTTGACACTGTTGCTTGTAAGTGGCCTTAAACTAGCAAGACCACAGTCAGCAATACGAGGTGTGAGCTCTTCGTCTAGTAAGATGTTAGTTGCTTTCAGATCGCTATGGGCAATAGGAGGGCAAAACGACGAGTGCAAATAGCTGAAATTTCAGATTCACCACATAGTCAAGTGTCAGAATAAATCTGCAGGTATTTGGAATAAGCTACTATTTATGGTTGAGAAGATAAGGATACTTACTCCAGAGCTCGTGCAACTCCGATAGCAATGCGGAGACGCAAGCCCCAAGAAAGTGGCTTGTATACCTCATCATGCATAGCATTGTACAACGACAAATGCCCTACATACTCGTAGACAAGAAGATGCTGCCCATTATCAATGCAGAAACCGAGAAGTGTCACAATATTTGGGT